TAGAAGATGCTAACTAGAACACTAGATCGACCTGGATGAGTGCCATCTCTCCAAGTCACTGGCGGATTTCGTAAGACCCCCGCTGATCCCCAATGCTTCTGCTATGCTGACACTGTTTCAGGGAGGACATTACATGCGCCCTGACCTCATTCGCCTTCTCGTCGATACCAACCGCAAGGACCTTGTTGTTCATGAGGATCGCGTAAATGGAGGAGTTGCTTACACGCGAACCGTTGATCGGGTGGGACTGTCAACGCCTTTGGAAGCTGCAACCCCCAATGGCGAGCAGGAAGAGTAGGGTTTTGTTTCTGGCACGGCCAATAAGCTGCAACCAATGTTATCTCTCCGCTCATCCAACTGTACCATTATGAAATGCATTGATACTTCTTGATTGATGATGTTCTCATCATTCGGCATTCCCGAGTCAATTAGGGTCTAGACACTAAATCGGATAAGTTTCGATTCTTATTATCCTGTAACTTCCGGCTAAATCACTCCCGGCCACTTTAATCCACCAATGACCGAAACGGATTTGCTTCGATATTCAACTATCCTCATGCGGATGATCACCTCGATGGAGACAATATCGGAAAGAACCCCGATCTTACCCGCCGTCGGTTTCAGTAGGCTGAATATATACCGCCTGGTTGGAACTAGATCAGACCAGCCGATGATATGCTTGTATGGCATATAGGACCAAGCGCCATTCAGCAGCGTAACACTAACACATAATGTCAGTACATGCCAACGGAAAGACCCCCGTTCAGGCCTTCAGCCGATCACCTTTTCGAACTCGCCGCGACTTTCAAGACGCATGCCGGGCACTCCTGGATCCTCTCGTTCCGCGCTTCACACCGGGATGCAGTCGAGTGAAGATTGGTTCGTCGACGACTCGTTTCGACGAAGGTGGTGCCCAGATTGAGGGCTTCGCACGTCCACTGTGGGGTTTAGCTGCTCTACTGGGAGGCGGATATCAGTACCCAGATGCAGTGCGTTGGTACCAGGGACTCATCAACGGGACGGATCCCCAGAGTCCAGAGTACTGGGGAGATATAGAGGATCTCGACCAGCGCATGGTGGAAATGTGTCCCCTTGGGTTTGCGTTGGCAGTCGCTCCGCATGTATTCTGGGATCCGTTGACGATCCAGCAGAAGCACAATGTTGCGAATTGGTTGGCTAGTATTAATGAGCGTGAGATGCCCAATACGAACTGGTATGACCCCACACAACGCATGGTTATATAGTGGTCTCAGGAGACTCACCACAGAACGCCTTCAGGTTGTGGTTCCGGGTCTTTGCCAACTTGGGTTTGAGGAGAAACGGCGCACCTTATTCGCTCCCCCGTATCGAAGCTGATATGGACCATTTGGACACCTTCCATGTTGGTGGAGGCTGGAGCAATGACGGTCCAAAGAGTCACCATCAGATGGATTACTACTCCGGCTCGTTTGCAATCCAGTTCTTGCAACTACTTTATTCGAGACTGGCGGCCGATTTCGACCCGCTACGGGCTGAACGGTATCGAGAAAGGGCGAGACAATTTGCCCTTGATTTCGTGTACTATTTTGATGCAGATGGTTGGTTTGCTCACTGAACTCAACCAGCCCGCAATTAGGACTGACTGTGCGCCCTTTTCTAACAGGAGCTGCCATCCCCTTCGGAAGGTCCATGACATATCGATTCGCTATGGCTGGATTTTGGGGAGCCCTTGCTTTTGCAGACGTCGCGCCCCCGGCACCACTCACCTGGGGTGTTGTCAAGGGCCTTCTGTTGAGACATTTCCGCTGGTGGGCAACCCAAGAGGACATGTTCAACAGTGACGGAACGCTGAATCTCGGATACTCATACGCAAACATGTACCTGACAGAGAACTATAACTCTCCCGGCTCACCCTATTGGTGTTGTCTTTCATTTGTCCCTCTGGTACTGGGAGAAACACATTCATTCTGGGCAGCCAAGGAGGAGCCATACCCAATCGCCTCCCTCTCGCCTGTTGCAGCGCTCCAGTATCCCAAGCATATCGTAGTCCACCGTGGCGGACATTCATTCCTGCTCTCCTCTGGACAAGCCTGTCACTACCCCTTAAAGGCAACCCAGGCAAAGTACGGCAAATTCGCCTACAGCGCATCATTCGGATACTCTGTCCCGACAGGCTCCTACCAACTGGAACAGCACGCCCCAGACAGTATGCTAGCCCTCTCCGATGACGGGGGAGACATCTGGCAAACACGGCGACTGGCAATAAACGCCCGCATCGAATACCACGATGATATCCCCGTGCTAGCCTCCACCTGGAAGCCCTGGTCAGACGTGGAAGTAGAAACATACCTGATACCGCCGCTTGAAGAAAGCGAGAACTGGCATATCCGCGCGCACCGCGTTCGCACAGGACGAGACCTCATGACATCTGAAGGCGCTTTCGCCATCTACGGGTGTCGGAGCGATAATGGCCGGATTCTGGGCTCCTTAGCGGACCGGCCCTCCGAGGGGACTTTGCAGGAATCTCAGAAGGCGCTCACGGTTTCCTCTGTTGGAGCCGTGGGCATTGTAGAGCTACTGCCTGGTGTGGATCGGGCTGGGAGGGTGGTCCTCGCTGATCCTAACTCGAACCTCATGTATGGCCGTACTCTGCTGCCCTCTTTGGGGGCTGATCTGCGCTCTGGATCTGAGCGTTGGTTCGTGACTGCTGTCTTTGCTTTGCCTGCTCATGGGGATGGGGATGGGGATGCATGGCGGCAGAAATGGGAACGGCTACCTGCCATTCCGGAGTGGTTGAAACGGGTTATAGAGAGCGGTGGTCAATGAAGTCAATGGTATCTAGATAGATATGTGGGACGAAATATACCTTCAGTTGATTCGTAATCTTTGAACTTGTCCGCTGCATCCTGATTCTTCTAGTTTTGTGTAGGCTGAATTACTAAGTGGCAGGTGACCGGAGATTTACTATTGTGGACTGTGGCTTGTAGGCACGGTACCCCAGCAACCTTCTACAAACAAATCATTCATGTTGTACATATAGGCCCGTAGGCACAGCTATAATATACATTGTCTTTTATGATACATCTATATAACAACCATCAGAGCATCAAGAGCCAGCGTCCCAGCCGAGCTTATTCCCGATAAACTTAGCAAGTTCCAACAAAGTCTTGTTCTCTACATCAGCACCAAGTCGATCCAGCAAAATCTCACGCCACTGAGCCGGAGTAATCTCGTGGAGCTTACGGCCGTTTAAAGCCTCGTGCACGCGTGCAGCCTGCTTGAAAGCTATAGATGCATCTCCAGAGGTCGAAATACGGCTCTCGATGATAGCACCGTGTTTCAGGCGGAGGAACACACGTGTCTGAACTAGTTAGCGAGCAAAATCTTGAATTCATACCAGGGGGAATTCATTTACCGCATGCGGCAACGTGGATGGTAGGAAAGGCCTTTCACGTGGATCGTCTTCAATGGGGTACGTGGAGAATGTGAACTGTGGTGTTTGGGTGTATTTCCACTCCAAGGACTATTTTAAACGATGTTGGTCAGCGCCAATGAGTTTGGGGAAGTACTAGGTAAACCTTGGTTGTTAACTCATACCGTCAATTCATCAATACCCTTTTTAATCTCAGGCTCTCCGTAGCCCTGAGGTTCCCCTACTGCGCCCGCAACCCAGGTATCGCCCGCGTACAACTCCGGTTCAAGGACATGGGCACGTTGCGCACGACGCACAGCATCGGCATCCACTTGATACATCTGGGCGAATTCCTCAATAATACTAGCCATGACGCGCTCGATAGAGAAAGGCATCATAGCATCCACAAAGACAGACGAGACATTGGCCACGGGAGACCGAACACTCTCCACACCCTTCGCTTTGATATAGTCCCGAGCTGGCGATCGCAGGAACGAGCCCAGCTTGTTGATATTCGGAGTGTCCAGTAGACATGTTCCATGGTGAAGTGCGCGGTGTCTGGTCAATTTGAAGGCCGAGCCGGAGATTTTTCGAGGCTGTGGCTGTCCAGTTGACATGACTATGTCGTGCCGATCGTTCACACTTGTGTTCGTAGCTCCAACGCGATGCAGTGCCCGCACGACCATCTCTGCGTGTTTGTTTCGGGTGAATGTTGTCCGGGGTGAGATCACGCTGTAGTTCAGGTTGCCTTCGTCGTGGTAGACAGCGCCTCCGCCTGACCTTCGGCGCACGAGGAGTGCGCCGTTGTCATTCTTCCCTTGGGTGTTTGATTCGCGGTCATTCTGAAGGGCGAGGAGGTTGGTCTCATGCCACGGGTTTTGGTTTCGTCCGATCACAACGCATGGCCGGTTTATGTAAAGGAAGAGGATGCTCGAGTCTGGTGGGGCATTTTCTAGCAGGAAATGTTCAATTGATAAGTTGACGTATGGGTCCGTTGAGAGGGACTGATAGATCTGGTGCTGGGAGGATTCGCGGCTGGCGAGCTGGGCGAATTGATCGGAGGAGAAAGAGGAATTATATCGCACAAAGACAGGACGAAGCGCTGTAGTTGACCATGTTGGTATTCTGAGAGAGGATAGTAGGCATGAGCCTCGTTGGAGTGGGTGCATTGAGACGGAAGAGCATTAGGGACTAAAGATAGTAGCATACTGACTGTATGGAGTATGGAAATAAAGTCGTACCGACCCGTACGCCGTGTCTGCTCACCGCCCAATGAACTTTGGTTCCGGAGTGTTGGTGACTCAGGCCGATGGGCCTCCGATCTCCGGACGCTAAACCGGATCGAGAAAGCAAAAAGATGCCATATTTCTCACCTTATTTTCATCATGCAATGAATCATTGAGTGGGTTTCCTATGATCTCTTGTTCGTTGAAGATCCTCGCGGGGTATCGTTAGGTTGACTTTCAATTAAGTCGTCCCTCTCAATTCTTTCGGCCATCACTTTTGCGCATCCTGTTCGGTGCTGTGCAAGAAAACACCCCTCATATCGAGCTACCCCGCCAACATTTCTTGAATTCCAGAAGAAAACCAAATAAATCGACTGTTCATCATGTCAACTTGGGGTGAATACTTCAAGGTCACCACGTGAGTTCACAGCAAAAAGCCTGCAGCCCTAGATAACTAAAAGCTCACATGTTGCGCCTCTTCCAGTTACGGTGAATCTCATTGCCGCTCCGTCGGCTGCATCGTTGATGGCTGCCCTCCAGGAATGGAGCTTACTGAGGCCGATGTCCAGCCTCAGATGACCCGGAGACGTCCCGGTCAGAGTGCTTTGACGACCCCTAGAAATGAGAAGGACCGCGTGGAAATCCAGTCGGGAACGGAATTCGGTGTCACCCTTGGTACCCCGATTGGCATGATGGTCCGCAACGAGGATCAGAGGCCCAAGGACTACGGTGGCAGCACAATGGACTTGTACCCTCGCCCCAGCCATGCCGATTTCACCTACCTCGAGAAATATGGCGTCAAGGCCAGCAGCGGCGGTGGCCGCAGCAGTGCTCGTGAGACAATCGGTGAGTCACCGTGCATGCACAGAGCGGGGCCGCACGCCTGGGGAAAGATAGACGAAAGCAATACTGACAAGATTAGGCCGTGTCGCCGCCGGAGCCATTGCTGAGAAGTACCTGCGCCTCTCTCACGGCGTTGAGATCGTCGCATTCGTCTCCTCTGTCGGCAATGAATACCTCTTCCCTCCCACCCCTGAGCACCCCTCTCCCGCCACCAACCCCGAATTCCTGAACCTCGTCGAGAACATCAGCCGCGAAACTGTCGACTCCTTCGTGCCAACCCGCTGTCCCAATCAAGACGCTGCAGCCCGCATGACCAAAGTCATCGAGCAATTCCGCGACAACCAAGACAGCATCGGCGGTACGGTAACGTGCGTGATCCGCAACGTGCCCGTAGGACTCGGCGAGCCCTGTTTCGACAAGCTTGAAGCCAAGCTTGCGCACGCCATGCTCAGCATCCCCGCAACAAAGGGCTTCGAAATCGGCTCGGGCTTCGGCGGCTGCGAAGTGCCAGGCTCCATCCACAACGATCCCTTCGTCGTCTCGGACGTTGAAACCCGCACCGGCACCGAAACCACCACCAAGCAGCGTCTGACCACCAAGACCAACAACTCCGGCGGTATCCAGGGCGGCATCTCCAACGGTGCCTCCATCTACTTCCGCGTCGCCTTCAAGCCCCCGGCCACCATCGGCCAGGCCCAGACAACCGCCTCCTACGGTCTCGAAGAGGGCACCCTCGAGGCCAAGGGCCGTCACGACCCCTGCGTCGTGCCCCGTGCTGTTCCCATCGTCGAAACCATGTCCGCCCTCGTCATCATGGACGCCCTTATGGCCCAGTATGCTCGTGAGAGCGCGAAGAACTTGCTCCCGCCTCTGCCTAAGACCATCCCGACTCATCCCACGATCAAGCCCGACTCCGCATGATATCAGAACAAAGCAAAGCTCGACAGCCGAGTGTACCGAATTGCATGATGTGATGTGAATGAAGGATGTGATATGGAGGCCAGGGATTGAATGCCAGAAAGTAATTGTATATAGATATAAATGGGAAGTGTTTTAACCGCCGTCAAGTTCTCTTATCTATTGTCCTTCAGACTTTATCTCTTTCAACAAGACAAATGATCTGTGGTTCTAGTAAAGCTTAAATTCCTTGAATTAAGGATTCATCTTGACTTCTTATAACCTAAACTCAACTGGCTTAGATATATAGGAAAGAAAAGGGTCTTATACATCGTGAAGATTCAAGAACGTAAAATAATAAAGTAAGACCAGGCCTTTTAAAAGGAATTTTAGTATTATAGAGTAATATTATAAAGAACTATTAATTTCCTTTATATAGTAAAACAGTCTCCATCAAAAGGTAACATATTTTGAGATTGGGCTGGCGGTTTCTCAAGCCTGTCGGCCGAGTTAGGGTTTCGGCTCCTCACGGGCACGGATAAGATAGACAAACAGACAAACGGATAATCTGTCGCTCCGCTATATAGTACTCCGTCGTATGGATTACCATCTGGCAGACACACTCGAGTTGCCCCACTTGGTCACCACGTCAAAAGTCTGACAAGCGATCATCATCGACCGACGGAGGCTTCAACGGGCACATCTCGTGTGCTTGCCCGTTGAACTCCTGCATACCTGACCGCTATTCGTCATAGTAGATCTTTAGATCTACTTCAATCTCAAATAGAGACGCTACTAAAGAATTAGCTGGGTGGGCGCATGTCTCACTTTACACAGTAGTACTACTATCTTCGATCCACTGGCTGCTGCAGGCCAGATCGCCATCCTTCCATAAATTTTTATCGATAAGATAATCGGATGACCTTTCAAAAACGTCTCGTGCCCAAAAGACTTACGCAACCCATTTCTCTTGGAATTGGTTGTCCATATGGGATCTAGAACGGTGAATGGACAGGTTTGTTGTTGGCTTATTATATTGAAATGGAGCGATAAATGGGCCACGGCGCAGTTGCCAGTGCAACGACCCGTGTTTACGTGCGCTTTTACTACCCCTCAGCGAATCACTTCAACAACGTCGCACCAGTAGCCTTGGAGGACGATCTGAACGTGACGTCGCAGTCAATATAATGACTCTTGTGGAGGGGTTTTACTTGGTACTATGTACTCCGTAGATTCGGCCCCGATCGGGTGGCTGGGGATGTCGCTGTTTACCATGCTATCCGCACGGATCCCACCCATCTTCAGTGCTTTCTTTGACTTCACGTCGGAATTCTTCCTCTTGAGTATAGAATTTGTCCTCTTCACAGACTTCATCCTGGATTATAGAGTCTTACCTTGCCCTCCATGTCGGCTCACTAAACTTCCAAACGCACCGGCTGCGAGTCAATCTAGTCTTCCTGGACGCACTATGGTTGGTCTCAGAGTGCACTTGCAGAAGAAGAAGAAGCAAGCCAAATTATGCAAGAGAAGACTCCTCAGCAAAAGTCAGCGGTCTTACTGCTCTACAATATCTAATACATCTTACTGTTACTCTCCAAAATGAATGCTTTTATCACGCTTCTAGTGGTCCTGTTCCTGGGCTGCCGAGTGTCTGCAATTCCATACACCCCGTCCCATCTTCTGTACTCAGCGCAGTACAACGGATCCATTGCATACCTATTACGGCCCAGCGATAGCAATACAACTGAATTCCTCTCATTGAACATCTCCAAAGACATTGACAGCGCCAACCCCCAATATACGAGCTTACTGGACGATGCTCCATTTCAGCTTTACAAGCAAAACCTCGCTCTCATTCCGGCTATCGACCAACACGGCATCTTAAAAGTCTATGCGGGAGATTGTCATAATACTTCAGGGTATGGCGCGTTATGGCAGTTCACCCCGGATGCAGCGAGTTCCACCGGCAATGGGACATGGGAGAGAATCGAGGTAAATGGGACCGGCCAGTCAAACGTCAGCCCTCATGGACCAAATTATCTCGCTGCCGGTTTTACATACGCCTCCACCAATACAACTAACAGTTCTTTCTATGTCTTCGGTGGAATGTGCCCACTTGCAGGCGCCTCCGAGGCCACCTGGATTACTGCTGCCAACTACTCACAGTCCATGATAGCCCTGGAACCCCCCAAAACCGATAGTCTGACTTCCTACCGGATCTCAGCGACCGGTGATCGCGCGCCTCCGATTCCTGAAGCTGGGTTTACGATTACCCCGTTACAGGCAACATATAGGTCTACGTCGAGTGGCACATTGCTACAACAACAAGATTTTCTGATGATCGGAGGCCAGACTCAAAACGCATTCATCAATATGTCACAGGTCGCTGTCTTTTCACTTCCACAGAGCAGCTGGAGCTTTGTCACGATTGATTCTACACTGAGCCTGAGCCGAACGGAGCTTGCCATTAGGGATCCCTCGGTAGTGGAACCAAGGTCCGGCCATACAGCTGTTCTTTCACCAGATGGAAGCAAGGTGGTTGTCTTTGGAGGCTGGGTTGGTAGCACCAGCGTTCCTGCCAATCCACAGTTAGCTATCCTCGAACTGGCAGCTGACTCTATAGGCTCCGCCGAGTGGGCCTGGAAAATACCGCCGACCGGAGACGCTGGGATAGCGGAGGGAACTGGGATCTATGGACACGGCGCAACCATGCTTCCGGGTGGAGTGATGATGATCACAGGTGGTTACCACATATCACATTCAAGTAAACGTTCTATAACTGGCACGGAGGTTAACTCGAAAACCTTGATGTACAACGTTACTTCGGGTGAATGGGTTTCCTCCTACTCAAATCCAGGGCCTTCACCAGATGGTGGGTCCGGATCGTCTGTATCCCGCAGAGCTGGGCTTGGTATCGGACTCGGCTTAGGTATTCCCTTTGTCGCTGGGGCGGCTGCTGTCTTTCTCTGGTTCTACTTCCGGCGACGGCGAGTACGTCGAACTCGAAACCAGATGCTCCGTGAACTATCCTTGGGCACAGAACGGTCTGTTTTCTGGAGTCCAGAAGAGTCCCATCTGACTTGCGGTACTCATAGGCCTTCCGAGATTATGGCTGAAAGAACAGGCCTTCTAAGAGAAACATCTTGTTCCATTGAAAACAAGCGGTTGCCTTTAAATGCAAGAATGTACCAGCCTCCGTCGCAATGTAACAATGAGTATATGCGAAGTGACGGGACCGGCGATATGCATCCGATTGATGAAGAGGACGAGGCACATGGTGCGGCAGGTGGAGATAGCACTATTTGCAGGGCTGCTCATCACAGCAGCACCGTGTTATTGCCCAAGACGGCTCATACAGAGCCTTCCCCTGAGGGAGTCAAGGCATTTGCAACGAGTATCGGTCGAGCTAACGAGAGACAATCTTCGGAGCACGACGACAGAACATCTTCAAACCTTTCGGGCTCGTCGAGGTCGGCCGCTCAGCAGTCTCACGGTATTATGGACAACCATCCGAGCCAGCCAAGTAGTGGGCGTGAATCCCCAGAAAAATCGAGTTCTGCATCCAATCGGAGTCGTGACACTTGGAGCCGACCCAACAGTACTGTGATTTCCCATGAACGCCGGTCTTCTGATTCATTTTCAACTGCCCATACGACGATTTCACAACGACAAGCAGAAGGCGAACATCTACTACGAAACGACCCTGAACCCTCCTCCCCAATTGACCTCATACCAAGACCCCTCTCTATCTCAAAACCGAGGGCTGAGTGGATCGGCAACGTCCGGCGAGTGCTCTCTATGACTCGAAAGCGGCCCCAGTCATCTGAAGACGGCAGTGTTGCGTCTGCGGCTTCTGGTATCGACAGGAGAAGTGCCGTGCTTGGACCAGCAGGGTCTTTGCTCGACTATAAAACCGAGTCCAAGCTGCCTCGGCGATCCGTCAGTGCCTCGGCAGAACTATTCCGACGCAAACAAGGTGCTAAAGACTGGGGAGCAGGCAATATTGTTTCACGTGAGTTGACGGGGAGGATGACACGCGATGACTTCGGGTTGGATGGTGTGTTAGATCTCGATGATGATGACTGGGATGTGGAGGGCGCAGCAGAGAACCGACGCGTCCAGGTCACCTTTACTGTGCCGAAGGAGAAGCTGCGAGTTGTCAATGCTACGGCCAATGATATGGATAACATCAGCGAGGCATCCATCAGTCGAAGCGACAGCCGGACATGACCTTGACGTTAGTCTGATATGACACCCATACACCAGGAACGTGTCCATCGCCGACTATGCCAATGGTAGAAGACCGCTGTGTTTGAAGGTTGGGTTGGTTGGAGTACCAGCGTTCCTGCCAATCCACAGTTAGCTATCCTCTAACTCGCAGCAGACTCTATAGGGTCCGCCGAGGCAGGTGCTGTCATTATATGAAAGGAAACAGAAGGAGCGATGTGCTATAGGGTAGTTGCCAGTACGTGCGCTTTTACTACACCTCCGCGGATAGCTTCACCAACGTCGTCCCAGTAGCCCCAAGAGTAGGGTGTATCTGGACTTGACGTCGAGGTTGATATAATGGCTTTGGTAATCTGGCCGAGAGTCGGCGCCGGTTGGTTGGGGGTTAGGCAGTAAGGCATTGAGGATATTGTCATTAATGATGCTATAATGACTGCGACCATGATGCTATCATGACCGACACCAGTCACCTTGGGTTTTTTCACTCCCTTCTGAACTCTTCCCTGTACCAAGAACACTTCATTGTCTACAAGCACACTTCATCATCTACAAGCACGCTTCATCGTCTACAAGCACACTTCATTGTCTACAAACATACTTTATCGTCTATAAACATCCCCTGTCTTCAGATTTCTGTTAGGCTTTAAACCCAGCATCAACAACTAAGACTTCTAAAACTCAAACCTTTTTCCTCTTATAAACAATGTTCTTCACAAGAATCACCACCTGGCTGCACTCCAAGATGGAGGAGCGGAAGACGAAAAAAGCCAGAAACGAATGGCTCCGAGAAGCGTCTCTGCTCACTAAGCGACGAACTTTTTGGCATCCTTTGGATGCTAGTCAAAGCAGTTGTGTGGATTCACCCACACGTGAAGATTGGCCCACACGGGCAAAAAGATGGTAAGATAAATTCTAAGATCATACTATAAAAGAACAGATATTCTAACAGCAATCTTAGCGTGGTCAACAATGGCCACGTCCTCCTATGTGAGTGCCGGCGGCCCGGCGCTCATGACGCTGAAACAAAGCGTCATGAGCACCGGGCCGCTGGCATGCCCATCATTTACGAGTGATGGGGTATGGGCTGGGACTAGGGGCTGTGGGCATGTTACAGCCCTGACCACACTCCGCTGTCATTAGGCGTGGCTGTCATTAGGCCCAGTGATCGGGTTGGTAGCATGCTCACAGTGGGACGCAGCTGGTTCTTTTTGGGGCTTTGGGGGAAGGAGGATGAGTTGGGTTGGGTTGGGACTGGCTGGGTGTCTGTCGGTCCCGATCACATATTACGCTGTCATTAGGCGTGGCCGTCATTAGGCCCAGTGATCGGGGCCAGCAGCAGTCGCCCAGGTACTGGAGCCGGTTCGTTTCGAGGGTTTATTGAGGGATGGATTGGATTGGGGCTGGGCGACTGACTGTGTGCATGCCACCGGTCCTGATTTCACTACCGCCGTCATTAGGCGTTGCTGTCATCAGGCACTGTGATAGGGCCGGTGACATGGCTACAGTCGTCTAGCTCCAGGGGATCGAGTTGGTTCTTTTGAGGGTTTTCTTTTGGGAGGGTTTGACGACTTTTTCGACTTTTTCGACTTTTCTTTGGAGCTTGTTTGAAGTTTTTGGGCTTTGTTTGGATGATTTTGGATTGCCTTTTTGGAAGCTTTTGGAGGTTTTATTGGAGTTTCTGGACTTGTTTGGACTTTTTGAAGTTTTTGAGCTGTTTTGGAGGATTTTGGGTTGTCTTTTTGGGGGTTCTTTGGAGATTTCTTTTTGGAGTTTTGGGACTTGCTTGGACTTTTTTTTAGACTGTCTTAGACTTGTTAGACTTAGACTCGTTAGACTCGTTAGACTTGTTAGACTTATGGGCTTAGATGGCCATAGAACTATTACTATGTATGTAGTACGAATGCGAACTCAAGTGGCCAAGATGGCAATTCATTCCTGATAGACAACTTTCTCCTTTCTAGCCAGTGATAGAGATCACCTTTCCCTCCCGTTCAACCTCCTGCGTATAGTTCTACGCCACATCCGCCCAGTTGCTGTATTGTGCAAAAGCCTCGTGGACCCTATGCGGGCCCCACCGACACCCTTCTGTACCAGGATCAAGATGATTAGTAGATGGCAGACATCAAGTCTGTTCCCATTGGCCAGTGATTCAGAGCTGGCTTGGCTAGGCAAAGCATTCTGAATGGGCCCATTACTGTTCAGAGTAAGCGAACATCGCAGCTGAGGTCAGTGCGCTTTTCCTGTCGCTATCCGAAAAGGGTTCTGGGCGACTTGCTGAGTCTGATCCCCTTCCTTCCCCCCCCCTAAAGAGTATAGTAAGTAAGACCTTGCATTTCGTCATCTCTTCTTGATCCGGGGTCGCAAAACATGTAGAACTCGCTTGGGACTGCCGCCAGGGTACGACTCCACAATCGGAGATGGGGTTGCACATGGTTTCCCTGGTGAGTCCCCTAAGCCTTACCTCTTGTTGTATGGGGTGGACACCTATACTAGCCGGCTTTAATTGTCGCAGAGTGACGCTGCGATAGGTGTCAATTAACACCCGACCCATGCGACGGGAGAGAATTTCAAGCGCAAACGAGGACACAGCGCTTCTGGTTGAAAACGGAAGGGTATATTGGCTATGCGAAGGTGGCTGGACGGGGGCTAGTGGATCGCAACAGTCAGTTGAAGTCAAGATGGATAGGTACCCTGGCTCTGTTACCAAGGGGATGCGAAAGCGACGGGTGTCTACCTATCGGCGTTGGGAGCCATTAACAAATACGGGGGATATATTAGGGCATACTAGTACTAAAGGCGTTGGAGGGGGGGGGATCCGTGGTCGCTGAGAAAGTAGCGTATCCATCAGACTTTGACATCGGTGGAGGACTGTGCATGTTATGTCATCTTGATCATCTTCTCAAGAACGCATGGACCAAAATGAAAGCCACAATCGTCCGGCTGTCGGCTCAGGGTTGCGCCTCGGTGGGCCTATCAGATCCCCTGGAGAGCAGGGCGAGGGAACAGATACGGGGGAGGGGCGAGACTCGTATCCAGTGTGTCTGTGATTGGGCTTACTGGACGGAACTGGAGCGCAACCGGTTCGATAGAATGCAGGGGTAAACATTGATATGACTCGCCAAGGTGTGGAGCATTGATTGAGAAGCGCTGATATAATTGACATTAACATTTGATGGGAGACAATTGTGCAACCTTCCGGGCAGACCACCACCTCGACCTATGAGGAGAGGAACGCTTGGGTGCGCAACGGCCAAGGATCGAATGAGAAGGAAGGGGATGGGGACAATGACGATGACGGGATCGGACAAATTGCCGTGTATTGAGATTTCACGAGGTCTCATTCATTTGCGTTTCTTTGGTGCAAAGCAGACTGACGCTATAAAGCTTGGTCGGAGGGCGCACCGCCAATCATATCCCTCTCTCTTTCACTCGGTTGCGATGCAAGTGGCTCAATCCGGTAGTGATACTGTAAGGCCTATTGCAATCCATGTCAGCCCAGCCGGACTCAGTCTCCGTTTCCAACTGTCAAAGGTTGAAGGTGGATGAAACCCGCAACCTGGACAATTCGTGGGCCGCGCAAGTTGCCCTGTGCGCGCCCACTCACCCACGCTTTCCAATCATGACATCTGGCGATCGGATAGCTTGGGCTCGAGGCACGGATTGTCCCGCTGCCGGCGTAAGTTCTACGAGCTATACTTAACTTCCTCCCTAGTTCGTTAGGGTACCTAGGGTCAGCTAAAAGGCGGAGTAAGGAAAACTGTCCTGACACGGGTTCCGGGTAAACGGGACATCTCCCTTAACTTGATGCGACCGACTCCTCTGCAGAGAAAATTGAAGGTCTTTCTAACCGGCCCAACAGTATAGTCCGGTATGATACGATACAGGACTGATCAAATCCAAGGACAATCACATTGTTCGTCCGTTTGAGGCCTGAGAGAAGTTGAACGCCATCGTCAACCGGGCCTCTATGACGTCAGGATAGGGATGACGGGCGAGGAGTAACGCAACCCTGGAACCTCGCCATTACAATTATGAATCTTGACGTGCATAAGAGACCTTTGGGAGCCAGAGGTGTCCTTCCATGTCAGGAAGGTCTCCCCATGCCCATTAAACATCTTTCCGTCGCGGATCCATGTTCTTCTCATACTCTCTTTTCACTCCCGCCCGGCTGGCTTTCCCTTCCCATTAGACTGAGTTAGGGTTTCACGAATGGAAAAGAGGAAATAGGATTAATCAACTTCTCCAACGATCTTTCATGGACTGAACAACCACACCCCTCCTCTCAACTGCCGAGGAGAGAAATGAATAAGGCCCCTCCTTGTGAGCATCGGTCGTGGCTGGAGAGGGAGAGGGGCAAGTTCGCTCTAATTTAGTTGCGCCGCGTGGGATCAGACTGCGACACTGGACATCATGCAGATCATGGATAGCTAGCTTCTTGTCATTTCATTGTAAGTTTCGAGCAATTTCCAATGGTCTGGAGAAGGAGGAAACTTAGTCGGACCAAACTCAACTAAACCTACTCAACTCTAGTCCGACATTACCATATTCGGTTTGTGGTAGATGCACTAAATTCCCCGCGCCGCAGGTATGGAAGTAGCCTGGGACCTTGGAAACGCGGTGCAGCCACAGCACCATATACGATGTGCGGACCCAGGGTTGACGGATACGTTGTCTGAAGGTAGGTAGTATCGACTCTGATATCGGCGAAGTGTCGAAAAACCTCTCTCTTGTCATGGCGTACGTTTCATGCTCGTGTGGTAATTAACCTATTCAGGTATTGTCGAGAGAATTAAATAAACACAGACCTCTCGGTCCAAGCTCACCGCGCGAAGCTAAAGTGGTCGCCGCTCCTCCATTGGTCAGCCTTTAGCCGGCAAGCTAAATTATTTTACAGGTCTTGGATGATGTATGAATATTCGAGTCGATCTACATCAACTACTCTGTCGATACCGTTGGATCCTTCTGGGTAGTTGATGGAATGGCTTTCATGCGACATTGGAAGATGCTAGAAAAGACCTCGACAGTATAGACGTTGGCTAGAATGGCCCAGACTGATGGGGCGGGACACTTAAGCGGGAAAAAAGAGTTGATCATAGCCATGGGGACCCACGGAACACCCAAGATCAACGATCGAAAAGCGACTGTTAGGCGTTGATTGACAGCTGCCACCAACAAAGTAGCTTTTTTTTCCCCTTCAACAGCGCTGGCTCTTTTTCTCTTTTCTTCTTTTTCTCTCTTTTTCTTCTCCCTTCGCCTTTCTACCTATTTCCAAAGTCAATGTAAAAGCCAACTTACTATACAGGTAGATGGACTGATGAGAGAGGCAAAGAAATCGATAATAGGGAAATGAGGACAAGGCAGTAATTAATGTCGTACTCGTGATGAAAGAGAGTCCCTGGTACCGAGATACGACGTGCTTATCGTCGTAGATAGGTAGATGATGTAGCAGATGGGAGCCATGAATCGTTGACGATGTACGGAAAAAGGTGCCATACGTAATTAACGCTGGGTTTCGAATGAGTGCTTGGCATGGTGAGAATCCGCCACTGGAAAAATTCGCATTCTATTTTTTCCATTTCTTTTTTTTTTTCTTTTTTTTTTTTTTTTTGTTAAAACAATTCGTTCCTATAATAGTAGAAGTATTAATATTTTCTTCCCAGGAGTCAGCAGAAAGTGATCAATCAAGCCTATGAGAATCAGTAACTATCAAAGTTATATTAAGAAATTCCTTAACGCTAGGGTGGTGCCATGAGAGCCTGAGGATGGAATGACTGACTGAACTGTCCCAACCAAGTGCCAAGGATCAAACCCATCGCCGTGGCTTAAAAAAAGTTCAGATTTCTCGGCACCATACTTTACAATACAACCCAGTCAGACCCAATACCTGCCACCAACCGAACAGCCAGTAGAATCTATCTTCTTAGTGGAAAAGATTATTCAAAATTTCTGCGGAGCATCTTTATCGATAGCCGACTTACAACTTCCCCTTACTAGTAGATTAAGTTCCCCACCCAAAGAAATTTTAAGAATTAAAAAAAGAAAAGGGATTGGGAAACTATATTCTCAAACCTACAGAGTTATTTGCATCCCATAGAAACACATCGTACTAAACGGTGACAAGACACTGACTGGCAGCCATACCTTAAGTGTACAGTACATACATACATACATAGTAACATGCATTCCTCTTAATCTTGATGCCGCCCCTCCTTCGTTCGACACTTTTCCCACCTGACAAGAAACCCTCTCGCCGCAGGAGCAGCTTAATCACCCTCAACCAACATCGTCCCTCCGCCATCGTCACCCTCTGCCTCCACCATCGTGAACAACCACTTTTCCTCCCTCCCTTTTTCTTTTCTTCCTCTTTTTTTTTCCCCTTCCCCTTTTCCCTTCTTCTTCCTTCCCCACTAAAATCCTGACGACTCTCCATTTTTCAATTTTTCCTTCTCTTCCGTTTCTCGTTGTGCACTTTACAATTTATCCTTATCTATAAAGAATATTTTCCTTAATATCGTTCATTTCTCCATTGCGGACTCTTTTGAGTATACAAGAGTCATCATCGGCCGCTTCGAGTTTCTATACTTGGACAACTCCTTTCCTTCGGGCCCCTCCCCTCCGGTGCTCCACGCCGATCCGTTTGCCGTGCAGAGTAGCCGAACAGTCAACTGCATGCTGGTGCTGTAGCAGGTCTATCGCCCGGACATTTTTATACTCTCGCCCGCCAATCCCACCGTTGTTCGGCATACGGTGGTCTCGCCGGTCGACTTGCTTGGCTGTCATTACTTTTATCCCTGCTACATACTGAGAGTAATGCCGGCCCACTCGTGCGCAGCATCAGAGCTTCCCGTCGGCTCGCCCTAAATCGAGTGCTTCTATTGAGAAAGGGAATAAAATATAAGAACATTTAAATAAGGGAGGAAACGAAAGGGAGGGACGAGAGTGTCAAAAACAGGGAGTAGCGAGGGGGCCACAAAGAAGAGGATGCTCTGTTGCAACTAGAACAGAGTTGGTTCGAAGATTTGAAGACATGAAAATGACTGATCGGCCCCCTTCAGTATCCGGTCTGGAGGAACCCATTCATTACCTTGCCCGAAATGGCCAGATATCGGACAGCGCCCGCAGACAAGCCCGGGACAAGCCCCGTGAGGGTTCGGAATCGTCGCAATCGTCAACAGAGGTCGATGCGAAACAGTCCGTGACCAAACCACCAACCGCCAAACTTCCCCTCCAGAACGACCTGGCAGACGGTCAAACCGCTCTTCGTCACCCGTTCTCGCATCTCTACCATTCCTCCAGTACCTCGCGATCACCGTCCACCCGAACCTCTTCAAGTTCACTGCAAGCATTGAACGAGGATAGTGTTGTAGATGCTCGGTCGGAGCTCGGCGCGATTGGACGGGGTCCCCTTCCCCGGAGGAGCTCCCACCTAGGGCAGTCGGATTCTCAGGCTCCCGAATATCCCGTCTATCCCGATCAATCCTACGCTGTCCTCCAGTCCCAAGTCCATCCCACTTATCAGCATCCGTCTCTCCGTTCGCGGAACTCCTATCCGTCACGAATCGAGGTTCTTGGGCGATTTGCCCCGTCGCGTGCCTCTCGTACAGCAGGCAATACCCCGGCGTCCAGTCCGGGACTATTCTCTGTCCGCAGCCCTCTTCGTTCAACTTCTTCCCTTGTATCAGATGATGACGGCTGCATCAGTAGCCCTTCGCTTCATCCAACCCATCTCCAGCCGCCGAAAGAGTAAGTTCCATCTGATGCCCCCTTTTTCAGAACGTCTGTCATGGCTAACAGGTATTCACAGGACACATACCGCTGAAGTGGACAGAGATACTGTGACTGGAAATAAAGTCATCAATCAATATGAGATTCTGGAAGAGCTCGGACGCGGGGAGCATGGAAAAGTGAAATTAGGGAGACACGTGGGCACTCGCCAGAAGGTCGCCATCAAGATTGTCCAGCGGTATTCGAAACGACGCCGTCTGGGGAAGCTTGGGAATCCCGAGGACAAGGTTAAGAAGGAAGTGGCGATCCTGAAGAAGGCTCGGCACCCGAACGTGGTTAGCCTCCTAGAGGTGATCGATGATCCAAATCGGCAGAAGGTCTACATCGTCCTTGAATACGTTGAGAACGGTGAAATCATCTGGCGGCGACGAGGCTTGCGTGAAATCGTGCATGTGGATAAACGTCGACTGGAGCGCGAAAAAGCAGGCATTCCCGATTCCCCATCGTTCATGGAAGAATGTCGGCAGTATGTCCGGACTGCCCAGCATCTCCGCCGCCAACGCGAAAAGGCCCGTGAGCGACGTCAAATGCAGGCAGCACACGCTCAGGAAGGACCTATTCCCGCCTGGAGTTTAGAGCATGGAGCGGAGTCCGATGATGAAATGGGTCTCGAATTGACGGCCACTCGGACGCCTAGCGGTTCTAGGATGAATCCTGAAGACAGTCAGTCCTCTCCCAGCCAATCCTCCCATGATGCGGCCCTAGCCGCGGTGGAGGGCAGTATGTATGGGCCGTATATGGATTATCCCTTTGAAAGACGGTTTAGCACAGCGTCGAGTAGCTTTGGGTACGCACCTTCGGAACCCGAATGGACTCCCGACGACGACGATATGTCTTATGTCCCATGTTTGACCCTCGATGAAGCACGCAACGCTTTCCGGGATTCGTTGCTGGGTCTCGAGTATCTTCACTATCAGGGTATCATTCACCGTGATATAAAGCCTGCAAACCTCCTGCTCACCAGCAACTACCGTGTTAAAATATCGGACTTTGGTGTATCTTACCTAGGGCGACCCATGAGGGATGAGGACGAGGAACAAGTTGGAGAGACCGATGCAACTGAACTGGATGACGCTCGGGAACTCTCTAAAACTGTTGGAACGCCCGCTTTCTACGCTCCTGAACTGTGTTATACAGGCGAAGAATTCATTGACGCGCTTGGGTCCGCCCCGCGGATTACCGGCGCTATCGACGTTTGGTCCCTTGGCGTAACTCTTTATGGTATGATCTTTGGGCGCTTGCCATTTGTCTCCGATGATGAATACAGTATGTTCCAAACGATCGTGAAGAAGGAAGTCTTCATTCCACGCAAACGCCTGAAGCCTGTTGAGGATGACCCTGACACTGTCGGTCAATGGCCTCGTTATGAGAACAGCGGTAAGCGAATGGAAGATGAACTTGGGTACGAGGATATCGACGATGAGTTGTTTGACTTGTTGAAACGCCTTCTAACGAAGGATCCGGTGAAGAGAATCACCGTGAAAGAGATCAAACATCATCCTTGGGTCCTGGACGGCCTACCAAACCCCAGAGCGTGGGTCGAGGAGACCGACCCAGGGTATCTGAGCAAAGGTAAAAGGATTGAAGTGTCTAATGAAGAAGTTACAACGGCTGTGAGCAAAGTACCTTTTATACAACGTGTGCGGTCCAATGTTGCCAAGTGGTCCAACTACCTTACCGGGAGGTCGAAGGAGAAAGATCCTCGCAAGCGGACTTCTAGTGCGGCTCCCTCTGTCGAGTCTTCTTCCACTTCAAGCACCAACAGTTTTGGGAAGTATCTTTGGGACACTCGTCGTGCTAGTCTCCGGGAGGAAGACTTTTTACGCCCGCCCCGTTTCAGCAAGGATGGTGAGCATCCCCTTTCGCAGAGTGTCACCGCAAGCCCGGTGGGTCGGGATGAGCAAACTTGTTATTTCGAGGGAGCCCTGGTGAATTCACCCATATCGCTCGACCGGACCCCACGGCCTGAGCCACCAGAGCGTGCCGGATCTACGCTGTCCACCGCCGAATCTGCAAAGACAATAAAAGCAACCAATTTAAATACCACACCCGCGCCCCAAAGAAACGTCACCATCGCTCGTATGGAGTCATCAGGAACTACGAACGTCGGCGGCCTATTTGGCGGCGCAAGCCTTCGACTTGCCAGAGGTCTCCAGTCGGGAGAGAGGCGCTCCGATCGATCGATCTCTGAGACTGCGTCCTTGGATGGTGACCGTCACTGCGAGCCCACCTTGGCGTTGAGCGTCGCATCTGCAATTGGCCAACATTCCAATCTGCTACCAGAAGAGGACGTATCCTTATTACGGGTGGAAGGATCAAACACGATACCGTCAGGTCACCGCCGCAACCGCTCCTATCAGCTGCCTGGCAAGTCTTCTACGGAGCCTTTTCATCTCACCAAGGAAGCCTTACTACGTCAGCGACGAAGTGACATTGAACCTCCTACCAATGGACTCAAACCATGTCATCGTAGGGGAAGCGAGCCATCTACGAAGGATTGCATCAACCTACGATCCGAGGTGCAGCCCCGAGCTACGGACTCGCCTGGTGAAAATATTTTTTCCGACTCCCCGTCTGGGGGCCTGACGACATCACCTCCGTCCGCTGCCTCGTCCTCGCTCGAGGACTACACCAGTGGCATGTCTCAGAGCGCTTCTCATCCGAGTATACCGTCCGTCGCCTCAGGGGCGTCATCGCTTTCTAGTGGAGGTGAGGCTCCAGGGAAAGATGGCGTTTCAGCAATTCAAGTGCCTTCGATTCTTCGTACGGGTGAAACCGTTAAAGCACAGCAGACAAGCACGGCTCGATCCGCGGATGACGATGAGTCTCGGTATTACTGCGACGATGAAAATGAATCGGAGGACGACTCTGAGGACGAGGGCATTGTCTTTGGTAAAAAGAAGGCAACACCTCAGAAGCCAATCATACGTGGTTGCAGCCCGCCCAAGTCGTGACCTATAGCTGTCAGCGTCCATGGCTGAAACTTCTCTCGTTGATGGCCGGCTCGCAGCCGAAGAAAAGTTCCTTTGGATCTTTCTCGCTTTACCATGCCATTATTTTCGTCCCCTCGTATGGCTTTATGTCCCCTTTTTCTATTTATTTATTTTCTCTTTCTTATAACAGCTTGCAATTCTATTCTTTTGGAGCCCGGTTTCGCATGTATATCATTTTATTGTGGGTTTACCTTCTTCTTTGTGTCTGCCTTCCCTAGCCCATATGGCATAGACTGGGGAAGGCCTTTCTTGCTTCGGAATGTGCGAGACACTTATCCATTGCTTGTACATATATTTGCATTGACGGCACGTCTATATTTGGCTTTCTGTCACCTTGCCCTTGGTTCCTATATTTTTCTCCTAGTGCCGCTCTGTGGGGAGCCTACGAAAGACGCTGGGTATTCGCTTGTTCTCCTTCGATGCAATTTTTACCTGTGCCTTTTGCGTCTATATATACTTCTGTTCGGTTTGGTGCATCAGGGCTCGGGGCATTGGTGATTTTTCTTTTGTATGTAATGTCGACATGAGGAGGATACAGTGTGGGATCAGGATACACAGAGCGGTTTGTTCCTTCCGAGAACCCGCAAGACTCATGATCATGTCTTTCCTATTTTGTGTGGGTCGAATGATGGTTATGACTAGCAAACGGGGCCTCTGGAAGCCCCGAAGAGAACTTGCATTTACAACTATATCTGAAATTATGAGAAGAATACAAAGACTCACTGGTTTCGGTGGCATCATAGCTTCAAAGTTTTGACGTACCTGGACGTATTACGTCCGCAGGATTTCCTGATGGCACTAGCACCTTTGACAGTAGGACCACGTTACAGTAGACTCGGGTTTGTATCTCGGATCTGGGGTTCTATGCCTCCTTCCGCTTACATATTCTACTTAATCCTTATACAAAGTATGTCTCTACCTGCCCCAAATACTGTGATACCTTAGACTACAGCATACAGCTAACATTCGGGTGGAAGCTATATGCCGTACTCGAAGACACTTCCCGGTAGCATGGTACACCAAATGATACTAGTATGTAGGGGTCCCCAGCAAATGGACAATGTGTTCTCGAAGCCAAAATGTCGTCCCACTTGCCAACAGGGATGATGCAGAAGGTGTTGTAGGCACCACTGGACCTAAATCGAACCCTGAGTTTCTCCTCCCGACTTCCTATCTGGTATATAGCTAACTCAATAAGGCTAAGAGTACGGAGTACTCCGTAAGGAATCCTCCATAAACGCCGGGTCAGTGTTCCTTGGTAGTTGCGGGCTATTGTTTTACTTAAGCTATGGTTCATCTTCTCGGTGAAGGTCGACTGTAGATCGCTGACAGATGTGAAACAGCCATCCGAGCCGGGCCGACATTGCATTTCTTTCGGCTTTATCTTTCTTGTACAGTTCCCCGGGAGAGAACCGTGGATAGACTAGGAAGTGCAGATTCGGAATTCTTATTTAGAATTCGCAGTTTTGCTCGTACATGAAGAGCATCGTTCATTGCGCAGTGGAATGAATCCATTTCAAGTCAGGGTCTAGCATGGTGGAGCCCTAATTGGTATCTCAGACGGAACACCGGACACAGTCCATCCACCAATGATATAGTTCGTAAGAGTTCCTGTGGACAATTGTTCCGTGTCCAAGGGAGAACGGATCCCGTTTGTCGTTCTATATTGATTAATTGCAAGTTCAGGCCATGAGGGGATACTGTCCTTAATGAAGTAGTTCCTCCGCGTGCGTCATGAGAGCGCTTGGATGCGCCCAACTATTTAACTCCAGTCATATTATCCTAGTCGAGTTCTTTTTCTTCAAGCAGCAGACGGGCCTTTTTCTTTTCCCCTTCAGTCACTTAGTTGGGACTTGTCAGCAGCTATAATGCTCTTCTCCTACCTTCTTGCGACTCTGCCTCTTCTGGCCAACGCCGCCCTCACCTACCGCGGCGCCGATATCTCTTCCGTCTTCATCGAAGAGACGGCCGGCGTTGCCTACAAGAACTTGGCCGGGGAGACCCAGGCTCTGGAAGCTATCTTGACCGATAATGGGGTCAATTCTATCCGCCAGCGTGTGTGGGTGAAAAACGGCGACTATGACCTGACCTACAATGTCAACCTCGCGAAGCGGGTTGCAGCTACTGGCGCCAGCATCTACCTAGATCTCCATTACAGCGATGATTGGGCGGATCCGAAGCATCAGGTATTGCCCTTCTCCTTCCAACTGTGCTCTTGACGTACTGTAACTCCATGGTGATAGACTGACAAAAGGTTATTAGACCACCCCGGGAGGCTGGTCCACCGACGACATCAACACGCTGGCCGACCAGATCTACCAATACACGTTGAGCGTGTGCAACACCTTCGCGGAGGAGGATATCAAGGTGGAGATCGTGTCCATCGGCAACGAGATCACGTCGGGGCTTCTGTGGCCGCTGGGCCAAACCCCCAACTACGAGAACATCGCACGGCTGCTGCACTCCGGCGCCTGGGGCGTGAAGGACTCCACGCTGGCGACGAAGCCCAAGATCCTGATTCACCTCGACAACGGCTGGGATTGGGAGCAACAGAAGTACTTCTACGACACCACGCTCGGCACCGGCCTGCTCACGTCCGACGATTTCGACATGATCGGCGTGTCCTACTATCCCTTCTACAGCGAAAAGGCCACCCTTGCCGCACTGAAGACCAGCCTGACGAACATCCAGTCCACCTACAGCAAGGAGGTTGCCGTGGTCGAAACCAACTGGCCCGTCAAGTGCTCCAGCCCCGAGTTCGCTTTCCCTTCCGACCTCACGGACATCCCTTTCTCGGTGGACGGCCAGGTCACCTTCCTGCAACGCTTGTCGGACACCCTGTCGGCTACTAATGCCGCCGGTTTCTTCTACTGGGAGCCGGCCTGGACCAAGAACGCGGGATTGGGATCCAGCTGCGAGGACAATCTGTTGGTCGATTATAACACCAACCAGGTGCGCAGCAGTGTGAAGGCGTTTGGACAGGTCTGATTTAGTACCTTTTCGGAGGGGTTCCCTTCCCTGTACCAAAACTTAATTTCCAATGCGTCCGTGCATGGATGTATGTACATACATATCGTATAATTATAGAACGGTAACCTTGAGGTTGTTGGAATTAACTCAATAATAGATTGATGCCATCATTCGACGGAAAAAAGAAAGAACCGACAAAGGATAAAAAAGGATACCTGCCCACCAGGTGGGGGTGGAGGAGAGAAGAACGAGAAAGGTAGCACCAGCGGTGGCTGTGCAAGAAGGCGGATTGTGGTTGAGTTCCACTTGAGAAATCCCATCAGGCCATCCCAATCACTAGCCTCGTTCCCGGGAGGCTCAAAGCGAAATGAAGAAGCGAAAGGGGGTGGGCAAGCGCAATCGGTGAGAGTCTGGGAGTCCGTCAGGCTGACTTTCTATCCCGGATATCGCAGTGATAGTCGCGGTTAAATCCAATCATCGACGTTCCTTGCAGTTAGGCATAACTCTAGTTGAGAAATTGTGGGGAGGCCCATCAGAGAAACGAGATATAGTAGTAGTCATTGATAGTGGTGGGGATCCACCGCTGAGTAGACGAGTTCATTAAATCTACCCCGTGCTTAGTCGTTTATTTCGCGCACAATGATTTATGATTTTTTTTCTTTGTTTGGAGCTGTGTTGCCTGCATTAATGTTGCTTTTATGAAGCAGAGAATCCATAGTTAGCTATGCTCATGAAATTAGGGCTCATGGTGGTCTGTATTGTCGGTATGGACAATACAGACGGTACTAATGACATATGATGGATCGAAATGATGTATTCTTGCCATGTTGTCGTCAGGCACCGTCATATGCTCAGATTCTGGACGAATGGGATGCCGTTGATTGTCCTGCAAGTCTTCGCTTCCAGTAGTTCTGCAGTGCTTGTTTGTGATCCGTACTGCAGATACACTGCGGTATAATACTGATCTTCCCTGCCTAACCACCACCTCGAAGAGATCGCTGTCTCTCTCTCGGTTTCATGGCTACCTAATGATTTTTAGGCTTAAGGAACAGACAAAGGACCTAACAAATGTATCTCCTGTCAGAGAGCATGGATATCTGTATGTATAAATATGTACGTACATACCGTACCGCCAACTCAGAGCCCGCAGTTCTTAGTCTTGGGTGGAGCATCAACCCGGCCGAATACAACACTGTGAGTGTTTGTTTCGTATTCTAGAATAATTCCTCCTCTTGCTTTTACCAACCAGATCCACCGAATATGGTAAGAAACTTGGTAGGCAGTGACATTGAAGGTTCAGAGACTATTATTAGATTCCCATCGAGAAGAGATATGAGTGAGGGAATAATTGTCAACACCACCTTTAAATCCAACCTCACGTGCATGGCGAGTGGTTCAGGCAGCAAGGCCGCCCAAGTATGGCTTGCTGGACCCAGAAAGGGAAATTATCTGGAAAGGAAGAAAACATGAATTTTCTTGATCAGGGGATCTTCGATCCTTTTTAAATTCATCGATCGTCTTCTGTTTCCACCACGACAACTATTACTATTACTTACTACTACTATTGCCTCCACCAGTGACTGGGTTGGGATCCCCTTTAATATTACGGAGAGGCTCTTCAACAAACTACTTAGCGGGGAATTGACGGCCCCCATTTTCTTATTGCAGGGTACCTTTTCTTACATACATCCATACATAATAAATAACATACTTAAACTCCCTTGTGGGAGAGCGAGAATGTGAAACATTCCCCCAGACCGACTTGACTTCCACTCCCACGAGGCTGATTCGCAAGGTGCACTCCCACAGTTGATCGACTGCCCCCTATCGCTCCTTACTTGTCCACCTTCCTGTCAGCGTTTCGCCCGTTCTTATATACTAAATCGTCTCGTTTTTCCCCATGTGCGCCTGAAATTGGCCATTCATCTGCCTTATCGCTCCAACAATTACTGTTCCCTCCACCATCACCGCCCCTCTCTTCCGCCCGTCATCGACGCGAATCCCCGCTTTGAGTGATCGAGCGATCATTCCATTGCTTCCACAGCGTCTTCTGCGCCCTCAGCCTTGCTTCGCGTGGGATCTATTCTGGGATACCTCGATTCGCGATGGCTTCCCAGGACACGCTCCGGGATGCAGGGCAATCGACTGCGGACGTTAAAAACCGCAGTGTGAGCCCCTCAGCCCATCCGCAGCACCAATACAACAACGCTTCGCCCGGCTTAACTCTAGATCCTTCCTTCGCTGTTTCAGCTTTCCAAACCTCTGCATCGTTTAATGCCAACCCGAATCCAAATTCACCGGGCGCCGAGTCCTACAGCTATACCGCGGGCGGCTACCTCTCCCCGACCAGCGCGCAAACACTGGGCCCGCCCGATCAAGCCTTCTCTCACAGCCTCCAACTCCAGTCCTTCGATCCAGGGCTGGTCAACCAGCTCGACCCTTCATCGGGGCTTCCGATGCAACCACAGCTTCAGCAACATCAACAGCCGCATGAGGAAAACTTCTCCACCCTCCTGAACTCAAACCCGACCGACTTCGATTTCTCTCTGTACCCGAACCATAGTCCCAACAGCACGACCGCCTCCGAATACGATTCCTCGCTGATGCTTGACACGCAGATGCAGCGACAAGTCAACCAGGCCGTCAACCCGGCCGATCTGGTCGGTCAAATGCCCTCCCCTCACACCGTCGCCTCTCCACAGATGTCCCCGCAGGACCAGCAGCCTCATCATTCATCTCCAGGCCCTATGTCTCCCCCAGGCTCAACGCCAGGGGCATACTATACCCCACAGCACTCCCGCCATACGTCGTTGGATCCAGCCAGTGCTGCATACCTGACAGGCAATGCGCCTCCGGACTGGCAGAGCATGATGGGTAATGCCGCCTTTCAGGGCCATCGGCGTGCCCCCTCTGAGGTGTCCGAGGTGTCATCCGCTGCGCCCTCTCCGTACATGTCACAGCATGAGTCCTTTGACGGGGTAGATAATAACCCCTCTCCGCTTTTGGCGCCTCAGAATGACCCGGGACTTTACGACAGCTCGCTGGGGATCGAATCCTTCACACTGTCGGAACAGCAGCAACAGCAACAGCAACAGCAGCACCATCAGGGCATTAGTCCAGTCCATAGCCCGTACATTTCTCCGCAGCTGATGCCCCAGCAGGGGAACGATATGATCCCTAACATGCCATATATCTCCGCTCCCGCCGGGAACCGATACTCATGTCCTCCCACGGATATCTATGGCAACGGAACGGAAGGCGTTCCTAATATGCCTCAGGGAACCGCTGTCATTGGGGATATTGGTCAGGCGTCACAGATGGCGCCACCATCCATTAACGTGGAGTTCGCGCCGCCTGCTAAAAACCCGATCTTTCCATCAACCAAGCCATCGGCAGATTTAGATTCGTTGAGTCCGCCTCCGTCCATGCGTAAGAGCCAATCCCTGTGTCCTTGCCATCGATCTGAGCGTTCTTTATCACATGCTAATCTAATAATACAGGCCGCATGCGTAGCAAATCTGATCCGTACGCCCATCCCGCTTCTCGCTCACGATCCCCGGTGTCAATAGCGAGTAGCCTGGAGCCTTTGGCCGCGTCATCCCCACGGTCGTTGTCGCCGTTTGACTCGACAGGCCGCCAGCCACACAGTAACCCATCGTCCCGGGATCCTTCGCCCTCGCGGTCTCGTCGTCTGTCTACGTCATCTATTGACAACCGCAATTATATTTTGGGTCTCGCGGACCCTCAGCGGCCCAGCGCAAGCCCTAATGATTCCAAGCGTGTTCAGAAACACCCTGCTACATTCCAATGCCATCTTTGTCCCAAACGCTTCACCAGAGCCTACAATCTCCGGTCCCATTTGCGAACTCATACGGATGAAAGGCCATTTGTCTGCACCGTCTGTGGGAAGGCATTCGCTCGTCAACACGATCGTAAAAGACATGAAGGCCTGCATTCCGGAGAGAAGAAGTTTGTCTGCCGTGGCGATCTATCACGGGGCGGGCAGTGGGGATGCGGTCGCCGATTTGCCCGTGCAGATGCCTTGGGCCGCCATTTCCGATCGGAGGCGGGCCGAATCTGTATCAAACCACTCCTAGATGAAGAATCTCAAGAGCGAGAGCGCTCGCTCATGGATCAACAGCATCAGCAGCATGCGGGCCACTTACAGCCGGTCCCGCAGCCGCTCATGGTGCCGGGCATGGATGGTCAACATGCCAACGGTTTTGTTCTCCCAGCCGCGCTGCTGGCACAATACCCAGCCTTGCAGAACTTGCAGTGGGATCAGATAACTGCGGCGGCAGAAGATCCTAGTGACATCGGAGGTCGTAGTAGTTTTGACGCCAGTTCCGGCGGCGAGTTTGGCTTCGAGGATGATGAGTCAAACCTCAGCAGTGTCTCCGGCATGAGTGGGTACGGAAGTCCCCAGGACAATCTTTACGTGATGAACAATCAGAATCAAATGCTGAACATCAACCCTGGAGACTCGGGGTATGCCTAACCATGAGTGGTGACTTGTTCGACTGACCTTTCCCTGGTCTCCTTTCACCTTTCTCTTCTTTTCCTATTCTCCAATTCAACGCCCCCTTTTATCATCATCTACACCCCTTTTATTATTATTATTTTTTTTTTTTTTTTCATTCTCGAAAGTTGGCATTGAGCCAATCATTTGCAGGTTACCATGGATTTTAGTCAAACATAGAGGGTTCTACTTTTTGGCGTTGAGATACCAGGTGGAAACCAGATGACGGCGATTAAACTTTCGTTGATATACCGAAGTACCGGATGCATTTTGCATGCTCTCTCTCGCTTTTGTTTTAGGCTTTTTTTTTCTTACTTTCCTTGCGTCTTCTATTTTCCTACATCTTGCTTTTGATTCGATTCCCCCTAGTCCGCAAGGGTTGCGGACCGTCATTATTATGTGTTTACGATGAGTCTTCATACCCATGGAAATACTCCATCTGTTTCGTGTGCGGGATATCCTCGAGTGGATGCGTGTTTGGGCTGTTACGTCTATTACCTATTGTGTCCGTGGTTTTTGTTCTGGAATATATTTCTGTTTTGCTCATAGAAGTGTGGTTGCCATCTATGTTAGGTCAACGTAAATCTGTTTGCTGACATTGAAAGATACGGGTTCCTTGTGCATACCGCATCGGTTGGATTTAGGGCAATGAGTGCTCTGGGTGAGGTCGATATTGGTGGGACAGCTTGGCATCAGGGAATAGCATAACAAGATACAGGTTCCTTCAAAACTCAGAGTGTGACAGTACTCTGTTGTTAGAGCCGGGAAGAAAAACCAGTGAAAGAGTATAGATATAGGAGATGCGCTGCTAATGAACAAAACCGCAATGACCACAGCCAACTCTTACATACACACTTATCCGCTGAGTCTAGGAGTTTCTAAGAATACAAAACATTTGATATCCCTGGATATCACAGGCCGACAAAAATCTGCAAATCACCGACCTTGCAGTTGGACGAGTTTCCCTATCTCGTTGATCCATTTGAGGGAGAATTCCTCCTCGGTAAAGCGCAGGGCAGATTTCCTTGCACGCAAGCGCATCGCCACCTTTTCCTGCTCCGGTAGAGCCAGTGCGGCCTCGAACGCAGCGGCGAACTCGTCTTCCGTTGAGGCGCGGAAGCCTGTCGCACCATCACCCAGATCAACGACAATATCCTCGCGAGGGCCACCAGAGTCATGTACCACGCTGATGAGTCCAGCGGCTTGGTATTCCACAACGCAGATGCCGAAGTGCTCGTTCCACATTCCGTTGACGCCGACCGATGCTGTACCGAGGTGGGAGAGAATGGCGGGCCAGCTGGCGTCACATATGAAAGTGGTATGATCGCGGATGCGGAGTTCATGCGCTAGCAGCCGGAGATTGTAGATGTGGGTTTCATCGGGACTGGCATGTCGAACAGAGCCAATGAGAACCAATTTGGGCTGTGGTAGCGACGCCGAGGTAGGATTCTTGCTGCGCTCCTGAAGGAAGCGCGCGAACGAGCGCAACACTAACGGGTGGTTCTTTTCAGGCCGAAACTGCGCAATGTACAGGATGGTGGGCTCCCTGTTTTTCTCGCTCTCTGCGTTTACTGTAATAGCCGATTGAAGCTCTGATACGGCCGTAGGTGGGAATACAACGGTTGGCTCCTTGTGAGTTTGCTCCCGCCGAGACGGGCCCCAAATGGTGCGAATATGCGCAGATGTCCAGGAGGAATTGCACATCACGACGTCCACATGGCCCCCCACCCAGCCGTAGAGACGGGCGAAAGCAAGCCAGTACTTTCGCTTGATCTGTCCCTTCAGTCCCTTTCCGGCACCTGAGTTAACTCCTTTCACGCCGGTCGTATCATCTAACGACTGGAGCATATCCGTGGATATCGTAGGATAATGCACATAAGCACCAGTTGGGACGGACGGGAAAAGCATCTTGCAGAAGGCCAGTGTGAAAGCATAGCCCATGGTATCGACAAACATGTCTGGAACTAAAAGATTGAATGCATCGTAGGCGACAATCAGAGATCCCAAAGACTGACCCAGCAGAGTCATGTAAGGATACATGCTGCTGACGACATATTTACGGGTAGTAAGGTATAGTAGGACCACGGTCGGAGAGTGGAGCTGAATGTTGAACCGATTCTGGACTCTCTCCAGCATGGCAGTTTTGTTGACTTCGTGATCTCCTGTATATATGGCGCAAATCGCTTTGGGCCAGCGCTTCTGCGTTGCCCTCACAGCTTCCCAAAGGACACGTTCTCCTCCGCCTCCAGCATTGCTAGAACGATATGTCAGCTGCGTCCATAACGGTATGCATACATCTGGCGAGGCAGTAACCATACCAAAATGGATGAAAGAACCCTATAATCCCGTCCCAGTCATCACTCTCTTGGGCCTTGTTATTGCCAGGTGTACCTGAACCGGAACTAGATGAGTCAAGCTTCTCCCAATCCTCATCCTCTCCCTGCGCCCCAGAAGACGATCTGCTTCGCTTATATGAGGCCTCCTCATCTTCAGCCCGGACCCGCGAGAGAAGATACTCCCTACGAGACCTTGTTCTTTTTTGGATAACCCATCCGACACCACGAAGGACGAAGCGGAGGATCGCCAGGGGAAGTCGGGGCAGCAGGACGCAGGCTGCGAGGAGCGCAAGGACGGTGATCGCCGTCTTCAATAGAAACAGCATCATGGCTAGCGAGAGACAACGAACATAACTATTGTATCATCCGTACGTTGGGCGGCGCGCAGGTACTACTGTAAGGAGCTGTGGAACAAACAGCTGGCGATTATTTGGTAGTTTCACTATCGATAAGCCGACTCGGAGTCCGTGCCGATCAGAAACCGTTCGGTATGGTATTGTATCGTATGACCTTATTCGATATTCATGTGACATATAATCACATGATTTGTTCTTTTGTTTTTCTGGTGTGTATCCGGAGATATCTCTAACAACGCAATTGCCTTTACTACTGTACTTTATAGATATATATTCTCTTCTTTGCTTCCTCTTCTCCGCATCTTGTGCTATCGCCCATATCGGACGCTAATAAAGCAACCAGCAAGCCATTGGCCGGCAAGATGAGGCCTTTCCATCGCTCACTCCGCGCGCCGCGGAAGACGACTTTGCAGCAAACCCGGCATTTCCACCCAACAAGACCGTCGCCTTTTGTTAACGAACTATTAGACGCTTCGTCCACATTCATACAGGGCGTTCATTCAATCAGTGGTCTGTCATGGGCAGTATCCATTCCATTGACCGCATTGATCGTTCGATCAACCGTCGCAATGCCTCTACAGATATATACCAAGATCCAAGCGCGCAAGGAGCGGGATCTGGTTCCACTTCTCTCTTCCTGGAAGAAGTACTACAAGGATGATATATTGAGAAACAAGTTCAAAGTCGACGACGTTAATGACATTCAAAACCTTTCGACCGCTACTCCTATGCTGGCGCAACGTATGAAATCGAAACATGCGGACTTGAGAAAGCGATGGAACATCCCAAAGTTCTGGAAGCCACTTAACTTTCTCCAAATTCCCATTTGGATATCAGTCATGGAGGCTCTCCGAGCCATGTCTGGAAATGACAAGGGTCTTATTCCGTATCTTCTGTCCCTCGTCGAGCCTACCTCTTCATCAGGAGCCCCTCGTCTCCATCTAGAGGTCGAGCCCTCCCTAGCGACGGAAGGCGCGCTTTGGTTTCCGGATCTACTAGCAGGCGACACAACGGGTATTCTGCCAGCGGCATTGACCATGTCTATCCTGCTCAACATCAGCGCCGGCTGGAAAGCCAAGAAGTTCTCGCAGATGGCCGATTTGCCGAAGATAGAGCTCTATAGGGCTTTGACCGTGCGCGGAATCAGGGCTTTCATTCAGGTTCTGGCGCTGAATGTCGGTCTTTCGTCTTACTACTATGAAATGCCCGCGGCGCTTCTGCTCTACTGGGTCACCAGTACGAACATTGCCACGCTGCAAACCGTTTTCCTAGACAAGTGCATGTTCAGGAAGGAACCACTAAAGCCCTGGAAGCAGATGCATATCGGGTACACTGCAAACAAAGCGTGCGCTCCGGAGGACTCAATTTACAGAGCTACCATGACGGACGCAAAGGGCTTCAAGGGACTCCACTAGGGGTGATTACTGGATGATTCAAGAGAGATGCATCTGTCAGTATGGAGCTTGCCAAATGGGCCGATAATAGCTGCGGGCCAACAATAAGAAAGGCCTGCTTTCGCTCCGCTAGGACTCACATGCTATATGGGGTCCAGACTAACCCCTCCATGATGTTCGAGAAGACATCTATGCCGCCAAACCAGAGTCACGCGAGTCAGACACGAGGGCGGTCATGTCCGCATCCAAATGTCCCGTCGAAGTCAATACGCCTGTGCGCAAAGTGAGACACACCCCGCAGTGGCTTCATCTTCTACTTGCTCAAAACTTCGGCCAGTGGCTCGCTCAAAGGACTATCAGCAGGTCTATCCTTACCTGCACTGGTTGGCACGTGAAAGAAGGATACGAACAGTCGACTTGGGCGTGAACCAGGCGATTTACCTACCTTCTTTCTTCTATTCATGTATATATCATACCGTCTGTATATATAAGCTCATTTAATATCTCAAAATTTGAACATAATCAACATAAAATCCAGTCAACAAAATACGCAAATCCTGCAAATTTCCGTCCATACTACTGTGACCCCCGAACCTCGTATGCAACTAGAAAGACGCCCGTTCCTAATAAGCTAGATCCCCTCTATCTCTACCAATTATAAAATTCAAGTCTCAAAATGGGCAGAATAATGCAGCATATTTTCACGGGTAGTAACTCTAGCTAACTCCAAGATTTCAGAGGCTTTCCCTTGTGATATGCTGACCTTTCAGAATATACAACATCTGATGGCCGGGACAACCATGGAAAACGTTCAAGGATACTGTCAGGCTAAGGGGTACGTTTGTCGCTTGCTAGTTTGGTCTGATTTTCTCTGGTCTTGGTGTGGCACTTACTGTGCTATGGTGCTGTTCGGTTACTTTAGATATATAGAGTAGGTTCATGCGCTCATAGAGTGGTGTTTGTGAGGTAAACGGCACATCTATTCTACCGTTATATGTAGATACAGTACACTGAAGAGATGATATATCATTCTAAAGAGATGTGCCATTCTAGCTGATATTCACATAGTAGATCACCACCCAAAACCAAAAAAAACGCCAGATCTTACGATCATCTAGCATGCACATACTAAGTGCTCGGGGACATGAAAATAAAAGAAGAAATGAAAAGAGTACGAAATGGATCATATGTATATGGGACCCGTACGATAAAGAAAAGCAAGTATGTGGTAAGGTCTTACGGCATTGATGTCAGTTCTAGTATCTCCGGGATGGTCTAGAGCTTGGCTCTAGGGTTTTCTTCGGATGCGCTGGCTTCCTTGTTGATTTCGACGGTGCGGGTGTCGGGGCTTTCGCCGAAGAAGATAACCTCTACTGTAACATCGTCGCTGTATTTCATGTTAGTTTGTTTCTGGTGTTGGGTGGGAGTGGGACTGCAACGTACCGGTAGCGACGGGAGTATGGGCTAGGGAGGGTCAGCAGTGCGCAGACCATGTCCTTGTCCTTGCCGCCCATGGCGTTACGCACGAGGTGGGTGGCGGCGTTGTTGTCTTCGACTGTGAATCGGTCGGCGACGCCTGAGATATCATACTGCTGTTGGCGGATGGGACGGCGCTGGCCTTCGGTTCCCGCTTCTTGTGATGTCTCAACAGGAAGCTGTTTGCTTTCGAAACCGAGCCAGCTCTTCAGCCACGTCTTGTTGCCGCCCACATTTCCAGCCTGCTGTTGCTCGATCCACTGGCCGACAAGTCCGACGACTTCCTCGTTGCTCAGCATCTCCCAGAGACCGTCAGTAGCCATGACGAGGAAGTCTCCCCGGCTAGGTTCGACCTTGGTGGTAGTGATGACAGGCTCAGCGGTGACATAGGGTGGTGTCTTCAGCAGAGGGTGGGGTGTTCTTCCGAAGAACTGCCGCTTGATTTTGTCTTGAGTCTCTTTGCTCCACTTGTAGAACGCATCCCCAAAAGATCGGCTAGGCTCCAGTTGGCCTAGGATTCTTCCATTCCGTACAACGTTAGGTTCTCCAGGGTGTTCGGCCCGTAAACGCTGCATTTCGGAAGGAGTCCCGCCGGTCTGGTCTTCCGACAGCGCGGTTGCAGACCACTTGCCGTTCGGGCCACGGCGACCAAGGACGGCCCTAGAATCACCCGCACAAGCAACTTTCAAATCCTTTGACTGGGAGTCATAGAAGGCAAGAAGAGCGCAAGAGCCGGACAGAGCGGGAGCAAGTGTTTCGGCTGCAACCCTCCGCGAGTTAGATTTGAGTACCTTTTCGACACTGTTGTGTACGATATCATTATCCAATCGGGTAAATCCTTGCTTAATAGCTGCGTCGATAGCGGCAGGGGTAGGTGTGAGTAGCGAAGGATCAGAAGCCGCAGCCTTGTAAGTGGTGTTCAATTCCCGAGCCACGTAGGAGATGAGAACATTTCGCAACTTAGCGGAAGTCGTCCAGCCACTTGTAACCCAGTCAGTTCTATACAGATTTATCAGCGAATAAAAGTGGATACACGTACGAATGCCCGTCGAACACGCCCCAGAACATCCAGTCGCTGTTGGCTTCGCCCTCTTTCGCTGTAGCTACTGTGGACGGCACCTCTACAATCTTTTCGGCATGATCGTCTTCAATTGGCGAGTTACTAGGCACTTGCACCACGTCATAGCGGATAACACCCTTGCCTCGATGAACCAAGTACGATTCTTCATTCTTCCTCAGCTTCTGCGTAGCTTGCTCTGGCGTCAACATTTCTAGGAGTCGGCGATCAGAGTCGTCCGTCTGTTTACGAAGCGGTTCTTCTCCGTTGATAGTAGCGGTATAAAACTGATCATTATCCACCAGAAGCGCACGGCGGGTTGGCTCCGAGGGGTCCTCAGCGTAAGCCGTGGTGGAAGTAGATATGGTCCGGTTCAAGCCCGCTACTGCTGCCGACTGAGAACTGCTGCCCTGATAAGCGTACCAGGCCCCGGATGCAACGACCGTCGATATCACGGCAAGCGAAAAGTTGCGGAGATGCATCGATGAGTGTAGGGTCGCGGGAATGATAGGAGGATGTTTCCCGGCGGAGGACGGTCGGAGAGCTAGAGAGTGGCTGCTAGTGAACGACACAGCACGCGGTTTCCTACCAGCAACTCTCCATACCGGTACACGACGCGCGCTACGGAAAGCGTGAAGAGCTGCACGTCGCATCGAGTAGGTGAGTAAATAATGTAGTATAGAGAGTTGTAGGGTCCAGCAGCGCTGGAGGGAGACAGTATGATGACACAAGCTATTTACTAGTCTAATGGCGGAGACCTTTCGGGGTTTAGTCGGACCCAGGCATCCAGGCATGCAAGGGTGACGGTTTATCATGTGATATCGTATCGTTTTGTCTTCGTATTGTAACCTCGAAACGATGTCCCGCGCTAATCCCAAATCGACTGTGTCGTCATTCCCCGCGGTTGTAAATGAACAAAAAGCGCTTTTTTTATTACTTATACATCACAAAACCAACTCACCAATTCCCCGCGCGGGCCTCGACGATCACACTACACTTGGCTGATTTAGACAACCTTACGGTCAGCCCTGAATGTCCTCCCGCGCACTTCGCAAGCTGCAAAAGCTGCGCGAGCAAGAGTTACAGCAAGCATCATTACAAGCAGAAGAAAATGATGACTCAAGCGAAGATGAGCCCGTATCCCAACCTTCAAAGCCGAAGTTGAACGCCTTTGATTTACTGAATGCCGCCGATGAAGAAGATGATGAAGAAGAGCAAGAGTCCGACAACGATGCTCACGAGCCGGTGACGCAGCCAACGGAAGATATACCTGTCCCAGCGAAATCGGCAGATTCCAAGAAAAAGAAGAAGAGGAAAAACAAGAAGAAGAAGGCTTCTTCGAAAGCCACCGATGAAGCAACAGCGAATACCAAGGCAGATGATGAAGAGTTAGACGAGATTGATCGAGCACTGAGGGAGCTAGCCGTCGACAATAACCGTTCCGCACAAGGCGATGCCACGACGGCTGCAACGGGCAATAATCGCGACGCCTCGTTTCCAAAGACTCCGGCGGAGCTTCTCGCCATCGATCCGAAGTCTCTCAATGCAACGAATGAAATGCGAAAGTTGTTTGGTAATGTTGTGTTGGAAAACTTTGATCAAGAGGATGCTGGCGCAGGCCGCAGAAGAGACAGGAACCGGGAAACGATTGACCTCGGTCGCGCATTGACTGGCAAATATAGTCCTGCGAGTAGAGGTCAGAGTTTAGCTGGCGTCACGCTGCGGCGCAACGTCCTGATGCAGGGCAAGGATGAATGGCCTCGCACCCCTAGTGGTGGCCTCGGGATGGAGCTGGTAGAGAAATCATCAACTGGTCCTACGGTCTATCGGATTATTCACAACGCTTCCTATAAGGACGTGCAGATGCAGTTCGATATGTGTGTGGAGTCAATGGACCCTCAGAGAATGATTCACCTACTACAATATAATCCGTACCATATTTCGACTCTGCTCCAAGTCTCCGAAATAGCCAAGCACCAAAGTGACCACGCTGTTTCCGCTGATCTCCTTGAACGCGCGCTTTTCAACATTGGGCGGTCGGCTCACTCATCGTTTGGTACCAGTCTCAAGGAAGGTCAAGCAAGGCTGGATTTTGCGCATATGGCGAACCGGGAGTTGTGGCTCGTCGGCTGGAGATACATTGCCAACTTGGGAATGAAAGGAACCTGGAGGACAGCCTATGAGTGGGCTAAGATGTTACTTGGCCTTAATGACAGTGATCCATACTGTATCAGACTTCTGATCGATCACCTGGCCCTTAGGGGCCGAGAGTACTCCCATTTTATCGAACTTTGTACACAAACCCGGTTGAGAGAGGAATGGGCTTCTCTGCCAAATATCCAATGCTCACTTGCATTGGCATACCTCCGGTTGAACAAGCCTAAGGAATGTAGAGAGCAGCTTCGTCTCGCCATGGCTCGCTATCCATGGGTGTTTTGCAAGCTAGCGCAGGAGCTTGATATCCAGCCCATGCCTAAGCAGATCTGGGGCAAGATGCCTCCGACTGACGCTCATGAATTGCTCACTGAACTCTACATTGTCCGTGCCAAGGATCTCTGGAACACACCCGAGGCAGTCTCGTTGATCGTGGAAGTTGCAGATACCTTGGCAGAAGAGGAAGAACCAGTTGAGCCTCCTGAGATCACACTCGATATTGCCCGCCATGTGGTGCTTTCAGACATCCCTAAAGTCACAACGCATCTACCCACACGCTTTGTCTCTGGGCGGATATCAGCGTCCGATCCGCTCCCTCCCTATGACTCAGAGGCCTTCCGCCAACAGTCGGATCCCACCCCATCGTATTTGTCTCGAGTGCCAGAGGCTGGTCGCCCACAGTGGCTGCGGGACCTTCTGGATCAAATGAACAATGGCGCTATTCGTTTCCCTGGGTTCCAGGGTGGAGAAGTGCATGACGAAAACGGACCGAGTGGTGAGGGTGAAGACGAGATTAATCCCGCACGTCCACACCCTAGCGCTGATCAGCAGCCACAGCTTGAGCAGTGGCTCCTGGCAGATGGCCTTCACAGTCTGGAAGCATTTTTACGCCAGTATGGTGTCGATCGCGGTAACTGGGGGGAGGTCGTCGACTACTCTCCCTTGACTGAGTATGTAGATGCCTTGGACGCCCTCCAGCCGGAGACTCGACAGCGGTTACTCCACGGTCCGATTCGGGACTCTACGGGTGAGATGGCGATCGATTTGTTGGAGGATGAACTTCAGCTACTAGAATATGATGAAGATGAGGATGTGTGATTGCATCACCCTCATTGCGTGTATAGTGACAAAATGATATACCATGATTACATCGCTAATCACCTATAGCTCTTGGATTCGAACGAACAACAGAATTGTAGTTATTATAATGTAGAAAATACAGAGAGGAAAGTCGTATGTTTTGGGTGTACTTGGTACCGTGTCTTCGTTTTGTTGTATTGTATTGTGGGGTATACTACGTATGTATGGGATTATATATACAGAACTGGGGTAGCTTTTAGGGCAAAACGTCATAACAGGGCCTGGTATTGTCCAAGCTTCCATTTTCGGTTACACGCATCCGTTAAATTTAGAATCGGACCAAAAAAAGAAAAGAAAAGAAAAGAAAAAACGTTCCTTTACTTTTGCTTGTTTTGTTTTTCTAAAGAAAATAAACATCATCGGCCTTAATACTCGACTGGGCTCAATCAAGCGGGTGAAAAGATGCTACCTCTCAATGATCGCAGCTTAGTAAAACCTGCTCTGAGAGGCAGCGGAACAACCCGTAACTATAATAAAATCTTAATCCGAACCTGACATTTGCATCTGCCATGCGTAGGACTGTGCATATCTTGATCGATGAGAAGACTATTGGGAAAAATTCAATCATCAGATTGGACTTTGCCACTGCACTATATTAGTGACTCATGTGCTATCACGTTACATCCGAGCGCTTCGCGAGATAGCTAACTTTTTTCCTTATCTCTCCTCACGGATCGCCAGCAGATTCAACCATTGTTCACTCACTCAGGAAAGAAAATGTCGACTCTGTGGTCACAGGTCAGCATGGCCACGGCAGAACCCGTACCGTTAACCACCCGTGAAGCTGCCTCCGGGCTCTTGGGATCTATTTCTTTGACCTGCTGGATCTTCGTTCTGGTATGTGTTTATCTGCTACGTTGCTCGACCGCGCTGCGATTCGCAGGGCCCTGCGAAGACAACCAACTAAACTACCTTTTGCCAGGTACCTCAACTTATCGAGAATTATCGCAATGGCAATGCGGAGGCCATCTCTCTTGTCTTTCTCGCCGTTTGGTTCGTTGGTGACGTAACCAACCTAATCGGAGGCCTTTGGGCCGGGCTGGTTCCCGTAATTGTGGCTATCGCAGTTTATTTCTGTATTGCGGATGGTGTGCTTATCGGGCAATGCCTCTACTACAAGGTGCGGAATTCGCGTCTTCAGGCCTTCCATCGTCGACGTTCTTCCGTCGAAACACCTGATCCGACCACCCCGTTGCTGGGCCGGCGCTTTAGCGATAGCCTTCAAGAAGGCCCGGCTTCGCGCCGTCGGTCATGGGCGTCACAACACCGTGATGGCCATGCTACTGGACCCGACGATACACTAGCAAAAATTGTCGAGGAGAACGAGGCCGGTCGTAGTGCATGGGTGAAGAACTTCAGCAGCGTTCTGGCCATCTGCGTGATCGGAATGGGTGGATGGACGATCGCATGGCAATCTGGTGTTTGGCAGCCGGCACCTCAGGATGATGCCGGGGGTACCGAGATAGCCGTTGGAGCCCAGGTGGTTGGGTATTTCAGCGCAATCTGCTACCTGGGGTGAGTTTTATAATGTAACCGAGTGGAATGGTTTTCAGGACTGACAAATCTTAGTGCACGTCTTCCGCAGATCTATAAAAACTGGAAGGACAAATCTTGCGAGGGTATATATTTTCCTAACCACGAGGCACCGCAGATACACTGCTAACTGGTTTTACAGGACTCTCGCTTTTATTCTTTATTCTCTCCCTCTTGGGGAATTTGACTTATGGCGCTGGTGTAGGTTTTCATTTCCAGATCGATTATTTTGGTGCCATTTGAGGCTGACAATGTACAATTTAGATCCTTTGTCACTCAACGGAGAAGAACTACATTGTTACAAATATACCTTGGCTGCTCGGATCGCTTGGCACGATGGTCGAGGATATCACGATTTTTATACAATTTCGTCTCTATGCGGTTGCGGACTCTACAGCCGCAGGGCCATGACTGTCAAGGACCAGGGTACAGTCACGCTAATAGTTTAGCGCGTTGATCGACTTTACGGGGACGCGGCGTCGTTCCGTTAGTGATCACACTTATCAAAAGTTGTGTCGAGTTTTTTTATTTTAACATCAAACAAAGTTGCGGGGCTCATGTGGCATGGCGTTTGTACTATATTTATATCATGCATGACTTTGTGTTTTTTTTTTTTTACTTTAGAGCAATGGGAGTGGGCGGGAATTATGAATAGCTTTATACAGACAATGCAAACAGAAACCTTTTGTTCATGGTCGCATGACAGACATGGCATGAGATCTGGGCACCTAAGCTCGAAACTAGCTAAACTGGGAACATTTTATATAGAAACGAGGACGGCCAACATGATCTCGCCCCCGACCCATAGGTGTGCCACGACTGAAGTCTGATGGCCGGAATCATAGCGTCATCCGTTCCAGTACCTGTCATCGAACCCATCATACAAGCAAAGCGCCCAGTCCCACCGGATGTCTTTGTCCGTTGATCCCTTTTGAATTTCCCTTTTTGATCATCGTGCGGTCGCGTAGTATGGGGTACAAGAAATGCGAGGGCGAAAAGGAGATATGGAAGAAATGAGGTGAAAAAGGAAATTAGGAAAGCCGAACGGGTGAAGACGCTTAGTCGAAAAGACCGAAGCCCATGTCCTCGTCGGACTCCTCCTTCTCTGTGTGCAAAAGTCAGCACTCCGTGCACCTTCGCAGACTCTTCATGGATCGAAGCGTTACCTTCTTCCTTCTCCTCGGCAGCAGCCTCGGCGGGGGCAGCAGCGCCACCAGCAGCAGCAGCGCCGGCGGGAGCGGCAGCACCAGCGGAGCCGACGTTAGTCAGGAGCTCCTTGATGTCCTTGCCCTCAAGAGCCTGTAAAATCGGAGTGTAAGTTGCTGAATCCTGACTTTGCGTCTTTCTATCTGTCGCTCGAAAAGTGCCGGATATTTACCTTGGCGAAGATGGAAGTCCAGATGGGCTCAACTTCCTGAACCTTGGCGGCGGTCAGGAGAGTCTGGAGCTTGTCGGCCTGTGGTGAGTAAGAGACACGATCAGCCTATATTCCCAATGCAAAAATTTTCATCTCCCAGTCTTCAAGATTTCCCGCAGCTTTCCACCTCTTTGCGACAACCTCATGTTGTTCTATCGATTTCCCACAATGCCAACTCAAAATCCAAGGATAATACGTACGGTGACCTCGACGCCATCATCGGCGAGGATGAGGGCCGCGTAGGAGCAAGCGAGCTCGGCAGTAGACATGGTGGTCGATGGGGTCGTTGACTGGACTGGAGTCTCGAGAGGGATGGGTATAGGAAAGAGAGAAGAAGACGGGAGACTTTTAACTCGGCCTATCTTTGAGAGTCCGGTAGAGGCCCAGAGCGGAACTGGTACTGTGTGCACCTAGGGCTCGCTTAGGGCCTTGTTCTGGCTTAGCGCCAACGCCCCTCCCGTGACTTTTCACTAATCCCGAATAGGCAATCCATGCCATCATCGTCTGAGTGCATCTGATCCGCATGATGCAGTTTAGTCTCTAGATCGAAATATCTCCGTATATCTCTCGCGTTTTATTATTTCCGAAATACAGGTACCACTCCGTTCTATACCTCACCGATCTAGCACTTGATATTTCTCTCCCACCCACACCACCTCGTACACTCTACATTGTCCCGCTCCGGCGTCATGGATTCCCCCGCCGTCCCCGCTCCGTTGGATCCGCAAGAACAGCCAATTCTCGACCGTCTGCTGCGCACCCGCGACGCTCTCCTGCTTATCAAGCAGGACAAGTCCTCTTACATCAAGTCTCGCGACGTGCTTCCGCTATACGAGGAGGTGATTTCAGAGGTGGAAAAGCTCAATGCCGTTCGGAAGGGGAAAGACCGCCGGCTGCCACATAACCGACGTTAGCACTGAGTGGGCCTTGCGTTAAGTGTAAGTTGTATGAGAACAGGCTTGCTGACTGTTGCCACTTCCCCGAGGTTCTAGTTGACTATGTACTGGATGATTGCTTTCAATTGATCTCGTTGCTGTTCTTGACAGTTGGTCGGAACAATGAGGCACCTGCAGTGTACGTGCCTCCTGATAACATGTTGTTGATCCGATCTGATAGAGACTGACGGTCGATTGCGCTGAAGGTATTCCTTGGCAACTACAGTTCAGGTAATTGGAGACAAAATACATTCTTCCGTTTCTTCCGCTTTCTAACGGACAAATAGCGACTTCTTGATCACCTGCAAGAGGCTGGCTTCTACAGTTCTAAAGACCTCAGCTCCATCACAAAGACTCTCGCTCATGTTGACGAAACCATCGACCGCTGTCGCAATGCATACTCCCCCGCTTTATTGACACTTCTAGAGAGCCGACTGGAGAAGTGCCGGCTTTTATTAGACAAGTTACAGGGTGATCTTGCGCAGCTGAGCCCCGAACTTGTGTCTACTCATGAGACACTTGTGTCAATCCTGCGGTCAACCTCTGCCGTCAACACTCGTTCAAAGGTGTGCACCTTTTTGTCCTACACATCCGCTGATTCTAACCAAGTGTATGTTAGTTCTCCGCGTCGGAGGTGAATGGGCTACGGGATCAATTGAAGAAGATCCAGGATTCTTTGAAAGACGGCAATTTTGTTGGCGCTGATGGGCAACCTCTCCCTGGACAGGAGAATGTGAAAGGCTTACTAGAACGATGCTGGCAGTGGACGGAGATTGTTCTGCAACGGTACGTCTCTCCAAATCCTATTATTTCTCTGCTAATCCCCGACAGGGAGGGAAAGATTGATGAGCGGTTCCAAGACCAGTACGAGCGGTTGGTTGACATTCGCAACCAACTTGATCGGCTGTCTGTAACACAAGCGTGGTCTCTCCGCGAGACCGATCTGTTCGGCTTTCAACGAAAACTCGATCGTATTGATGAGGCACGTGTGAATGGAAACTTTGTCGATACGGAAGGACAACTGGCGGATATTCATGCGCAACGGGTAAGGGTCCAGCACATCTCAACAATCACAAGTGTGCTAACTTGAACATGTAGACCCTTCTGTACTTGATCAGGAGGAGCTATGGATACATCTATGCGCTTCTAATCTCGTCAGAACCGGTATCTGAGGCATTGTTACCGGTGTATAACCAGCTCCAAACGCTGAAGCGCTGCCTCCTTGAGGTTAAGGAGTCTGGCGGCGTGGCGAATTCGCGTGAACTTTACCCATATAGTATGAAGGTAAGTCTGGGGTTTGGGACATTCGTGGTGCACGAAACATTGCTAATATGACCCAGCTGAACTCCATTGATAATATGCGAGTAGATGGGAAATTCTACGTGGGCAGCGACATCCCCGAGGGACAGGGCAGTGTGAATTCACTATTAGCGGAATGTTACGATATTGTATGGGAGCTGCGGGCGGCCGTGCAAGAAGATGAGGACCGGAATGCCTAATTTGGTATTCTTTCTTTCTTTCTTTCTTTCTTTCTTTTTTTTTTTTTTAACCATTTCTCATGTATTAATGGCGATCTGGAGGAAATCTTGGGACGAACTTGGTTTGTTCGATCTCGGCGATCGTGAGGCTGTTTGCTCTTCTCGTATTTTAACGGCGTTTTGTCTGGCGCATTGCCAACTGTGTTGTTGCTCCATGTGGTACTAGTAGTAGTTGTCATCAAATCTACTAATGTCAAAACTTATCAAGTGGGTAATACGGTATCATACGTGAAAACTGGCGGGACTTCGGCAGTCGAGAGATGGGGCCCCGAGTACAGTACGGTAAGATGGATCCTTTGGCATGTCGGCCCGGCATCGGCGCCGGGGTTATCCAATCAGCATGGAGGTAAAAGGCAGCCGAAGGCCAAAATAAAATAATGTCGCCATCGAACTCAGTTCATGTCCTTCTTTTCTTCTTCCCCAATTCATTTCAGGTTACATTCAGGCGGCACGATGGTGAGGCAGCTTGTTTGGCAGCGGGCCACCGCCTCTCGCAGGGTAAGTAACCTCAATGGCTGCCTCTTACTCGATGATCTATACATCTCCCGTGTACTAACCTCCGCTATGAATCATAGCTGGCTCCGAAGTGCCTTCCCCCACAAGGACTGTTCAACCGCCGCGGTCTGGCCACGGAGGCTTCCTCGGTGTCCTCTCGCATGCCCCCCTACCCCAAAATCCTGCGCAACTTGGAGGAAGTCCGTCGTGTCTTGGGTTCGTCGCGAGCACTCACCCTTGCGGAGAAGATCCTCTACGCCCATCTGGCGAACCCCGAGGAGTCATTGTTGACCGGCACGGACAATGGACGTGATGTTCGCGGCAAAGCGAATCTCAAGTTGAAGCCGGACCGTGTGGCGATGCAAGATGCCTCAGCACAGATGGCTCTATTGCAGTTCATGTCGTGCGGTCTTCCGTCGACCGCAGTGCCCGCTAGTATTCACTGCGACCATATGATTGTGGGTGAGCGTGGTGCCGACACTGATTTGCCTGCGTCGATCAAGGGTAATAGTGAAGTGTTCGATTTTCTGGAGAGTGCGGCCAAACGCTACGGTATCGAATTCTGGGCCCCCGGTGCTGGTATTATTCACCAGAGCGTCCTAGAGAACTACGCCGCCCCTGGATTGATGATGCTAGGCACTGACAGCCACACTCCGAATGCGGGTGGTCTCGGTGCTATCGCCATTGGCGTTGGTGGTGCTGATGCTGTGGATGCGTTGGTTGATGCTCCTTGGGAGTTGAAGGCACCTCGCGTTTTGGGTGTGCGACTGGAGGGTAAACTGAACGGCTGGGCTGCTCCCAAGGACATTATCTTGCACTTGGCAGGCAAGCTCACCGTCCGTGGAGGAACTGGCTTCATCATTGAGTATCACGGACCGGGTGTGGAAACTCTTAGCTGCACTGGCCAGGCTACTATCTGCAACATGGGTGCTGAGGTGGGTGCTACCACTTCGGTGTTCCCATTCTCTCCCAGCATGATCCCGTATCTGCAGGCGACGCACCGTGGAGATGTCGCTAAGGCGGCCGCGGAGATTGCCGCTTCGGGTCCCAAGAACCTTCTGCGTGCCGACAACGGTGCCGAGTATGACCAGTTGATCACAATTGACCTGTCGACGTTGGAACCACACATCAACGGACCGTTCACGCCGGATCTGTCGGTTCCACTTTCCGCCTTCGCCGACACAGTTCGCGAGAAGAACTGGCCCGAAACCTTCGGAGCTGGACTGATTGGTAGCTGCACGAACAGCTCCTACGAGGACATGACCCGTGCCGAGGACCTTGTCAAGCAGGCCTCCGCTGCGGGACTCAAGCCCAAGTCTGATTTCTTTATCACCCCAGGCAGTGAGCAGATCCGGGCAACCCTCGACCGCGACCAGACGCTCTCCACTTTTGCCTCTGCAGGTGGTACTGTCCTAGCTAATGCATGCGGGCCATGCATTGGTCAGTGGAAGCGGACTGATGGCGTCGCTAAAGGCGAGGATAACGCTATCTTCACTTCGTACAACCGCAACTTCCCCGGCCGTAACGACGGCAACCGCCGGACAATGAACTTCCTCGCCTCCCCCGAGCTTGTCACAGCGCTGGCATATTCTGGCCGTACTACCTTCAACCCTATGACCGACAGCTTGACGACCCCGAGTGGTGAGGAGTTCCGGTTCCAGCCTCCGACTGGCTCTGCGCTGCCCGCTGATGGCTTCGAAGACGGCAACCCCGAATTCAAGCCCACTGCGGCGGCCCCCGACCCGAGCTGCGAGGTGGTTGTGTCGCCCACTTCCGAGCGATTGGCTCTGCTGGAGCCATTTGCTCCCTTCCCCAAGGGAGATCTCTCCGGTCTGAAGGTGCTGTACAAGGTCAAGGGCCAGTGCACCACGGATACCATCTCCGCCGCGGGCCCATGGCTCAAGTACAAGGGTCACCTGCCTAATATCTCCGCCAACACCTTGATCGGCGCCGTCAACGCAGCAACTGGCGAGACCAACGTCGCCTACGACGAGGCCGGCAAACAGTATTCAATCCCCGACCTGGCCGCCCAATGGAAGGCAGAGGGAACCGAGTGGCTGGTGGTCGCCGAGGACAACTACGGTGAGGGTAGCGCTCGCGAGCACGCCGCATTGCAGCCTCGCTACCTCGGTGGACGTGTCATTCTCTCTAAGAGTTTCGCCCGTATCCACGAGACCAACCTCAAGAAGCAGGGTGTCGTGCCTTTGACCTTCGAGAACCCCGCTGACTACGACCGCATTGACGCATGCGACAAGGTCGACACGGTCGGACTGTATGAAACCCTGCAGGCAGGCGGACAGGGCTCGATCAAGCTTCAGGTGACCAAGCGGAACGGCGAGGCGGTTGAGATCCCGGTGAAGCACACTCTGAGCCCGGATCAGTGTGCGTTCATCCTGGCAGGAAGTGCATTGAACTTGTTGGCGCAAAAGGCGGGAAAGTCTAATTAGATTGTACATATACCAAATCTGTTGTTTAATTATGTCAATGTCAAAATTTCCTCATACTATCGATATTATACTGTTACCTCTACTGCGTATACCAAGACCACCTCCACTCCGCTCCGCCCCCACCAGCCCCACCACCTCCACTGTTGTTTACATCGAGCTGACTTCATTGCGCATATTTATACACAGTCCAGGCACCGTGTAAACCAACTCCAACCACCACATACCATAAGAAAACTACCCAGACATTAACCCATCTCAAGCTACCCAACACAAAAAGAAAAGAAAAGAAAATGGAAACCCTTCGTACCGCCTACGCAGACCGGCCCCGCCCGCTCCTCTCCTATGGCGTGCCCTTCGAAACCGCCGCCGCAAAACACATAAATGACCTTTTCCACGCCTCCCGAGTCTACATAATCTGTTCGGGCTCCCTATCCCGGAACACAGACGTACTCGACCGACTGAGCACCTCCATCGGAAAAGACAAGATAGTGGGGACCCGCATCGGCATGCGGAGCCATACATATTGGTCCGAGGTCCTCGAGATCGTGGACGAAGCAAGAAACCGCGGAGCCGATTTGATATTAACGATTGGAGCGGGGAGCCTGACGGATGGAGCGAAGGTTGTTACTTTGGTGAGATTATATACTCCTTACCTGGCTTTTGATCTTCCGTAGTAAAGACGTTTCATAGAGTCATTTGTCGGATCACTAGTTATATGTATGACAAACCAACTAATGCTAAACACAAAGGCCCTATCGAACGACGTCCAGACAGCAACCGACCTCTCCAAACTCCTCGTTACGCCATCCCAACAAGCCACGATCCACGCCCCACACATCCCCATCATCAGTATACCGACAACCCTCTCAGCAGGCGAATACTCCAACTTCGCCGGCGCAACCAACGATGCCACGAAGCGCAAGCATACCTTCCAGAGCCCGATCAAGGGTCCCGAACTCGTGATTCTAGACCCGGCTCTCACGACCACGACCCCCGATTCCATCTGGCTCAGCACGGGGATCAAAGCGGTGGATCATTGCATCGAGACGTTCGTCGCTGTAGAGCATACGAGCGAGAAGACAGACCGGCTTGCGTTGCATGCGTTGGGGCTTTTGGTGCCCGGGTTGCTGGGATGTAGGTTTGATAAGGAGGATGTGGATGCGAGGTTGCAGTGTCAGCTGGGGTCGGTGGACGCTATGGCTGCTTGTACGGCGGGAGTGCAGTTGGGGGCTAGCCATGGCATTGGACATCAATTGGGACCGTTGGGGGTTGGGCATGGGGAGACAAGTTGTGTGCTTTTGCCGGCGGTTTGTAAGTTTAATGCGCGGCATGGAGCGAATGGGGAGCGGCAGGAGAGGGTGAAGGGGTTTCTTTTGGGACAGGGGGTTGTTAGGGAGGTTTTGGAGAGGAGAGGCTTGGATGTGACGAAGGTGGATCTGGGGGATGTGTTGGACGCGGTGATTCGGGAGTTGGGGATGCCTCGGTCGTTGAAGGATGTTGGGGTCGGTCGGGATCAGCTGGATCGGCTGGCTGAGAATAGTTTGCAAAATCGGTGGTGTAAGACGAATCCGGTGCCGTTGACGGAGAAGAGTCAGATATTAGAGATTCTGGAGATGATGGTTGAGTAGATATTTTACTTGGTACTGGTACATATACTTGATATATCGATTCCTGTATATATGGATGAGGAAAAACCGGGTTGTGTGTATCTGCAATAATCTCATTTAATGACATCCCTAAAGTCCGTAGACGCTATAGGCTCGTAAAAAGTAAATCGACAAAATCCATATCATAGACATTCCCTGCAATCATCCCAATCTACTGGAAATAACTCCGAACTGCGGCCTGGTTGTCTGGGTTCACACCAGCCAGGATCTGATCTGCGTTAAGTCCGGTCGTAGCCACCAACTGCTTCGCCGAGTTGGCCACCCGGGCGGCCGTCTGTCCTTGCAAGGTCTCTGCTTCGAGAGCCTGGACGATGTGCCCGAACACCTTGTCGGCGTTGGACATGACAGTGGGGTTTTGCCTGCATAATGAGTTAGCGCGATCTGGTGCAAGCATAAAAATAGTAACTTACTGGTCAATGAGCTGAGCCAGGAATGAATAGGCATATGGAGCCGCCTCCTCATCGAATGTGATTGGCAGGGTCGTAATCCAGTTGGCCACGACCTCTTGTGGGTTCTGCACCTTGCTTGCATTGTAATGCAGGATCTTCGCAATACTGGCGGATGCGTTCTCGGTGGCGAACACATGTTCCTCTGTCCGGGACTGGTTGAACTGTGTTACCTGGAATAAACTGGGAAGGCTGGCCGCAACGAAATCGCTCCAGGCGGCACCACCCTTCTGCGCGGCAACACCTACACCATATGCGGCTGCTTGGCGGTTGGCTGCGTTCTGATCTTGCAACCCTGCTGCCAACGGCTGCATAATGTGGTCCTTGTACTTCCACGACTCGGGCCCACAGAACTCCAGCACATCATCCATAATGCACAGAGCCCACTGGCGTTGCGTCGGGTCCTGGCTTGTGATGAACGCATCGTAGAATGGCATCAAAGTCTCCCACGTGGGCAGGAAAGATGTGCCTTGGTTCTTAAAGATCGTGTGGAATGCCTTGTTCATATCGCTAAGCAAGTTCTGGTCATCTTCCACTGCGTACTCGTATTCCAGGTTCTCCTCCTCCCCGTCCTCGGCCTCAGCACGCTCCTCCAGCCGAGCCTTGACACGGACTTGGTAGTCCTCCAACGTCGATTTGGCCGACTCAATGAAGGTGAGCAGGTGCTGCTGGGTGAGGCAGTTCTTGCCCACAACCTCCACGGATTCGTAGAAGCACTGGTACATTTCTGCCAGGGTATCAACCGTGGGCTCCGCGCTCAGCACCTCGATGATCTTCTCGGCCACCTTGTTCCACATTTGTGCGAACCCAGGGGACTGGTCACCGTGGGCCTTCTTGTACGAGTTCAAGAGCTGAGGGATCAATTTAGCCGAGGAGACCCGCACTGGGTCGTGGAAGAAGAAAGCAAGGCCAGGTACGGCAATCTTCTCCATAGTCTCGAGCACGTACGGCTCAAAGGCAGCTTCCAGGATCTGAGCATAGATGGTGATCAACTCAATGGCAGTGTTCTTGTCTTCCAGCGCGCTGGTCTTGATGCCGATAATCTTGCCCTTCAAAGGCACCAACTCCCAGCCTTCATCTTGCTCAACCTGGTCAATCTGGTCCTCATCATCTAGCAGTTGAATGTCCGCCTTGGCGGCCGCAACGGAGAGGAGAGGGGGCATAACACCAGGGAGATAAGGAACGAAGTCCTGGCCCAAGACCCGGCACATACGGCCCCAGCAGTGGAGCAGATACTGCGACTGCGGGTCGTCCGCATCGATGATGTTCTGTTGAATGTTGCCCAGCAACTGCACTAGACTCAGAGCGTCCTGTCCCATCTTCTCCTTACCCACAGCCAGCGCAATCAGGGTAGCACATTCCATAGCCTTAGCACGCAGAAGACGGTATTCCTTGGACTGCTCCTCCTTCAATACGTTAAAGAGCAAAGGCATCAGGGTATCATAATATTGATCGAACGCATTTTCAGCAGAGTCGGCAATCGTAGCAATAGTGGAAAGAGCTTGTTCCTGAACGTAGCGCTTGTCGCTGCGCAGGAGCTGCAGAAGATGGCGCAGAAGCTCGGCAAGGTAGGGCTCGAGGACCTTCCTCTCAGCCTCTTCGCAGAAGTTGACCAGCGCCGCGGCAGCGTGGGCCTGGACGCGAGGCTCGGCACTGTTCAACACTGGGATGATGTTGTTAAGCACAATCGCGTGGTACTTCTCCTGCATTGTGCCAGCAAAGTCGGTGCTCATCTGACCCAAGGCGTTGCAGCCTGCATAGCGGACACGAGGGTGGGGGTCCTGGAGAGCGGGAACGACCAGTGCCAACACCTGGTCCAGCTCACCAACCATCAGGTCGCGACAGCCTTCTGAGATAGCGGAGATAGCCATAAGGGCCGCATGGCGATCACGCCAGGCTGACGAAGACATCATCCGGGGAACCCAAGAGAAGGTAGCGGGAAGGACGACCTGTCCACCAAGCTTGTTTGCCAGACGGTCCATGCATTGTTCTCCAGCCACATGGTTGAGGTCGCTCTCCTCCAGATCAAGCTAGACAGGTCAGAATATGTGGTACACAGTGAGCATGGACAACTTACATCCTCAGATGCGTTCCACTCGGAAGCGTCATCATCATCGATACCGATGTCAGTCATGAGGCTCAGACACTGGGTCACCATCTCCTGTGCAAATTCAGGGTCCTTCTTGCACATGTTGGGAGAGTAGTCTGCAAATGTGGCCATCAATTCCAGGGCGTTTTGGCGAACCTGATCACTAAGATCCTTATCGGCAATTACGCTGATACTGAACTTCACCAGATTGTTGAACACGCTCTTGAACATCTTGGGAGAAATCTCAGCCAGCTCAATGAGGGCCAAGAATCCCGCGGAAAGCTCGTCGCTCTCGGACGATTCCTTTAGCGGAGGCAAAACGTTGAGGAGGTCTGGCACGAGCTGGAAAAACTTGGGCTGAGATTTCTTCGAAATCGAGCGGAAGAAGGAAGCGAAAGCCTCCATGGCAGCAATGCGCACCTGCAAATAGACGGTCAAAAAAACTGAAATTCCACCAGCCGATGCTGAGGATTGAACGTACAGACACAACGTCATCCTTGAAACCTTTGCCGAACACACCCTGAACGGCGTCTTCGTGGGGCTTCTCAATGATTCCGGGGGTGGTCGAGAAAATGCGGAAGGCAGCCTCACGCAAGCCAGCATCGGGGGATTGACTGGCCTGGAAAAGAACCCCGAGAAGCTCAGGCCATTGGTCACCTAGAAAAGTCATTCGTCAATCCTAGGATTTCCCAGGTCGTCTAGGCTGCATACCGTTATCGGTGTACTGTCTCGCAATCTCAGCCACTGCGTCGCCGATCTTCTTCCGGACATCCGTCACAGTCTCAGTCGTCAAACAAGTAACCAGCTTCTGTCGAATGACCAGGCGTTGCTCTCCAGTAAGTGTTGAGAAGAGCTCTTTGGCTTCATTTGTGACAGGGTCCTTCCGTGTCTTGGTAGATATTCTCCTGAACAGCACCGCAGCGAATGTACGTGTCTGTGGTAATCAATAAGAATGAGGATGAGGACCGATTGTGGAGGAGGAGGCCTTGGAGCAAGGTGATCCGTCTCGGCGCTTTCATGCGACCTTCCCCCTTGTATTCCGAGTCGAGGCACTTACTACTAGTTCCTCTGCGCCTTGAATCTGCTCCGCCAAGCCCATCAAAAGGACATCCGGACGACCTTGAATCCAATCATTATTCAACTGTTCTTCCGCCTGTGTACGGACCGTGTTATCCGGGGTGGTCAAGGCGCGCAGCAGCTGCGAGAGCGCGGAGTGGACCTCGGGGGGTAGCAAAGACATCTCGTCTGCTTAAGCTGAAGGGTCCAACCGAACGGAACAAACGAAGTCGCGATCCAGGAAGACGTTCAAATGCGGGCTCAGTGCTGAACCCAGGCGGTGAGTGGGGTAGCGGTTAGATAGGATTTTTCTGGAATTGTTTTGGTGGGGGGAATATAGAGGGGGAAGTAGTGTCAAAAGACCCGTACTCAAGACGATCAGTAAATGGATTATCTCTCAAGAAAACACACAGCTCAAACGCAGGCTCAGCATCCCAGCTGGTTCCAGAGCTGCAGATGAACTGGAGGGGAGAATTAGAGGTTCGCGAGGGAGCGAATAATGGATGTGGGATGAGGGAACTGAGCAACCAAAAGTCCAACCCAAAAAATTCCAGCAATTCGAGGCAGCGCCGCGCTAGACCCAAACAGGGCAATCCCAGGCATCAAGGCATCACCGCAGAACCAACGACTCAACCTTGTCAGCATCCAATTTATGGACTAGTAACCAGTAGGATTGCAAACATTCGTGCTCTACCGATCTAGGGTACTAGTAACTAAATCCCTTTGAATATACTATGCTGGTGGAAAAACTGAAAACGAACCCAAATCTTTTTCTATGCGCTGTAAATCACACTATGCTCTCAATAATAACAACAGCGGTATCCGAACAGTCAATATCAGAAATTAATGCAGACAGCTAAACGATGGCCAAAAAAAAAGCGGAGAAATAGCGCTCTTGGGTTACACTGAGGAAAAGACAAAAGAACTAGATACAACAATCCCACCGATTCAACTATATCAAACAATGCTCGCTAGACACACATTACCGGGAAGTGGCCCGACTCAGGACGAAAACACCCGCAATGACTGCCGCCAGTGTGACAATTGCACCAGGAAGGAGTAAGTCGTTAGGTACTCCGGCAATGAATTGCTCTTCTTGGTGATGTGAGGAGAACGTCTGAGACCGGGGCTTTGGCACATATGGTTCCTCCGACAACTGATCCTCTGGAACTGGAGAGGTCTTCTCCTCCACAGGCTTGACAGGTGCGGGTTGGGGTTCGACAGTAGCAGGAATTGGAGGTTGCGTCGGGTCATGGACAAAGAGATCAACCTTGTCCCGACGCGACTGCCGTGCCAGAGTAACTGCATCAGCAAGATCCTGGTCAGTGGTAATAGAAACAGTGTCTCCCTCATTATCCAAGTAGCTCAAAGCATAACCTGTGTTGCTAAGTTTACCCTCGTCACAGGTTGCCGCACCGCCGACAGCGTCCGCCTCGGATCCTAGCTTGGCCGTGACTTGGGCAACTAAATCAGCAATACCCGCAGAAGGGAGAACGTTAACACGGTGAACGCGGCCACTTGGCGCCTTGAACTTGAAGGGGAACGGAACAGGTTCGCCATGATGATGATGGTGATCGATGTATTCGGAGTGCTCATCGCCACCATGGTGAGAAGCAGACTCATTAGGAAGCACACTGTCTCTGGCGTCATAACTAGCCTTCGGAGACTCAGGACTGAGTACTGACCGATTATTGGGCTGTTGGCTACCAGACACCATCGAGTCGGATTCATGGTCCATAGACAGCCAGAACTTGTTCCATGCCGGGCCTTCATCATCATGCGTCGACATCGAATTGATCTTGAAATCCAGTTAGATACTCTGCGCCTATTGCAGGTGAAAAATCATTTACTAACCTGTTCCAGAGTGGCATATGTGAGTTTCAGCACATCGACCATACCAACAATCTCGCCCGTCTCGTTCATAACTGGTAGATTCAAGTAGTGACCGTCTGCGACAATCTAAAATTAGAGACCGTATCTTTGGAAATCCAATGGGCTATAACTAACCGTGCATCTTCCGTAGCGCAGCTTGAATACTCATATCGGCGGGCGCAAAATCAGGGTGAGGAGTCATGACGCGAACCACACTACATGTCGACGGGTCGAGACCAGGAGCAATGACACGCAGTACGATATCTTTGCTGGTGAAGATACCGGTGATCGAGCCCTGATCCTGCACCAGAAGGGCGGTGGTGTGGTGTTCCTTCATCATAGCAGCAGCTTCCTTCACAGACGTGCGAACGGAGACTGTAACGGGCGGCAGGCCATCAAGGACAGTCTCGAGAGTTGGACCAGACATCTTCGAACGCAAGGCTTCGACATACTGGATGATCTGCTGAGGCTGGCTGGAGCCGAGTTCCGTCTGAACGCCTTCCAATGCATCGTATAGCTTGCGGGACGAACTGTATGCGCGTTCCAACTTTTCCATCGCATCGTAGAAGCACTTCGTGATATCGAGAACACCAGAAATATCCTGGTTCTCATCCATAACTGGCAAATGTCTGAAACCCTTCCTAACCATGAGGTCGAGTGCATCGGTAGCACTGGTATCGGTTCTCGCGCATAGAGGGTTCTTGGTCATGATTTCGGCGACGGTAATATCTCGAGCTTTTTGGCCAGCCCCCACCACACGAAACGCGAGATCCTTAGCAGTGAAAATTCCGGCAATGCGATCATCATCGTCGGTAACCAAAACACAGTCCTCCCGCTTTGCTGCCATCAGTTGAGCGGCCTCCGCAATGGTCATGTTAGGTTTAATCTGAAGAGCTTGACTAGGTTTCAGGGCGAGAACGGTTCCTGGCGGAGCTTTCCGAGAACGATGCGCCCTTGTCGGGGCTTGCTTCTTCTTGTTGAGGTCCGCCTCCATCTTTCGGCGGATAGCCTGATTGGGGTGTTAGAATAGGAGTAGAGAGTTGTATAGCCATTTGTCCCATCTCAAATTACAATGGGTTGGTTTGGAGACAGAGGTGGGAAAAAAGGGTAATAGGTGCAAGAGGGAAGGGAAAAAAAAAAATTGGTGAAGAGGGATGGGATACAGAGGACGTGCGTAAAAAGTTCAAGCTCCGTCGTAGCTATAAAGCGTCACACGGCGTAACCAAGGGAGAAAGACCATACCTCATCTCGCTTCGACTGGTTCTGTCTTTGTCTGCTGGCAGCACTCATTGTTGAACTTCCAATGTCGCTGGAGGCAGTGTTAGGATTGGGTGTGGAAGAAGTAGCGGTCTCAGGCCGAGGACGCGGAATGTGGGATGCCGGACTATCGAAGTCGGGCAGCCTACCTCTGCCCACAGTCTTGTGGCCAGCCATAGTTCCCCTGTACGTTCCAGTGGCCGACATGTTGCCAACCAACAGTACTGTAGGTACGGTTACGCAATGTGAATGGTGAGTGGGTGTGGGAGGGGAGAGGGTACAGGAGATGAAGGGAATTGGGGAGTAAAGGAGAGCGGAGACAGGTGTGTATGTACGGAGTATTTAGTAGTGATATGTACTAGTACCCTCAAGACTGGACAGGTTCACGATAAACCAGAACAGGTCAAAGTAAGGGAAGAGAGGGAAGAGAGACGATAAATTGAACGCCAACGAGAAAGTTACGGGCAGACAGGGGGTCTCGAGTGGGTTTAGACTCAGTCGGGTGGACGAACTATTAGCTGTTAGTTTACGGCAGAAAATGGGACGATTGCCCTGTTATGATGAACGGGTAAAGTAAACAAAGTACCCGTATTGGTGTATCGTAAGATTCTCGGCTTTCAAGTAAGACGGGAGGATCGGCACGTGAACACATCATACGTCCCTCATCCTTGTCTGGGCGCCTCAGGCCACTTCCGCGGACGGAGTCTTCTCTTGCCTCAGGCAGAAAGACCTCCCGCCTTCCGCCTCAGGCACTTAACATCCCGTGACTAGGCCTCGCTTAAGGGCATAGGGCTTTTGCACATGACCGGCCTCGCACAACCTCATCACGAGTCTTCCGGTGCTTCACGACAACCAAACCCGACAAGCCAAGTACGCGACAACCTTCCCCTTCCCCCTGACTCTTCATTCTCTGACCCATAGTTCCAGAGAAAAGCCGTCAAGATGGTCAAGAAGAGGGCGAACAAGTAAGGACCGACCCTATCTCCTATACCCGTCCGAATTTCATTACATGCGTGCCTTTTGATATGACGCCTACGGGTTCCGGTATATTCTACATGGCCGTGGGAACCCGGTTACCGACGAGTGTTTTTTTGTTAAGAGAACGGAAAACGGAAAGGGGCAATTTCTGGAATCAGCAAAACTGACAGTTTTACAGCGGTCGTAACAAGAACGGCCGCGGCCACACCAAGCCCGTGCGCTGCTCCAACTGCGCTCGCTGCGTCCCCAAGGACAAGGCCATCAAGAGATTCACTATCCGCAACATGGTTGAGTCCGCTGCCATCCGTATGTTCGAACCTGATACCCGCAATTGAAACCCAAATTCGCCGCGCACTGTTGTTCGGAAGAGCTGGAATCGAAGTCTGGAACTGGAGAAGGAGTTATGAACGCAGACGGCAACAGCACGCACGAATTGATGGGATACGATTTGCAAACGCAACTGGGACTGACTCGACGATTTTTACTGTATAGGTGATATCTCTGACGCCTCCGTCTTCACCGACTATGCCGTCCCCAAGATGTACCTCAAGCTGCAGTACTGCGTCTCCTGCGCTATCCACGGCAAGATTGTTCGGTACGCATTCAACCCCGGCTTTTGATAGACTTTGGCGACCTTTATGGACCACTAGGAAGATTGAACCAAGCTGACGGAAATCCCTCTCACAGTGTCCGTTCCCGGGAAGGTCGTCGCAACCGTGCCCCCCCTCCTCGCATCAGGTACAACAAGGACGGCAAGAAGCTGAGCCCCCCTCAGGCCGCTAAGGCTATGTAAGGAAGGGAAACAGAAGAGAAAAATGGATTAGTTTAAAAGGCTTGTTTCTTTTCTTGTTTCTTTACTGAACAGACTTTCTTACTCGGTTCAAATGGAATGAATGGGTTTCAGTTTTGGGGTCGAAGGCTTGCATTACGGGTCGCCCGTGGGCAGGAGACGCAAATAAAACAAAACAAAATCTAAACATTTACTGTTCACAAAAGGTAAACGAATATAGCCCAGTGGAGACGGGAACCCGATGCACCAAATGGATCGGCCAGGGGCTTTCAAGATTCCATTGTATTTCGACATTCTGACTTGGTGACGAAAGGGAATCCAAGCTCGCATAACGACTGAAAGAGAAAATGACAAGATACTCCAAACGATCCCATTTCCATTCTTGTAAATCGACCTAGTGGCCTCTACTTCTAGTTGCTTTGCCCCACTATACGGAGTAGTTCCAGTATACTTATGTTAGGCTGTTAGTGCGGGGATCCCTCTAGAAGTGCACCGCCATGACTTACACGGTTGGTTTCTTATTTTGGGGTATCTAACTTGATGACATATACATATATGATGTAGTAAATACATGTTTGCGATCTAGAACCAACCTTCAAGCGAGGCAACATGTTCCATACAAGACTTAAGGATATAGGTACCCTTTTTCAAAGTAATTTCCATACATATCAACCACTCCACTCCGCCCTTTGGGTGCGGGGTTTCGGACAATTTTTACTTCGCCTTTCCAATATCCTTCCACATAATGCGACAAAGCCAATTGAGGAGCCGAGGCTGTTGCCAGAGTGGACAGGCTTGGAGAAGGCGACAATGGCCCGAATGATGATAACGACCCCGAAGGAGATAGGAGCGAAGACGTTGTGCCTATCGTACTCCTTCTTTTCCGGTCCCTGCGCAACAGATTCTCATATTCAGCTTTCTTTGAACGCCTGAAAGCGGCCAATTCTGCGATGAGGTCAACCTCCGGAGCATCAGCTTGAGGTGAAACCACGCGGCTGTTATTCCGCGCTGGCCCAGAGTCGATGGAAGAGGGACGAGAACGGCTGCCATAAGAGGAGGGAAAATCCGGACGGTGTAATTTCTGCGCAGAAGCAACCGGCGTTGAATGCCCTGAGTTTCCAGAATCATCATCTTCTGGGATCAAAGTGACTTTCTCGTTGAGAGCAGCCATTGGGAAGTACCTCCCTGGATCATGGTTTGGGACCCCGCATTCATCCTCACCGAAGAAACTGAAGTCGTCCGCTGCTGCCGACCACAGTTTCTCCAGATCTCGATCCCCAGTGCTTGATTTTGAAGCCCCTTGTTGGTAGCTCGTTGATTTCCATGCAGTTAATTTGGCTGTTGTTCTCTCAACAGGGGTTACTTCAAGTACCAAGCGCCGCAGTGCAAACAGTGACCGAGATCGTTCTTGTTCAGCTTTGGCTCGAGCTCGACCAGGAGGAAGCGAATAGTCTGATCCTGCTTGGAGCGTTGCCAGCAACGCCTCATGTGAGCAGGCTGTTATGAAGCGGATTAGAGACCTCAGGATGGGGGAATTCGCGGGCACATGGGATGGAACATCAGTCAAGACCAATGTCTCAAGATGGGGAACAAAAGAAGGATGCAGATACGGAAAGCTGTTCTCCTTGTAATCTTTGCGAGGTAGGACGGAATTCCTCGGTCTTTTTGAGATGAGTTCTTGGATTTTCTGGGTTTTGGGATCGTCCATCACTCCGGGGGATGCACATCTTGGGATTGTACCAGGCGTTTCTGTATTCTCGCCGAACTCCGACTTGGTCGGGATTAAGCCTTCTTGAGCCTGGGCTGGATGGAGCGGACTAATGGTAATAGATGTAGCATCACCGTCTGTCCTGGTATATGGTGTTGCAACCACCTCGGGGGCAAAAACAGAACCTCTTCTTCGTAGGGGCAATGGCTCATCTTTACAAATAGGCGCCTGCATACCATGTCCACGTTGAAACTCTGTTCTCCATGCCTCTGGAACTGGTGACCCCGCAAGCTCAAAAACAGGAGCTTCCTCTGCGGGGAGCTCGTGGATCACATTTGCGGCGTCTAGCTCCGGGGTTTGATCTTCACTTTCAGCTGGAAGTTCTGCTACAAACCCATTCGATGACACAGGGTCTTTCCAAGGGGCATCAGCGGTGCACACTGCATGGTGAGCACGTAGGTACGTTAGATTCTCTTTTGCGCCAGAACCCAGAATTGGTATCAATTTTTCGGCGCCAGGAAGCTTTCGGGGGTCTTTGTGATATGAGGATATAACACGCGAGTCCCGAATTGACTCGGCGGTGTCAACTGTTCCTACATCAAGAGCGTGAAGTCGGTATGAAGCTATAAGGCTTGCGGCCCCCTCGACTGTAATCCGGTTATCTGCGATATAAAGATGTGTAATGCCCGCATGTGGTACGTTCTCCACCCACGAACGACCCGTCAAGGGCCGTGTTAATGCTTTCATGAACTGCTCATCTAACGTAGGGCAACTGAGCCATTTCGAATTAGTCGGTGGCGATGTTGCTGGAGCGAAAGGCCCTGGTGCTGTCGTTCCCACCTCTGGGCCATGGCTGACTGCAGGATTGCCTGGTGATAGGAAAGAAGCTTGCAGTAAAGATCGGACAGCCATATCAGTGAGCCTGTTATCCCGCAAGTCAAGGTAGCGAACTCTCAGACCGATAGCATTAGCTAAGAACTCTGCGTCGCTATCTCTTAACCCAATGCCCCGTAGTTTCAAGACCTGGAGATGCTCCAGCTGAGATAAAGCAGATAGAACACTACAATCTCGAGCTGGGGTGGTATAAGACAGATCAAGATATACAAGTTCCTGAAAACGTAATAGTGCCTCTGCAAGCCCCTGAGAGGTTGTATTAGGTTCGTGGTCCGCCAACAGCAGACGAACGTTATATGTAGGGACTGCTTCGTTGACCTGTTCGCGGTTCGTATTATTTCTTAAAGCTACCATGGAATTATGGTCAAAGAACGGCAATTTAGAGACAATCAGAGACTGAAGGCATGGTAAATACTCGAGAATCTCCCTCAGCCATTCCGGTCGCGGACCTCCGTAGATTTCTGAAAGAGCAGGAGGCAGATGAAGCGTATGTGTTAGCATCCGCACCTCCAACCTGGCATACACCAGGGTTCTCCTAAACCTTGTCAAGGCGACTACAATGCAGATATCTTGTCAGCTCAGGCCACGAATGGTGTGTCCAGTGGAATTACCATAAACGGCATCATTGTCAGTCCCAAAGTGAGATGCAGGATCACCCCACAAGAACGGCATAAAAAGTGCATGCCATTTCCGACATACTAATGTAGCTGCGCATAGGTCGCTAGATGGGATATATGTAGCAATAAAAGACCACGCATCTCTGGTGGTTGCGGACTGGTAAGATGGGGGCACAAGATCCATCGTTTTACCGCTTAGTGAATGATAATGCTATGCCTGGGATAAGATAGCATCGTAATAGTAGGATCTCAGATCCAAAATGTCTCTGCCAGAATCAGGAAGAGATATCGATATAAAAATTGTCAGGTGCACCATTATTGCTTCAGGGAGCCAAGAAAAACCGGCCCCCATGATCATCCACAAATAAAGACCCAGCACTGCCACTTTTCGTATTGGGCGCAGAAGCCACAAGCTTCTTGATACACTACTCGATGAAACAAAGATAGTGAAAATATGTAGATATGGCACCCTCCAATATTTATGATTGTTTAGAGAACTAAAATCATTATAAGATGCTTGCAAGTAGTAGTATCTCCTCCTCCGTGTTTTACTCGGTACGGTATTTTACGCCAATCAGCAAACGATGTAAATAGATTACGCCCAGCGTATGGATTTCCCCTGACGTCATTTCTCCTATTAGAAAAGCAAAAACAAAGAACAAGATTCTCTCATCTGAGCCTCCAGCCAATCTATATTCAATACGCTTCACCAACAACACCTCCAATCTTGGTTTACGATCCGTCAAAATGGACATCTGGCAGCGAAATGTTCGTATGATACATCAGATCAGCGAGATACTGGACCTCGACTCCGCAAAATCAGATACAGTCGCCGATCTCATTGAGCTCATTGAAGCAATGCGAGAAGGGCTTTCTCAAGTTAACGAAGAATTCCGGATCGCAGACTCCCAAATCAATATCCTATTTCTTAATAAGCTAAAGACACGGCCAGAATGGAAGAGCTGGGCGACGGATATGCTTTGTAATAGTCGATTGAACTCTTCAAATCCGATTGACAAAATGACCTTCCAAGAGGTTTCAGAGTTGGCTATGAGACACGAAAAAGTCATGAAGGGGAAGAAGAGAAATATCCAACATGCGCGGAGTAAAAGCACACCTCATTCTTCTCTTGACGCACCTTCGGATTCTCGAAAACTTACGCAGGAGGAGATAAACGCATTCGTTGTGCAGCAGATGAAACGAGATGAAAAGGCGCCACGACACAATGGAACTATTAGGCGGCACAGCAAAAAGCCCAGTCAAGAGGAGATTAATCAGTATGTTGTTCAGCAGATGCGTCGGGAACAAGAGCGCAAGACCAGGATGAGAAGCCACAGTCAGCCGGAGCCGAGAGCGCAAGGAACCCATGTGCGATCAACGCCCACGCGCTGTACTTTCTGCGGCGAGTCGTCTCACCAATACAACAATTGCTGGCGTCGCTTCAGGGTGGCTGTTGAGGTACCACATGGCAACTTTGTGCCGAAGCGTGTCGAATTTAGGACAGAAATTCCAGGCCAACCTCCTATGTATCGATCGGGATTTAGTCTTGTTTAGGACCGTACTTTTGTCCTCTCCGAGTCCGACGATGACGAGGACATAGAACCGACATTACGGTTGGATACGATTACACAAAATACCGCTTCCCCATCTTTATTTACGTAGAATCTCGGGTAAGACCAGCGTTCAGCTACAGATGAATATCCAACTGAGTTGCTTTAGGAACACAAATATAGCATATAATATCTGCTTTTGCCGTTGTCCTTTCCTCATATGGTGGTTTGCGTTCTCCAGATTTCACTCAAGGCAGACCTGTCGGTTTGTGGTGAGCGATGGTTGGGAACCCTAGCTGGCGGTTCATTAGTTCCTTGAAAGTCGGGTCTTTTTGCAAAGTAGCCTCTACGACTGGCCCGTCGCCCTCCAGCTCCATCTCTATCTTTCGCAGTCTCGCTTGGATTGCCACACAAGCATCGGCCCACGCACAAACCGTACCCGCTAGTCCTTCATGCAGTGAGAACGGGCGGTCAGGCATACGATAGATGTTCTCGGGCGAGTTGCTGTAAGGCGGCGTCTCCCGCGCATGCAACAGCAGTGTTAGCGCTCTAGACAAGAAATAGTCGCTTGAGAGATTGTCTTCTAAGCGTTTAGTCTCGATTGTCTCTGTTCGCTTTATGTAGTTGCGCTTCGCTGTCTGCATCATTTCCACATCGTACTCAAAACTGTCGTGCATGAGTAGCAGCGGCAGTGCATTTCCAGCAATGCCATGACACAAACTGCCACCCTTCGATAGCAGTCCTTCTCTCCAGACGCTTTCAGCTGCTAAATGAATAGCTTCGTCCCATTCGGGTTCCCAGTACTCAATGACTAATGGGGTTCTTCTTGCACATGCCATGAGAACCAACAATCCAGGGCTACCATGACATAACTGCACAAGTGGAGATGAATGACGGGAAGACGGAGGAATGCGTGTGGGAAGGTGCCCGTTATTAGCAATACATATCTTGCACAAACCTGTGATAGTACCCGCTATCCAAGGGAGATATTTGTGCGAAGCGTCATCATTGACCTCCTCGGCATGACAAGCAAGGATAATCGCAAGAACACCGGCTACGAAGTATTAGCTCCGAGAAACCCTGCGGGAAACTTGCTTTTCTCTGTGTACATACCGATGCCATGAACACTTGGGCTTTCAGTTAGTACGTTGAGCCTTTTAAGTTTTTCGTCGGGGGAGAGGGGTGGGATACATTGGCCGGGGTGAACACTCACGCGCCTAGATAAAATCGGTCTTCCTTCCACGACCACATCAGGGGCAGCGCATCCTTCTCTCCGTGCATTTTGATATAATTCTTCTGTCCTTGTCTTCCGGCATCGACTATCACGTCAATAAGGTCAGGTAGAGCATCGAAAACAGGTTGTAGGCGCCTCCTTGTGTTCTCATCAAAGTGCTGAACCCGGAGATTGAGGATGGACCAGAGCAATCCAGGTCGACCGTAGATAAGCTCATCACCTCCCATCATTTTATCTCCCTGAGGCACCATGGGTCCATTCTGGATTGCCAGCTTAACCGCATCTTCAAGACAAGTGATGTCGGCATCGGAGATTACATTGCCATCCGTCGCTGCTGCTAAGATACGCATCAAGGCCCCTGTTACTGGGGAAAATGATCCCAGAGGCGACAGCCAGCCTGGTTTCAAACGCAAGTCCGGTCCATGTGGCACTATCCGCTCCCTCGCTAGTTTACCGAAGTCGATAGGAGCCTTGCCTGGCTCTGTCAAGGATAAAGCTTGACGCTCAAGCCTCAGGAAAGCGAGAGCGGTCCCTGGGATGCAGTCAGTGAGATAGGCAATGTTAATACTATAGAGACTTCAAAGGTGTTCTATGTGTATACGTTTGACGTCGTCGGTTCTGGAATGGGGAGTCTACAGTACCTGCTACTCCCAAGTACAACCCGGCACTACCCCACTCCGCTGAAGGAGGGCAGCCTTGCTGCACCAGATGAGTTCCATGATTAACGGCCCCGCGAAACTCATGGAGAGCCTTCTGCAAATTCTCTTGGTTTATCTGCAGTGGCTCTAGCGTGTTTGGATAATACTGAGGGGCACTCATGATGGCGGCATGTGGTTTCATTATACCCAAGTTGTGGAAGAAGTTTAGGGTGTGGGATTACTCGCCTATGGGAGTTTGGTTGGTTCACAAATGTGGGAAAGATTGTCCAGTTTCAGCCGTAGATGCCTTACGAGTACTTCTCCCTATTAAGTGTTAGTGGTAGGTGAGCTGTCCAAAATATATAGTACTGTGGAGAAGAGGGAAACTTTGTCGGTTTTTGTACTTACTATCTTGCAAAGACAGATGAGTTATGGTGATGTATCATTCCGTACATAGGGCTCTGCATTATAAGGAATATAGAGTAATGGATTTGTCTATTATCGTTTGCTATATCATGAAATTGCCGGTAGTTTGTAGATAGTTCAGCGATAGTTTCCTGGATCATGATCCCTCCTGGTGGGGCCCCGATGACTGAACTTAACCCCAATGGGAATTTCATACCTGAGGCATTAAAGTCATCTAATATAGATAGTATCGCCGCTCCCGGATCAACCATAAGCCCGCCAGCGGGACGACGTTTTCTCTGCTGCGTTCACATCATTCCGGACTCCAGAATACTCGGCGGTCCTCGAAGTGCCCCTCGGGGACAATCAAGTATTAAAGGAGAAACGTTGTTTCCGATTTCGCCCTCAAAGTCAGTGCTTCTAGACCCTGTTCTGGTAATGTCCCTGCCACGGTTTTTCCTATCTGGGTCCCTCCTGTATCTTGCTTGACTCGTAGTCTCTGTGATGGCCTTCGTGCTATTTCTGTCCCGCGTGGTCTATTATCCCAGCGCTTCACACTTGTGATATACCGATTCGCAGCTTGCAATCACATCAGATTAAATCAATGCTTGATATTTGCTCAATCAACTAATAATGGTAAACAGTCCCGTGACCGGCTCGGCCGGCCCAAGGTTTCAACATGCCTGCTGTACATGGGGATTTAGCGTCTATGGTGATGCCTGCGGACCAGGAGCTGCTACCGGATATCTACCCTCGGCAGGTTACCCTTCGCGATCGCGTTACGGTCGCGACCCTGGTACCCTTTATGTCGCCTGATGATGTGCCTCCGTCTCTGTTGGGCTACCTATCAGACCAATTAAATAGTGAGATTGAGAAGGGCGACACCTATGCTATGATTGACCCTATCCCGTACAATGAGTTTAAGCACTATTGGTTCTCTAACTTCGGTGCTATCATGCTCCTCGGGGATATCAAGAATACGCAGGATGTCAAAGCCATGGATAGGCCGGGAATGAATTGGCCCAAGATCTGTCTGGGCAGCTTCACTGTCAGACCAAACTACCCGGGCCGTAGTAGTCATATCTGCAATAGCATGTTCCTTGTCACCGATGCCTCTCGAAATCGAGGTGTGGGCCGACTGATGGGGGAAGGATACCTAGAATGGGCTCCAAAACTGGTCAGTACCAACTGCACTGATGAATTTCTCTGTGAACGCTCTGTTAGCCCAGTGTCTTACCGTTCTGCGATTGGTTGCGGATGTATCCGAAGTCTCATATATCTGACAATGTGCAGGGTTATACATATGCCATGTTTAACATAGTCTATGAGAGTAATGTTGCCTCCTGTCGCCTTTGGGATTCTCTAGGGTTCAAACGGATCGGAAGAATACCAGGAGGTGGTAGACTCGCCTCTAATCCCGGGCAGTACGTGGATGCGATCATATACGGCCGGGATTTGGGGCCCGAGGGTGAAGACTCTGTTACCCAGGATCGCTTTGACAAGATCCGGTATTATCTGAAGCACTCAAAATACCCCAGGGGCGCCGACAGGGCCGAGAAGAGCCGGCTTAGAAGTGCAGCAACCCACTACAAGCTGGTTGGGGGACAAGACGGTGAAACTGAGAAGCTGATGCTAAAAGACAAAGAGGTAGTGTCGGATCCGCAACAGCAGTACGATATCGCTCGGGAGATGCATGTTCAGCAGCATGCTGGCATCAATAAGACTACAGCAGCCATTGCAGTCAAGTACCATTGGGTCCGGATCAAGGAGACCGTAAGCAGGGTCATCCGAGACTGTCCCCAGTGCAAGGAGACCCTCAAATCGCCCTTAGTCAACGGACTCTTCAAGAATGAAGATATGCCAGATGAGGAGGATCAAACAAGCAGTCGCGAGAGCGAGCCTAGTATGCCAACCAGCGAGAACATGGGAGCAAACTCACTCATGGACCATGTATCTCTGGATGCCCATCAAAGCCAGAATCCTTTTGTCACCACCCATCCATCTGTTGTTCCAGGATCAGTAGATTCCATCAGCGACTACGTCATGCCTCTCGACCCCCAAATTATTGATATTCACCAGCAACTTCCCAGATTCCAAACTCATGATGCTATGACCGACCCTTACACGCACGGCCCTCATGGCTTGTCTAGCTCGCATTTTGATGATGATGTGCGGCATCATGCAGCTAGTGATTACCATATGATGGTTGATGACCCATCTGATCCAGACCCTGGATCGGCACTCCATCAGGATGCACTTGGGCTAGTACATTCACAAGTCAGTGATGTGCATCACCATGAACAGATACTGGCCAAGTATCAGTATGTAGGACAACCAGATGATGACTTGGACTTTACGTGATACGGCTGCCTGCTTACAGCTTTTCTTCCCATGTTTTCCAGCCCATATCTATCTGATTTGATTTTCTCTACATTTTTTTTTTTTTCTTTCTGGGGCATTATCTTTACGGCATTTCTTGACGGCGTTTATATAAGTTGGGCTTGCGGTATTATGGATTATCGGATAACTACGGCGGTGGATATCTGTATTATTAGCAGTATGATAGAAAGTGACGCCATAAATGATATGTAATAGATCGATAAACGGTTCTCCAGGCAGGTTGACTTCGTAGTTAGTATAAATTGCTCGAGGGGTTGTAGGGTTGCGGAGACGCGGTATGATTGGTCACCGCCTCAGTGCTTTGGCGACATCGAGAAGCTCGGGGAAATTTTGGTCAAGAGCATTATTGAACACCCCCGAGCTGGTACCTTTCAGCGTCACTTTCCATCTTCCGTGCGTCTCATATTCTCGACCGGCCTTTACCAGCCCTATTTGTCGGTTCTTTTCGAAATAAATTAATCAAAATGGCCTTCGCTGGCCAGGCACCCACTATCATTGTGCTTAAGGAGGGTCCGTTTCTTGCCCGCATTCTGACCCCCTCCACTGTGTGTCCGACGTGTTTTGTTCGCTGACTTTTCCACCATTCATAATTGCTTAGGCACGGATGCCTCCCAAGGAAAGGGTCAGATCATTTCTAATATCAATGCCTGTGTTGCCGTGCAATCTACCATCAAGAGCACTCTCGGCCCATATGGAGGGGACTTGTTGCTTGTCGACGGCAACGGCAAGCAGACCATTACGAACGATGGAGCGACAGTAATGAAAGTGTGTTCGACCTGAGTTCAATAGATTAACTTCCATCGATGGTGTGATACTAATACATTACTAAATTAGCTCCTGGATATCGTGCACCCCGCCGCCCGCATTCTTACGGATATCGCCCGATCCCAAGATGCCGAAGTAGGAGATGGAACAACATCGGTTGTTGTTCTGGCCGGTGAGATACTCAAGGAAGTTCGTGAACTGGTTGAGCAAGGCGTGAGCGCACAGACAATCATTAAGGGTCTACGGAGGGGAAGTGCTATGGCCGTCAACAAGGTGAAAGAAATCGCAGTCGACATGATCGATGCTGCCGGAAGCGAGGAGAAGAAGGTTGAAACTCTACGACGATTGGCCGGAACCGCCATGAACAGCAAGCTCATCAAGCGCAACTCGGACTTCTTCACCAAGAGTAAGGGCTCCTGTGGGACTGGACGGAAGCGGATACTGACTTTGTGTAGTGGTGGTGAATGCTGTGCTCTCACTCGACCAGGATGATCTTAACGAAAAGTTGATTGGAATCAAGAGAGTCACTGGCGGTGGTCTGCAAGATTCCCTCTTTGTCAACGGTGTTGCCTTCAAGAAGACCTTCTCTTATGCCGGTTTCGAACAGCAGCCGAAGTACTTCAAGGATCCCAAGATTGTTTGCTTGAACGTCGAGCTGGAGTTGAAGAGCGAAAAGGACAACGCCGAGGTGCGTGTCGAACAGGTGTCTGAATACCAGGCCATCGTCGATGCGGAATGGCAGATCATCTACAACAAGCTGGAGGCTATCTACAAGACAGGGGCGAAGGTTGTTCTTAGCAAGTTGCCCATCGGTGATTTGGCTACGCAGTACGTATTGGCTGTGATGCGCCTGCTGTTACTAGTCTATCTAACCGTGATCTCAGGTATTTCGCTGACCGTGACATCTTCTGCGCCGGTCGTGTTGCGTCGGACGATATGGACCGAGTGTGCCAGGCAACCGGTGCAGCCACACAGTCGACATGCAGCGACATCCAGGAGCGTCACTTGGGTACTTGCGGCATCTTTGAGGAGCGCCAGATTGGTGGCGAACGCTACAACCTGTTCTCTGAGTGCCCTGCCGCTAAGACATGTACGCTTGTGCTGCGCGGTGGTGCGGAGCAGTTCATTGCAGAAGTTGAGCGGAGTTTGCATGACGCCATCATGATTGTTAAGCGTGCTCTTCGGAACACGACCATTGTCGCAGGTGGTGGTGCTACCGAGATGGAGCTGTCGAGCTACATGCACGGCTTCGCCGACCGCAACGTGCCTCACAAGCAGCAGGCCGTTGTCAAGGCATTCGCCAAGGCCCTGGAGGTGATCCCTCGTCAGCTGTGCGACAATGCCGGCTTCGATGCGACTGACATCTTGAACCGTTTGCGCGTGGAGCACCGCAAGGGCAACGTCTGGGCCGGTGTGGACTTCGATAACGAGGGCGTCCGTGATAACATGGTGGCATTCGTGTGGGAACCTAGTCTGGTCAAGGTCAACGCCATCCAAGCCGCGGTGGAGGCCGCTTGCTTGATTCTGAGTGTAGATGAGACTATCAGTGAGTATCCACCGTTCTTGCCTAACCCTCTACGCTTTTTGCTTTATTAGATCTCTATTGGCTGACGCGAGCACGTTACAGAGAACGAGGAGTCTGCCCAGCCTCAGGCCCCTGGCCGTGGACTTCCCCCGGGTGCTGCCCAACGGGCTCTTGGTGGAGGCAGAGGACGCGGCATGCCCCGGCGGGGTCGGTAAATCTAATGCGTGAGAGGAAGGATGCGACGTGGTTTGTGATGATGTTAGAAAACAAAAGCCATGCAATAGTTAGAATCGCGGCCCGGTACTTTTATTTGCTATCAATAATGTTGTCATGTTCATAGATTGATGGAGAAGTGGATATCTGAATATGATTCTAAAAAAAAAAAAAAAAAAAAAAAAAAAAAAAAAAAAAAAAAAAAAAAAAAAAAAAAAAAAAAAAAAAAAAAAAAAGAAAGAAAGAAACTACCAAGTACATGGATCCTATACCTATTCTGGACCAGCTGCAAGTCATCATGATGGATGGCTTTCGGATGCTCAAGCAGAGTAAACAAAGTTGACGACATTGACCCACTGTGCTGTGAGGCTCAGTAAGGCTGAGCAAGGAGGTAATGAAAAAGGAGGATATAATGATAAGATACCGAGGAACTCCGGGCCGAACGCTTAGGAATTGGCTAAATGAGGGAATGTGACCTGGAGGATGCCCTTGGCTGGCTGAAAGATGGTGCGTGCGAGCCACTTTTCTTTACTATCCAGTACGTATTAGTCTAAGTCTACAGGGGGGATCTCGGAGTAGCCGACGGTATGCAGCAAGGTTGTAGATGATCTGCGGATATATCAATTTTCACGTCTGTTGATGTGCCACTCTCTCTGTCTCTCTCCTACCTTTTTCTCTTTTCTCTTTATTCTTCTTGTTCTTTGTCCCTTACGGTACAATTAAGGACCTTTTTTTTGTTATTAATTGAAGATAATTTCCGCCAACTAAAAGATATTTCCGCCGCCTTTTTTTTTTGCTTGGATAATCCACACCTGCTCCCAATCAGTGCGTGTTTCCTTCTCCACATGATCTCGGCGATTTGTAGGCTGCATCGTTCTTCGGTCGCTCTTTCGTTCATCCACCACCACAGCTTCACGCCCCTCTACCGTCTTACGTCTCGCTTCTAGACTCTTGCTATCGTCTTTTATATCTGAGACTTATCACGACCCCGCCAGGAATGTCCTACTATCCCCCTTACTCGGGAGCTCCCGGCTACCCCCCGCAGCAGCAATATCAATATCCGCCGCCCAACTACGGCGCCCCTCCTCAGTAAGGCTACTTAGTACTTTGCGTGTTTATCCTTCTGCTGCTTTCGATATCGCTTACTCTGGGCTTGCTGGTACTAACTTTCATTCAGACCCATGCATCATCAACAGTCGTCGTACGGCGGCGGCTATCCCGGTCAGGCCTATCGCCAGCAACAACCTAGCAACGCATATGGATATGGCCAACCATCTCCTCAACCATACGGCTCGCACAACGGTTATAACGTATGTTAACTACGATGACGTCCGGCGTTTCCACTCCTTTTCTTTCATCTTCTTTTATTCATATATTCTTCTTTTGTGAATGTAAATGGTTGACATGGTTCTTTAGAGCCCACAGCAGAATTACGGCCCTCCCGGCGGAGGCCATATGTATCAACAACAACAACAGCAACAACAACAACAACCTGGTATGTCTACCCTTGCGTGATGTCTTTTCCCCAAAGCTTGCTGGCTTGGTATTCTGACTGCAATAGCCTACCAGAACCACTACAATCAAGGCGGCCATGGTGCTCCAGCCCGTCCGCCCAACGAACCGGTCTCCTTCGGTCATGGCGCTCCCCAAGAATACGCTTACCAATACTCACGATGCACCGGCACGAGAAAGGCTTTGCTGATTGGTATCAATTACTTCAACCAGAAGGGTCAGCTGCGCGGATGTATCAATGATGTCAAGAACATGTCAACGTACTTGCACGAGAACTTCGGTTACCCTCGTGACAACATGGTGCTTCTGACGGACGACCAACAAAACCCAAAGAGCCAGCCAACGAAGGCCAATATTCTGCGGGCCATGCATTGGCTAGTCAAAGACGCCAAACCTAACGACTCCCTCTTTTTCCATTATTCCGGTAAGTCTGTGGTGGATATTTGCATCTCAGCCTGCAGTCTGACTAGGAGCAGGCCATGGTGGCCAGACACCCGATCTGGATGGTGATGAAGACGACGGATACGACGAAGTCATCTACCCCGTTGATTTCCGGCAGGCGGGTCATATTGTTGACGATGAGATGCACCGGATAATGGTTAATCCCTTGCAGCCGGGCGTGCGGTTGACGGCCATCTTCGACTCGTGCCACTCTGGCTCCGCGTTGGATTTACCGTATATCTACTCGACACAAGGTATCCTCAAGGAGCCCAATTTGGCCAAGGAAGCAGGACAGGGTCTGCTGGGAGTGGTGTCGGCGTACGCACGTGGCGATATGGGCAGCATGGTCTCGACAGCTGTTGGTTTCCTCAAGAAGGCAGCCAAGGGCGACGAGGTGTACGAGCGCAACAAGCAGACCAAGACCAGCGGAGCAGACGTCATCATGTGGTCAGGCAGCAAGGACGACCAGACCAGCCAGGATGCTCAGATTCAGGGACAAGCCACCGGTGCAATGTCATGGGCCTTCATCACCGCCCTCCGCAAGAACCCCCAGCAAAGCTATGTGCAGCTTCTCAACAGCATTCGGGACGAACTGTCGACCAAGTATACACAGAAGCCGCAGCTCAGCTGCAGTCACCCACTGGGTAAGTCGAATAGATGCGATCTATCATAATTTCATTCTGACCGGGCATAGATGTGAACCTGCTTTATGTGATGTAAATATTTGGGCTTATGGATGGCTCTTTAGGCACGGGCTTGGCATCGGGATAGTACTGACATTTTACGCGGAAATACTTTTCTTTTTCTCTTTTTCTGTTCTTGCCCGATTTTCAAAACTTTCATGGCTTTCTTCCCGAGTGCTTGGTTTGTTTCCTATGGTTTTTTGACAACATTCATTTGCATGGAGTCGGACAGGACACGGGCTTAGTTGGATCGCATATTTTACATGCTTCTAATTCATTTCTATAAACAAATCTGCAATTGAACATCATATGCAGCGACACTTGCTTAAGGTACTATTCTCAACATTGCAGCACTCCAGCAACGTTAAAATCACATGGCATTCTTAAAGTAGATCAGGAGCCCTCGCTAATTCGTTCTTGCTATGCCTCGTTCTGGTCACCACCTCCAAGAAGCAATCTTCCAATGCTGGGTTATAGAATGAAGGTACTGTTGTGATGATTCTATAGAGGAGGGTTTCAAGCCGAGTCTGATCTCCAGACCAATTAGTTAGCATGCTATCACTTAGTAACAATACTCAAAAGCTCACATGTCTCCCAAAAGATGCTCCTTGGACAGAGCCCTCTGAGGCAATGGTGTGAGACGCGTTGTAGTAGAAGTTATATATGTGTAGCCACGTCTAGTTGGTTGATCGTTGAGTGCCAACAAGCTAGTACATCAAGCAGTGAGTGGTTCACAAGAGGCTGAGCTCTACAAGAGCTTATTGTTCCACCAGAAGTCATATTCTAGACAGAGATTGGAGGAATCTAGGAACTAAGAAACAAATGCAACAGGCGATCTCTCTTTATACTGCGCATTTCCTTCAGAATCCTCACTGGAATGCGTGACTCTGACAGCGTTCGCGTCGCCCAAAGAATGTCATGCGCGTCGACGAGACGAACGTTGAGACTTGAGAATCGTGCATATCTAGCTGTATACAAGGGATATTCGGTGTTACTATGCCGTTGCTCTATGGAGAGGGGAAGATGACCTTGGTCAGACTTCAAGAGGGCATTATGAGAATCTCCGATGACTACAGTATGTTCACTTGAGTTTCTGATAACGAAAGTCATGGCAGCCTTCTAGCAACCTCCCTGGATGCGTCTAAGTGGTTGACTGGAGCAATTTTAAAGCCAGAGTATAACCTTTCCAGTATCAAAACGGCCTCATGGGCTGTTAACAATGAAGGCATTCATCTGAAGCTCCCGTTTCTTGGAATAGGCAGTCAAGGCTTAGGGCTTGCACTGATCTTGATGAGAAAACAAGGGAGATAGCTACTACACCTCAGTGATATTTCTCTCATGATGAAGCACTTCGAAAGGGTATATACGGAACTTTGGAACTAGTTGGCTTACAACAGTTTCGGCCATCTTAATGATATGTAGAGAGAGAGAGAGAGATGTATAGATCGATAGGTCTCTCACTGCCTTGGATCTTCACTCGTTTAGAAACCGAGCTAAACTTGTTATGTATTAGTTGAGATTACATAAAATCAACGATAGCCTCAGGCAGATAGACAACATTCTACACAGAATATTAGTACACCCACTGCTTTTTCAGCGAGGCATTCGAGGGGCCATTGAAACACAATCTGTCGACAGAGAACCTATGCTTTGAGTCTGAGACTAGAGAATCTGGTCTCACCCGCTTCTTTTGAGCCAGGAGCATAACAACATGCATAAACAATGAAGGGATGCATAGCTTTATCCCACAGCAGTTATACCTAGCAAATCTCTAGAACCTGCCCATCTCGTGCAGCTTCTAATAGCTGTTGCAATTGGCCATGCTTCCCCACCGCGTAGATCGGCGGTCCGGCCAGGTCTACTCAGAGAGGATCTCGACTCGGGCAGGGGCCAACTGGCAAGGTCCGTCTTGGGTCCATGAGACACCCTTTCTGCCCAGGGGTTGGGAGGAAACAAATGGAACTGGGGCGCCCACGCTGAAGCACTCCGCAATGAGGCAAGCTCTATCGGACCAAAGGAATCTGACGCCACAATTGTTTGCGAGTATACCGTGGCCCATTGCTCGTTATCTGTGGGACTGTCTTGGGAGAAGGTAAGCTACCTTAGTACCGCGTCTGGAAATTGAAAATAACATTCATGCTAAATCACCGCGTAAACTCAGTCGCAAACGAACGCTCTACATGTGGAAACTGTTCGCGACTGCGTACCCGGTAGAATTCCGGCAGATCTCCCAATATCGATCAATGAAGATAGAAGGGCCTAGACTGGCCATGCGAGACTATCTGGAGCTGGTGAAGAGCGATTCCCTGAAATGGCAGGTGGTCCTAAATTTGGCTACTTCGTTCGCCAGAGTGCCTGAGCTAGTGGGCATATCTAGCATCCGAAACCTTGCTGCGTTGGAAGTTGCCACGCCTCGGCGGGCTGAAACAACCCCTGCAGACGCTACAGAGACGCCTGTGACGGCGTTGAGTGATCGGATCATCCGAAGTTGGAGTGAGCTGGCGCAGACTTCGGGCGCATTCGCACACCTTCGGGTTCTCAAATTATGTCATCAGGACTTGTCGGGTGTTGTATTGCGTTATCTGCGCGCCTTCCCATCCTTGCAAGTCATTGTTGCGTATGGCTGTCCAGGTATCCACTCCATGGTTACTGATGGCTTGGAGATAGACGGATGGGAGTCTCGACCAGGTCAAGATAAGCCACCAGCACTCTACGAATTATACCAAGCTAGCCTGGACGGAGAACCACCGGTTATGGACCAGGGGAGCCCGATTCTCGATTTCCAGATAGGCCAGACTAACCAAGAATCCAAGAGAGTTCCCACAAAGGCAAAAACTCTATATTTAAACCGCACGAAAGCGGCAAATCGGATACCCACCGAGAATCTGGCGCTACATATACCGGCGAAAAGGCCTAAAGAAGAGGTCTCGGCCGCCGGTGAACCACAGAGACGGTCGGGGCCGAAAAGGGCTGTGATGAGAGACCGCAAAGCCAAGGACCTCGGAGAAATCTTGGGGAATTTCCTCTAAGTGAGCGGCTGGCAGGAGTGTGGGAAGCCAGAAATGGGCTTATGTGCTAGACGTCACTGCAGGAGGGACTGGCACAGGTCACAATGATTGGCTATTGTTTGTCGCTGTGGGAAATACTGTATCCATAGGGGGATGTACTGCGCAGTACTGTTGTATACGCAGGAGAAAATCCATGTACGGGGAGGCGATGAAGTAACTAGTACTAGTAGCTACGAGTAACAGAGGCATTGTTCGCATGGTTTTATGACGCCATGGCCACCTGACGCTGATTGGCCACCGCCGCCCGCCAACCAAACATCGTCAATTCCCCGCAACCCCGTGATTGGCATCGATCATGCTCTCGCAACTGCGATAGCTGTGCGGATAACCTGATCAAGTAGTTTGATTCGGTATATGTGATTTATACGTGAATATACCGCATGCCACGCTAGCGAACTCACCCATCATCCAACCCACACTTCTCGTTCGACACAGTCAGCGTCTCAGGGGAACTTTCTGGAACGCCATCGCCTGGTTCAACCATGACCGACCACCAGCCAGGTGAACCGGTTACTGACAATTCCAGCGGGTCGAACATTGCATCTCCTCGATCCAGCACGGATTCTCGCTCTCCATCGACGCGCAGTCAGTCGCTACGACTCTCGCACGTCTCTCCCAACCATCAGCACCGTCACAGCCTCAGTGAAAGTCTGCGCGGGGCTCCAAATTCCCCACGTAGCCGTCGACAGCCGTCCCTCACACAGGCTGCAATTCAGAGTCTGATCGACAACCCGCCGGCTCCCAACCATGTAAACCCTGCCTTTGTAGGTCGCGACTGGAGAGAAATTTCGATCGGAGAGCTGGTTAGCCCGACGGATTTGAGGTTTGTGGAGATCGATACGGGCATTGAGGATGCGACTAATGTGAGTTGCGATACATGAGTGGGGGAGTAAAGAAGTGGGATCGAGGTTTGACAGCAACTAGGTCCTGATTGATTCCGATGCTCCTGTACTGTTGATTCGCGAGACTCCGGAACACAAGACTGCTGTCGGCACTTTCGATTACTCGGATTTAAATGCGTACCTTCTCCTCGCTGCGGGTCTGACCCAGCCCGACGAGAATACCCGTGCTTCTTATGATGCATTGGCCCGAAAGGCCAAGGAAGGAATCAAGATACCATTGAAAGATGTAAAGGACCTCGGCAGGAAAGAACCATTGACGACGCTTCCGGCGTCGGCCAGCGTGATGGCAGCTGTAGAGACGTTCGGGGGAGGCGTTCATCGAGTGGTTGTGGTCGACGAGCGTAAACAAAATGAGGTAGTGGGCATCTTCAGCCAATTCCGACTGGTCAAGTTCCTATGGGAAAATGGGCGCAGTTTTCCTGTGATTGATCAGCTGTATCCGCAGTCGCTGCGGGATTTGAAGATAGGATCTCTGGAGGTGATCTCCATTAAGTAGGTCTACGTCCTCGATGTGCAGTTAGCTAGTCTAACCTGCGTATAGCGGAGACAAGCCTCTATCGGAGGCTCTGCATCTCATGAACAACGAGGGCATCACATCGGTCGCCGTGGTGGATAACCATACCAACGTGGTGGGCAATATATCCCTGACGGATGTTAAGGTATGAACCAGACATGGCTGGCGAAGAGACAGTATGGCTAATCGAACGAACAGCTCTTGACGCGCTCATCGTCGCTTCCACTCCTCCACAATACATGTACTCATTTCATCTCCGTGATTCTTTCCACACGGGGTTTAGTGGATGGCAAGGATTCTTTCCCAGTGTTTCATGTGAATCCAGGCTCGACGTTGGCTCATACCGTTGCGAAAGTGGTAGCCACTAGATCCCACCGGTGAGTCTGCTACCTTGTCCCTACGAAGCTAGCTCTTGTCAATTGACTGAAATAGACTATGGATCACCGATCCGTTGTCGCCTTCCTCGTCGGGACCACCCACTCCATCCCACTCGGCCGTGCATCTCCCTCTGCCTACTAACTCAGGGAACACGCATTCGCCTCCCTCACCTACTCCCGGTAGCGCCAGCGCACAGCCCTCTCAGCCGTATATGTCCGCAGCGTCCACGGGGCTGTCACACGCCGTTGCGCCGTCCATCCCAGCTTCCGCTCTCCCGGGGGCACGGCTTTCCGGACGATTGGTAGGAGTAGTCAGCCTTACCGATATATTGAATCTGCACGCGCGGGCCAGTGGGCTAAGCCCGGCTGATCCCGCCGAAAGCCGTAGCCGGCGGCGACGCAGCAGCAGTTCGAGCCTCAGCGTGCGACGCAGCGGGGAGATAGGACGGGAGTTATTCAGCCGGTAGCACCCGGTCGATCGGGACTAGGAAAAAGGCACATCCACCACCACATTCGTTCTTTCCAGACCCTTTACTAAATGCCTCATCGATTTCCCGAAGTGGTTTTTCCGGCGTACGTACGGAGTAGGGCTAGTGCATTGAGTTAGAAGAAACTCCAAATTCAAGAACAGATCCTTACCTATGCAAACACACATCCGGCGATCCACCGTGCAGACCATAAGATGAATCCTAACGATTCAATGTCCGACTCTACCCATTCTAACCTGACTCAACCATGCACAGAATGATCGGCAAGAATCGGCCAACCCGAAAGGTTCCCAAATGTCAAGCATGCTCCCTCCACACCCCAATCAGATTGCACCATCCGCCTGATACCATGGATTCCAGATCTGAAAACCTCCACCCACCGATCCCCCAAACAGTAAGTCCCGTCTCGATTAGCCCTCGCGTCGCCCAGTATATCAGAGCACGACCTAACCCACTCCATTTCCCAAGGTCCCAGCCTGGCCCAAGCGATCCAACAGCCGAATGACAAAAACCGAGATAACTCCACCCTGAAACCCAATCTCTCACCTGGACGACCGTGCGGCGTAAATATCCCCACCCAGCCGGACAACCAAACATGCCCGCAGCGAGATCTAAGTGGCCTGGGGAAGTGGCAAAGTGTTGCTGGAGCCATGGACTGGCGATTCGCAATGTGTTTCTGTTTCGGGCTAATGTTACTGTGGGGGGTAGGAGGGGCGTGTGTGCGTGTGTGTGGACCGGAGTAATAGCTAGCTAGCTCTATTTTGAAGACCTTTTTTTTTTTTTACCTCTCTTGTTTTTGTTTTGACTTGGGGGATGCTGCTTGCTCGTGTTGGTTTGCGGGGTGGTTGTGGTTGTTGTTGTTGTTGTTGTCAGCGCTCGCGGAAATTTGGGGCACCAAAAGATGGTCCTTGATAGTCGATCCCCATGTAGTTCTTGCCCGGATCAGCATCGCTTCTGCTATTTAGTACAACTACTACCCTGTAGACAGCAAAGATCGACCTCGCCAGCCTGCCACAGCCCTACAATGTATTCAAACCAAATCCCGAGCAAAAGCCGCCATCCACGTAGCCAGAACAGCCAACGCAGTAGAAACGGAACAACATCGCAGGGACTCCTAAAGCATTCCTAGACAACTTACCAGCATCGTCTCTTTCCCCACCCCCCAAAAGAAGTACTAGTCCCTCCTCTCCCATCACATACCCAAACAGTAACTAAGTAACCAAGGAAAAAAAAAGCACCTCCAAACAAACCCAGTCAACTACCTTTCCCTGCCAGAGCACGCATGCAGCCAGCTCCTCTTCACTCTTAAATCTCCAACCCCGCAAACATAGAAAAGAAAAAAAACCCCAACCGACTACGGAGAATAAACCCTCCTGCCCTCTCTGGACGACGACCCCGGCCCCGGATCGCAATGTCTAGAAGAGGTCTTTTTTGTTTGGGTTCCAGGGAGGTTGTTGATTCTGTATTGGTGATCCTTGGATGGGGGTGGGTGGTGGTGGTTATGGTTAGCTTAGCTATAGTTAGTTAGGGACTTGCTGGGAGCATCGAAACTAGTACGTACTACTAGTAGCTACTACTATCATCCAATGGCGGGATTACCTACTACCCTGTAACAGATACCCACGGGTCTATAATCTGATTTGGAATTGAGAGGGACAGGGATACATCATGGATACTGTGCACACACACACACACACACACACACACACACACACACACACACACAGACTACCATCCGGGGAGGTAAGTGGGCACGCGAACTTGGCCGAGTTGCATAGCGTAACGACGGAGTTAGCAGCAAACGTTGTAAGTGGAGGGGGTTTGTGCAGATGCAGAAGGATTCTCCTCTACTGCACGTTACCTCGCGCTACATAGTCAGTTATCAGTAGTGGTGGGGGGGGCGGCTCTGGGGACAGGGTACATGATTAAACGTTTACTTTTTTAGGAGATTACAGTGGAGATTAGCAAAAAAAAAGTTAAGTTAGACAGGCAAAGGCCGACGCACCTCAAACCCCCCCTCCTCCGGCCGAAGTATGGAAGAGAGTGTCGATCGCCAACCGTCCAAAATCCTCGGATGGTATAGTGGATAACAGGTGAAGCAACTTTGAGTAGATTTGAATTTTTCCAGATATAGTTTCAGTAGCGACCTCACGAATCAGCGACAGTAGCCAAAGCAGCCAGCTATTCTACGAGGTACTGTACAAGAAGAAGAAGAAGAAGTAAGTACCTCCGGAGCAGCACGGCAAGCTGCCCTGCAAAATTGAATTCCCCAATGGCAGCGGAGAACATGGCAGTCTCTCATCCGTCGACCGTGTCCTCCTTCCCATACTAGTACTAACAAACGCACATCGAACCCTGTTCAATTGGCATCAAGCACGCCAATGGACCATAGACCAGCCAGCCACATCCAGAACGTAGTTAAAAAAAAAAAAAAAAAAAAAAAGAATCCAGGCCAATGACCAACCCCTTACACATCAACTCCCCCAGACAACCGGAACCCAATGAGCAGGCAGCGTGTGCGTCGTACGAACAAACTCTCGCTGCCAGTGGGGCCCGCTAGCCCCCAAATAGGAATTCCCCCTCCAACTTGGGAAGTGGGGGATCGCATGAAGGGCCCAAGTCGACTAAGCCTATTCCGGGGGAGGAGGAGAGAAAATAGGACCCACAGAAGCTTTTTTTTTTTTGCTTGGTGGTCTGTGCGGGGTTGAGGGATCCGATCGGCTGGGAATGGATTCGTTTTGTGTTTTTGAGCTAGTGGTGGCTTAGCTGCGTTTCAGACCTTTAGGTCTTCTTAGCATTTTGTCTTATGAGGGGATGATATTGCGAGTGCGGGGTGGGCGTGCGGGATGTGAATTATTTTATTCACAGACTTTGACATAACGGTCCTTTGCATAACTATTGATCTACACTGTATGTACCCGAGTTTTTTTTTTTTTTTTTTTTTTTTTTTTTTTTTTTTTTTTTTTTTTTTTTTTTTTTTTTTTAGCGAGTTAAATTGTTGTCGGGAAGGTATGGAGCAACTCACGATGCGATTGGGGACACTCAAAATGACGGGAGGGGGTGAATTATTAATAGTAGCTCCCACTTGTTGCAAGGGTCTTCGGCTTCTTCACCCTTTGTTTGTCCAGAGAAAAACAGTTGAACCCTGCTGAATCTGGCCGTTTTCGGTATGGACCTCGATCTAGGTTTTGCAATGGAATGTCCATGCAAGATCAGTAAGAATATTTTTTTTTTTTTTTTTTTCCTTTCCTTTAGGTTAAAGTTGCTGTTGTGACAGTGGTGAAGTGACATTCTGCTTTCCTGCTGCTTTACTGTTTGCGGCGTTTCTTGGCGGTGGAGCTGTTGCAACCTTGTTGTTCCTGTTTCGACCTCTTGACTTGTTGGAACATAGTTCTGATTATTATTAATGTTTTTCAATGAGTTTCGGGGTTTTTGCTATGGTGGAGACGTTTCAAACTATAGAGGAAAAGTTAGGAGGAGGAGGAAAAAAGGACTCAAATGTTTGGATGAGTTTTCATTTCTCATTATTGTACAAGCCAATTGAAACGCCATTCATCCCGGGGTATTGCCCTGACTGGTCCAGCGCAACTTCAACTCTTTGAAAAGAACGCAAAGCTATAGATGAGTAAAAATGAGTAAAAACAGGTAGAAAAGAGAAAAACAATGAAGGATGAAACGCCCTAAGCTACCTGGTGTAGTTATGCAAGGATCATCATTCGAAAACAAGAAAATTGAAAAATTGGACGAGGTTAGGCACCGACGAGCCAGTCGTCCATTTGGACCACCTCGTCCGGCTTCCATTCGGTTTCCGGATGGTGCAGTGTGTTATCAAACGAGGGGATGGTCGGGTTACTACCCAAGGAGAACGAGAGGCCCTGGAAGTCGACGAAGTCCTGGTCCAGGAACGGCTGCGAGAAGGAAACGCAGTCCGATTCCTTGGGGTCCAGGGTGTCGAAGGCAACGTCACTATGCTTCGCAGTGGAGGTAGGCGAGTGAGGCGTGCTGGGGGTGGGACAGAGATCGGGAGTCGGCAAGGTCGTAGGCAAGGTTTCAGTGGGAAGCCCATCCATGCGAGGCTCCACTCTCGGAGTGTTCTCGACGGAGGGCGTGTGGGACGGCATCCGCTGGGCAGGCGTTTGGCCTGGTTCGGAGCGGTTGCGACTGTGTTGAGCAGTGGGTGTCGGTCGGTATGCGGCACTGGAGGGGATCGCATGCACGGGAATAACCGGTGCAGAACCCAGACGGTCTCGGAACTGGCGCACTGGCATGTTCATGTCCCCAGGGTTAAAGCCAGCCCAAGGCGTCCGAACGTGCTGCGGGCCGATGTGTGCGGGCCATGTGGGGGTCGACTGGGCAATGTAGGATGGCATGGGACCCGACGAGGCGGGCACCACGTTGGGATGATGGAATGAGGACGGGGAATGTGAGTTCCCGTCGTACGAGGGCGACATCGCGTAGCTCGGGTGGGCGCTCATGGCCATGGGGCTGGTGATCGGGCTCCCACGCATGCCCTCCGAGAAGGAGCTGCGAATGCTGGAGAGGTCCAGGCTCATTTTGCGTACCCCGTCCATGGGGCCGCGCTGTGCCATCATGGAGGCCCGGCGATGCTGCAAGCCGGGTCGCATGGCCAAGGTGGCGAGGAGATTCTGTTGGAACTGGGTGTTGATTTGCAAATTCTGCGCTTCCAGCATGCGTTGTAGTTTCTCCTTGTAGCGGTCATCTACTTCTTCGTACATGGCCTCTTTTTCAACAATCTCCCGGGTAATCAGGAGAGCTTTGCCGGTCCGCTGCTTGTGCAGCTGAGAAGCACGGTTGGCCGATTCGAGACGGGCATCGAGGCTCCGATCTTTCCGCCGAGAGGCAGCAATGAACGCTCTGGTCTCATTAGTCGGATCCCTCGTGGAGAGAGAGAGAGACCTACCGCTCTTGGTTTTCCTCACGGGTACGAGGGTTTGGCGAGATCTCAAACTCGATAGGGGAAGCCATTGCGGCGATGATATGGGAATGGCCGGGCTATTGAAGGTAGATCGAGAGGGGAGTCATATACGTATAGATGTACAGGGATACAGAAGAAAAGAAAAAGGCAGGTACGATGGTATAAGTATTAACAGGACTTTTTTTATCTCATCTCGCACCAGAGGCGGGGGGGCAAACGAGGAAGTAAACGAGAGAGTAGTATTTAAATATGTAGTAGCGGACGAGGGGGCTTTTGGTCGTCCACCAAACCCACCCCCCCCCCTATTAACTTTGCAGCGCAGCTGTCAAGTATATTGGCACCCAGAGGGGGGCCTAGGCGAGCCACTTGCTTTGGAGCAGGTTCAACTTCGGATCCTCGACCTAAGGGCCGGTCAAAGTCTGGCTTCCGGCCGTTCCGTGGGTCCTATTGCGGCCAAAGTTCTCGCACTGATGGTGCTGCGTAGTAGAGGGCTTAACCTTGGGTCGGTTCCGCTGGAGAGGAGTCTCTTGGGAATTTCAGCAAGTGAAGAAAAAGTACAAAACAGACTCGACGCGAAGCGGGCATTTGCGTAGTACCGGAACCATTTTCCAGGATAGGAGGCAAATTACACGAGCGATATGCGCTGGCTTTCGATTTTACTTCCCCACGATAAGCAGAGGACGCTAAAAGTAACACTATAATAGCCTGAGAAGTCGAAACATGTTCGGGTTCGGGGTCTAGAACCAAATGGGGAGGTTGCGCTTCATGAGGATCGTCCCAATCGATCTCACCTCCCACCGTTGTGGAGGATCTCCAGTCTGAATCCCACCTGACTCGACAGTTAGCCCCTGCAGTAGCAGCAACGAACATCAACGGTCGCCAGTTTCACCCTTGTGCAGAGTTCTCCCAGTAACTTGGGAAGCAAAGTATGAGCCAAGCAGTGATGGCGCCTCCCCCAGATTGACTTTTGTTTTCCCTCCCAGCCTGTTGGCCAACGGGCAGTAAAAGGATTCGCACTGGGTTTACCTGCCCTAAGACTGGGGATGGCACGTCCATTGGTAGAGCGCAACCAGAGACCACGTCTATCAGTAAACTCTGTGAGTTGGATGGGCACGAAGTGCACTGTGATTGATCGCACGGACCATCTGTCCCAGAGCCAGACGGCGCACGAGTTAGTCTAACGATTTTTACTTCGGGGCCTCTCGGTGATCTCCCTCTCCCCACTCGATGGGGAAAGGTCCAAGACTCCCCATGTGACTGGGTCCGGGTCTCTCAGAGGCCAGATTGGGCAATTTCATGTCGAAGCCCATCTCAATCGCCGTGGGGGGGTGTGAACGGGGCATGACAAATTAAAGATACTGACGAGATGCCGCTAAGATAACTGCTAATCGGCAGGGATCCGATTCAATCAAAGCACGAGGGGATGACGAATCTCTTCTTCTAGTATCGCACTCACGGTTTCATCGCCTCTGTAGTGTTGCTTCACCGACGGATTTCCCCAGTCACACACTCTGTGCGGTTGGAACTGGAAAGGGCAGTCACGTTGGAACTCTTCGTCGATTAGGGCTAAGTCCCTGCATGGAATCCGCGTGCACCTGCAGGAACCCTGATAGACAACAACTGCCATGCAATTCTTCCGTTGGTCCTCGGTAATTACCTAACCTGCTGGTAAGTTCAAAGGTACGAGATGCAAACCACAGGTACGCCCTCAACCCACTGCACCAGATACCATGGCTGTGCGACCGGATGATCTTCCATCACATATTGGCCTCCTGCGCCTGTCCAGAGGAGCAGACAAACCTTGAGTCATTTAAATTGGGGGCTTTGGGTTCCTCGCTAGGACCGCACATCGCATCCCAAAGAGGGAATTCCTCGGGGGCAGTCCCGACTCCCGGCAGATGGGTCGAGCCCATGTTTTTCGCCATCCAGGTTGATCCTGGTTCCTCATGCGCAGAGAACGAAATCATATCATTTTTCCAACTGATTCAACTCAGGATCAGAGTAGAATATCCTTACTTAACCAGGTTAAGTCGTCGGCCGGCCGCCACACGGATGACGCCACTCCGCCGATGGTACGACGTGCGTTACTGTTACCGTTACCGTTACTGTTACTGCATACAGCACTTACTGTACTCAGTACCAGCGCCAGAACGGTCTGTATCGACAAAGTACCCAACAATTAAAGTGCTTGGGATCCAACAATCAACCACAGGTACAATGGCGTCGCGTGCCTTGAACTTCCTACATTCCCCTCCGAGAACCAAGGCAGAAAACGCATGTGCCTTTCTAGAATCAAAGAATATTAAATAAAAAAAAAAATAGAATCGAATAGAATAAAATAAGATATACTATAGAGAGTATGGGTCCATCTCCCCAGCCCGAAGGCGGCTTTTTCCCAAACAGGCATCAGATATCACTCACGCATCAGGAGCTTTTTCTACTCGACATCAATAAGAAAACGCTGCAATAGGACCCAATCAATCTCACAAACTTAATTCACCCAATATCGCTCATCAAATGGCATCAGAAAGTTGGCCAGGTATAGACAAGAATGCAAGCTGGAGAACTGAACAACACGACAGAACGAAGCAGAAACGAATCCCGTTCGCCATCATCTCTTAAGAATTTCTCTCTCTCTCTCTCTCTCTCTAAGCAATTCCTAACGAAGGGACCATTCCCTGTTCCTCCTTTTGCTCGTTGCCCACCCGGTACGAAACCTTGAACCGCATCTTAATGGAACTACCTTTGCCCGCTTCCACGCCACTCACCAACATTTCCTGCTGGACTCCGTTCGCCTGGAGAGGAGCAATGTCCCGCCCTGATTGGGGTCGAAGCTGCAAAGTATATGCCTGGTCTCGCATTAGCCCCTGAACTCTGAACTCTATACATTAAACCACCGTAACTAACCTTCTCCACAGCGACTTGGAAATGCAACTCGCTTAGTGGCTGATTGGTGCCGTTGGAAAACAATGCCACCATATGAATCTGCCGGGCCTGCTGGGGGTGCCGCCGCGCCACGAATTCAACTCGCAATGACGAGTTCAACACCTGCACACGATTCGTGGTCGGGAGAGTGTTACTTTCGGGGAGAGAGGACGTGAAATCCCACTCGTCCTCATCGGCCGCTTTGGTGTTGCCAGCTGGGGGCTGCGGCGAGCTGGCTCCTGCCAGATCGAGGAGGGAAGGTCCGGCCGATGCGGGCTGTTGACTGGAGACTCCCGAGGGGAACGGACTGGGGTGTCGGGGGCTGGCAGACACCAGCGAGGCGAAAGGATCGGATGGAGGTGGGGTAGCGGTGGTGCTCTGTGGCCGCATCGCTGTGGGTACAGGCGTAGATGATTGAGATGCAGGGCGGGATGAATTCAACGAAGCCAGGATATCATAGTTGGGTTTGAATGCCGAAGGGGCCTGTTGTACGGGCGGTGTAGCAGAAGGCATTGGGGTCACTACACTCAGTTAGCAACAGGTCGAGGCTCTTTTGAAAACACTACCCACCAGGTCCAGATCCAGGTCCAGTTCCTAGGGAGATACCTCCAGTGAAGGCTGGCTCTTCTATTGAGAGGCCAAGCAGATCGTTCTCGAGAGAACTGCCGCCCGCCGGTTGTGAGGGATTGCCGTTTGAGCTGGGTTCTGGGTCGAAATCGATGAGGGACAATTCATTGTTCGCGTTCTTCGAAACCCCGGTCGTGGTTCCTAGAGTGCCCTTGGGAATCCTCGATGCAGCCTCCAGGTCGCCGTTCTTGACTAGTTTGTACCGCTCGATGGTGCGGTGTATGCTATCGTTGATCTCTAACAATTTGTGGACAGCTTCTGGATCGTCGGACTCCTCCTCACACATTTTCTGAATCTTAGGGTGAGCACTTTGTAAAGCATTGGCAAGTTCCTAAGCGGAAGACGTTAGCGGAAACCTTCCCACACAGCCAGTGATGAACCTACCTCGAATACATCCCCTTCCGCGATTCGTTCTCCCGGTTGCTGGCTCTGTAACATCTCCTCCAAGATCTTGGCCTTCTGCTGCACCTTAGCGACCTCCTCTGCCGCCTTAGCCCGGTAGTCGGTTTTGTGTCGGTTGTCAAATCCGGCCATCACCTTCATCAATCGGTTCGCTTCTTGTAAATCCGCCGGTGTGCCTCGACGGATCAACTCCTGGAGCTTCGCTGACTGGGCCTCTTTCTCTTCTTCTTCCATCTCCTCAGCGGAGCGAAGATTCTGGGAATGTCAGCTAGCTATCCTAAAACTAGCACCGATAGGAGAACCTACGTCACTAGGATTTAAAACTGCAGCATCCTCGTTTCGGATTTCAGGAAAGACGTAGCCCTTGTAGAGCAGGAGACGGTGCATATCCCGAATATGTCCCAAATCCTCCTTGTACCTCGATGTCTGACAGATAGTCTGCCTCCATTCCTCGATCGACTCTAGAATGCGATGTTGAACCCTCGAGGGGCGAATCGCCGGCCTCTCGGGGAACCGTCGGACCAGCTCATTCAGAAACTCCTTGGTACTGATTTGAAGGTGGAAAGGGTATCCGCAATTCTTGACGCAAATGTCGAGGAGCTATACTACGTCAGCCCCGCACTAGCTTCTCCGAAGATCGGTAAACCTACAGCCAACGCCAGTAAGGAGACATTTTGGTTCCGGGAGTTGATCAGACGGACAATCTCGAGTGCCGCTTCACGGGGACTGTAGACCGTAAGAATGCGCCATCCTACTAGATCGACAGCGACTCACGCATTGCCTTTCTTGGAATTGATCAAGTCCGCAACTTCGAGGTTCAGGGCAAGGTTAGGTTCGTAGTGAGAGATATCGCAAGCATGACCTAGTCAACACGCACAAGATGAGTTAGAATAAATTCTTCCTACTCAAAGTGGCGGGGGTGGATTGGTCACATACGAACAGCTCGTTGCAGCGGAGTTAGGCCCAGGTCAGCGTAGGCACCAAAGCGGTCCCTAGCTGCCATTCGTGCGGATGCGGCCTCCAGGGTGGTGACGGGAAAGGGAAAGGACAATAATTGAAAGCCCCTATGGACAATGTCCGACCGGGACGCAGGGAGACAAAGGAAAGAAGGCGAAGTGATAGGGAAAGAAAGATAGATGCTGGCCAAAAGCAAGCAAGTTGCGGGCGCGGCGTCACTTAAACTCTAGTTGGGTTGAGCTCCACGTGTTGGCGCTTCCGTCGCCGTAGTTGCCCCGTCTTTCCTTCTATGAACATGAACTACTTATTGAAACTAGTCCTCAACATCGGTTTTAGCACCTCTTCACCTTCCACATAACAACCCTTTCTTTTGAATTCGGGGATTAGAAAGTAACGAAATTATCATTCATCCAGCCTATCTTTCGACATGGTCCGACATAAGAAAGACAATTACGCCCGCGGAGGCAAGAAATTTTCCTCGACACCCCGCCCACGTCCAGTGCCCCGCGGCGACGGCGAATCTTCCGACAGGCTTCCTTTCAAAGCGGCCTGTTGGGATCTGGGACACTGTGACCCGAAGCGATGCTCAGGAAAGAGATTGATGCATTTGGGGTTGATGCGGGAGCTAGGTATTGGCCAAAAGTATCCCGGTGTCGTCGTTTCGTACGTAACCCAATTTTTCTTCTCTATACTTTGTAATATTCTCTTGCTGCCTTTCAAAGATCACTCCGCTTTTCTCACTACTATAATAAGCTGACCAGGCGACTGCAGTCCGAATGCGAAGAAAATCATCTCCCCCGCGGACCGAGACATACTAGAACAATATGGCGCTGCGGTAGTGGAATGCTCGTGGGTAAGATTGAAGGAAGTGCCTTTCTCGCGCATAGGAGGAAAGTGTGAAAGACTTCGTATGTTAACCTTCAAAGCTACTTGATACGATTTACTTACCAATACACCCAGTACCCTATCTTGTTGCAGCCAACACAGTGAACTACGGACGGCCATGGCGGTTAAACTGCGTCGAAGCCCTGGCGGCCTGCTTCTGTATTTGCGGCCATGAAGATTGGGCTAGAGAGGTTCTTAAGCACTTCAGTTACGGCGAAGCTTTCCTCGATATTAATTCGAAACTCCTGAAGCGATATGCCGCATGCGCCACAGAAGAAGACGTCAAACGGACTGAGGAAGAATGGCTGGCTAAGATCGAGAAAGAATACGAAGACAGTCGTGTCGAAGGTGCCGATGATATGTGGACAGTGGGAAATACGAACCGGAGGCCAGATGATTCTGATTCCGATGATAAGGACAGCGAAGATGATGAAGAGGGCGATAAAGAAAAAGAGAAGAATGATGAAGAGGAAGAGCCGGAAGAAGAAAAAGACCCTTTTGCCATCTCGGATGACTCTGAAGAAGAAGAGCAGATGGCCGAAATCCGCCGCAAAATTCTCAACTCCAAGGCTTTTCAGAATCCTACTGTCCCCGACAAGCCACAGCCTGAGAAGATCACCCGTCCAGCTGCAGGGCCTGTTGAAGACTCAGACGCCGAGTCCGGGTCTGCGGGTGGGAGTGACGACGAAGCGTTTGACAATATCATCGATGCGACACCGGTGACGGATCGGACAGGTATTATTGCTGCGACCCGGAAAAAAGGGAACGACACCCTCAGCGCGTCGTTTTCTCGAACGGTGATCAGTGCTCCTAAGAGGTGGTAGCTGTCGGTCCGATTTTATTCTGGGTCTTGCTTGCTTTAGTTCGAACACTCTTCGGGACTCGGGGGGACGCAGGAAACCCCCGCATATTGGCAAAAGGACAATCCATTTAATGTACAGATTTATGACATATGAGGTTGATGAAATAAAAGTTTACATAGAGGTATTATTTTTTTTTCTCTCTCTCTTTCCTCTTCAATGTCGCCCATCAGCCTTACTAGGGCAATATGTTAAGCAGCTGGGTGGCTGTACCTTGGAGGCCGGGCCAATGAGGCAGAACAATCGAAGTCTTCGATTCCCATGATCTGCACCGCCGACATCTTCTCTTCTTCCCCTTACAACACGACGATGATGCCAAATGACAACAAACAGAACCCGAGGGGCACGAAGTCCGGGGCAAATGGGACGCAGTCACATAGTAGCAGCAGGACTGTTCACTGGCCAGCGTCACTACAGACCCACGTTCCTGCAGCGTTACGTCTAAACTTGAATCTCGCGGGCGTTGGTTCGATCGCATTCAACGCTGTGCCTTCGACGGTCAGGCGCCGCGGAAAACCGAGAAATCTGATAGGGTCACAAGCAACCCCATGCTGACTTGGTTGTATCGGGCGCCAAGCGATGAGCCATCACTCGCCGGAGTATACGACAGACGACCTCTTTCATTCGCGGTCACAGCCAATCTATTGCCCACTATCGAAAAGTCCCGCCCTGACCTTTCGTTCGCCTGACTGTTCCTGATGATAATGACTCAGATTAATTTGCCGCGGGGCCAGAAAGCGTCACTGCCCCGTGGCTCAGGACCAATACGATGAAGTACATGCGAAGATCAAGAGGGCTATCAGCCTCGCGCATATTTGCTGGTGATATATAAGAATAGACACAGGGAAAGTAGAGTACTAATCTCTGGTTAATTTTTCGCGGAATAGAATACTCCCTTAGATTACAAAACTATCATCGCTAAGTTGACCGTTTTACCTCTTACTCTACCTTGACGCTGAAAGTTCTCTTGCGACCCCCTCAGGATGGTTTCACCGACAGCTCAAACGAAACATCCCCCGGTCATTCAGAAGCTTGAACGCTTGGGGGACCGCTCGTGGAGGAGAGACTCAATGCTACACTTCCTGACCTCCTTCCTATGGAAGCAGCCTTCGATTCAGGCAGTAGATATCCGGCAGCATACAGTGTGGTTATTCGACAATACCGCTTATCTACGCACGACCCCAATTGCTAAGGGGCTGAAAGAGTCGTGGCACGCAGAAGTCGTCGCTTGCGTTTTTCGAAGGGACAGCCGGAAGGATATGAGTAAGATCGTTGCTATGATTGCGGATCTCATTGGGCTCGACGGAGAAATAGGCACCGAAAGGGAGACACGCCATCAAATAGCGCGACGGTTACAACCTTTCCTATATCATGTTATGCCTGCACGTATGATGATGCTCGAAATTCCACAGCCGAATAGCACTACCATCATCCAGCAACTTGGTCCGACAAACAGCAATGGCATCAGCAGTCAGGTGGTGAATATGGGTAACCGTCGCATAGCAGATGGAAGTGTAGTTCGCTCGTATCTCCGCGGCTCGAGAGACAATGTCGAAATGCGAACCTACTTCGCTGGCCCCAAAGGTTGGCTCGTGATATCGGACATCGATGACACGATCAAGTATACCAAAACCTCCGAGTCTACTGGAATTCTTCGAACAACCTTCGTCGAAGAGCCGAGGCCTATTGCCGGGATGCCTGAGCTATATTCTCACATACACAGAGAACTTTCGCCAGCATGGTTCTACGTGTCTGCTTCGCCGTACAATCTGTATCCGTTCCTGCGAACATTTATTCATACGCATTTCAATCCTGGGACCTTGATCCTCCGAGATTCCTCTTGGCTGGACGTCAGTGAACTGGTTAAGTCATTCACAGTAAATACCATGGAATACAAGGTACAGCAAATCGAGAAAATCCGACGCCAGTTCCCTCAGCGTGAAGTCATTTGTATCGGCGACACAACGCAAAAGGATCCGGAAGCATACGCAGAGATCTATAAGAAGCACCCACACTGGATCCGCGCCATTTGGATCAGGAAAGTCACCGATGTCCCACATCTAGAGGATCAAAATTCTCCAGAGAGATTCAAGGCAGCTTTTCAGGGTGTTCCGGACCAAATATGGAAGGTATTCGAACAACCCGAAGCAGTGTTCGACTTCGTGAGTGATCTGAACGTCGACACTACCACGCATTCCTCTCACAAGACGCATTAATGGCCTGGATATATTCACGGCAACCGGTTTATCCTGCATGGTGTGTTGCAACCCTAAAGCGAAGTATAAAAGGCTGTTGCTGATATAAGCGGAAGCAGACCCTCGTTACGTCAACATGAGATTATCTACATCACCGGAAGCCTAGCGATTTCCCCACAGCTTCCCACTCGGAACTTTCCTCTTAGATGACTTGCTCCCATTGCAGAGTTGCGAACCTGACTTCATGGGACAGTCATAACCGGTGTCGACGGCACTTTGGTGCACAATATTGAGGGGCGAAGTTTGTGTTGGCGGGTTATATACTCGTTGCCCCGGCCGGGGTTATAGTCTTCATCCAAATCGGAGAAAACAGAGTAGGATCGACGCCGTATCACACATATGTCATACACTAAACCGTAATGAAGCCAGCAAAACCCTTTTCTACCACAATGGACGAGCAAACGTTCGTCCCGGGGACTATGAGAGCCCTTTATCACCGACCGGCTTCTACTGCCATCACCGACCAGACGGCTTTGGATGCGCCCAGGGTGGATTCGGGGATGATCTTCGACACGGACTTCCCGGTACCAAAGCCAGCAGCAAATCAGTACCTCATTAAGGTTCAAACAGCGGCTTTCTCTCATGACGGACTAAGGCTCGCTCGAACCCTTCACCCGTCAAAATCAATCCCTCAGATTCCCCTACACAACTACTGCGGCATAGTCATCAGTACTCCCACCGAAGACCACACTAAACCAGATGGTCCAAAGTTCAAAGTCGCCGACACCGTCTTTGGACTCATCAGCAACACCCGCGACGGCGCCGCTGCAGACTACACAGTCGCAACCGAAAATGAGATCGCGTTGAAGCCGAAGAATATCAGCGCCGCCGAGGCATCTACCATCCCTGGACCTGCTCTCACAGCATGGCAGGCTTTGTTCACATACGGGGGCCTCGACAACAACGATGCGCGCCGTGAGCTGCGCGTTCTAGTGACCAATGCCCGCGAGAACGAGGTCGCTGCCCAGGCGCTCCAACTGCTCCGAGCTCGATCCCTATTTCCACACTACCGGCCATGGATCTGCGCCACCTGTTCATGCCCGGAGCACGACGACTTCCTACGCGACCAAGTCCAGGTGGACGAAGTCATCGACGCCGCGCTCCCCTTACCACAAGACTTCGATCTCGCCAAGATCTTCCGCAAGAACAAATGGGAGCCAGTCGACATCATCCTCGACTGCGCCGGAGAACAGATGTTCAATCTCGCCCATTCATCCGACGTTGTCAAAAACAATGGCATCGTCCTGACCGCCGTAGACAACACAGCCGTGCAGCCCAAAACCGCCGACAGAGAAGCCCAGACCCAGAAACAAGGTCTGTTCAGTCGATTCGTCGCCTTGAACCCAGATGGCAAGGCACTAGCCCGCATTGCGGAGCTGGTCGAAGAGGGTTCCATCCGAGGCCGGGTTCAGAGTATCGTGGACCTAGCCCATGGAGCGAATGTCCTAGCGTCTGAGGCAGCTGGTGCTGGTGGAGCTAGGAGAGGAGGAATGATGGTCTTCCGGGTGAATATTTGATCTCTCTTATCTTTCTCTATCTAAATTTTTTGCGTATATTTCTTTATTTTGTTTGTTCACATTCAGTCCAATAACTCCATAGCATCAAGCGGCATTTAGTTGAATTTTCTGATTTTCATAGTCAATGCTACACTGTTATCTTCATACTTCGTAGCCTAGACACCAAGTCCTAATCTACGACTTACTCCAACATAAACACATTTAACCAGAGACGGGGGAAGCAGGCCATAAACATGATCAATATCAAGAATACTCACATTAAATAACGACATACCAGAACGTAGAGAAAACAGTTCCCGTACCACAGCCACACACGGCAGAGAAAGAAAGAGCAAAATAGACAAATTCAAGCATACACACCTCAAGAGAACGAAACAGTCGGCACCTTCCTTCCATGAACCTGATATACACAAGAGGAACAGTAGGCAGTAAAAGAGGAAGTAAGACAGTGATCCTCAGACCAGAGAAACAGATAAGAGGGATAAAGGGGCAACAGCCATCAATGAATAAACATCATGAAGAAGAGAAGGAGAAGTTAATTGATTGATTCATTAGATGGGCAAAAATCGGTAAAGCTCGTAGACAAGAAGGGTAGGAAAAAGAAACATGGTAAGGAGATGAAAAAAAGGAAAATCATGAAGACACTGTTCCAGCCTATGCTCCTCCTACTTTCTTGCTTTTGTCTGTTGCTCTTTCTTTTTCATATCCTCTTGAGCCGCAAACCAGTTGGGCTTCGGTTTTTTATCAATCGGGACATCGGGTGCGGGCTTTGTGAAGGATGATGGAACGGTTGGTTGTGTTTTGCCTTTCTCTTGTGCTTTTCTGGTTCTCTTTGTCCGTAATTTTGGCATGCGTTGGTGGCTAGGTATGCTTCGTGCGCGATTCTATGGAATATACATGTCCTTATCATCTGAACGGAAAGGATATGCTCGCAATGCTAACGTGGTCGACAGGAAAGACATGGATAAACAGGAAAGATCAGATCGAGGGAGATCAGAGAAATCAAACATTTCGTAGAATAATGCATAGGACCGTATTCGACGGCTGAATCATAGAAAGTCACTCCGCCCGATTCCAACCGCATGCCGGAAACTACTGCTCAGTAGCCAAAATAGCAAAGTAAAAGAAGAACTCCTGCTGAAATTTTCTGGGAGAGGGATCAGGGGAATAAGTAAGATGGATGGCGAAGGCAAAGAGTGATAAGACATAGGAGGGTGATAGATGAAAGCTCCTACAGTAAGGAGTCGAGTCTAGTGAAAACGCTCAAACATGCTGCAACAATCTGTGAGGTTTTCGTTAGTGGTTTGCAAGTCAATATTCTGCAGAAGGAAAACGAGCATACCTCCAACTGAAGCTCTCTGTCCTTAGCCTTGTTCACCTCCTCGTTGATTGCCCCCGCCAAATTAGCTCCAATTGCCTGCGAACCACCCGCCCGCCGGGCAAATGGCCACTGGGAGTACTCTGCCAGTAACTCATCCACCTGCGCAAAGGCTCTCTCTCGAGCCTCGTGGCTCATTGTGACCAGAGCGTTTTCCAGGACGTTCGCGGCGTAAGCTGCGCATACCATCGTGATCGTCCGCAGGTAGCGGAACTCGGAGTCCTCAGGAAGCCACTGGTTAGGCGGAAGAATCACAGTTCGATTGCTGCACACATTGCGCACCCGACGGTGGAGGTCATCTTTTGCGCCGCCGTCGGCGACAGGATGTGTAGCCATGTCAAAGAGGAGGAAATTGCGTTTCTCGGTCCGAAGAATGCCCTTGTCGACAAGACCCTTCGCCAGACGTTCACGCACTTGCTTCAACTGGTAGCCAATCTTCATCAAGTTCCATGTTTCACCTGCCACGCGTCCCCCGTTAGCACCCGGGCCCTCTCGAACATCGAACATAGAGAGCATCCAGTCGTACGTACCGCTCATGAGATCAATCCAGGAGTTCACGCTCATCTTCTCGCTCGATTTCATCATCTTCAACGCCTCGTCCAGCAAGACCTCCCCAGTCAATGTATCGTCGACGACTTCAATCACACGATCGGCCAAGGGGAAGCGCCGTCGAGAAGAATCCTTCTGCATGCTAATACGACCGCGGAGGGCCAATTCTATCACAATGCATCCTCTCAAAGCGTACGAAATGTTCTCATTCCAGAAAGACAGGTAACCCTAGAGATTTCCCGAGCCGGTGTCAGCATCCAGACTGGGGATCGCAACGCGCCATTCCCTAGCGTAAACGAGTGGTTCAGGGCGCAAGACCAACCTGTTTATCTTTCAACCCCAGCAGTAGTACTTCCTCCATCAACGTCAGCTTGGGCTGCTTGCTTCGTTCTTCGGTCTCGCTGAGGTCTCTGGGGTCGAATGCGATCTTGTGTCCATTCTCGGTACTGGTGAACGACGTCTCGGGAATACGGTTATCCAAGGAAGAACCATTTCTGGAGACTGGCGAGGAGACTCTGCTGTCATCGTTCTCGTCTGCGCCAGCGACTCGACCGCCACCTCTTCGGCGAGTCAAGCCCCCGGCTGAGGCCATGAGGAGATAGGGGATCGGAGTTCGGGAGCGGAAAGGAGAGCGAAAGCACGGTCGGGAAGAATGTCAGGAACCGGAATCTATACCGCTATGACCTGCGACACAGACCGTTTACCAGTTTGTTGAAGATAGCGTGCTTGACGGGTGAGGGAAGAATATCCCGAAAGTTTGCTGGGCGGGTAATTGTCAGGGGGGAAGAGTGGGAGGAAGAGGAGTGAGGAAGGACACGAGGCGGAGAGTGTGCAACTGGAACTGTCCCGAAACGGTCGATCAATAGGAATTAATTCAGGCGGACCAGATGGAGTCCCTTGCGCCAAACCGACACCAGAATAGAAACTTCGATGGTGTTTTGAAGTTCAAGAAATTCTCGATTGGTATTAAGTTAACGGCTCAACTTTTGTTCCTCTCCTTAGCGTCAGTGCTTCTCCGGTGACGGACCACAAAAACCATGTCATTTTATCTAACCTGGAGGGGCCCATACAATCTTTGTATATAGAGCATTTTTCCTCTCTTACTCTCACACACCCAGATATTCTACCATGGAATACTCTATTTTACACATATCGAACTAAAACCAGTACGCCAGAGGGTTTCGCCCCTTATCCTTATATCTGTCTGATATTTCTCTGGGTCGCTTCGACTTGTTCCGCTCCACGTCATCCTTCGTGAAAGTCGTCAGAGCAACACGGTTTCAGATCCACTCCTAAATTGTCTTAATTTCAAGAGGCCGGGTGGCATGTACAACATGCCCAATGCATCTTGAGACCCGCATCAATTCAATCACCGAACAGATAACACCAATCTCACATGCTAGAGCGGTTTACATCGAACTATTGGCGCATAACGAGGTCCTCAGGAAACCTGGTAGCAACCCACACCCAACAGTAATCAATCAAACTGCATTCAAGATGATATACACGATATAGTAGGGTGAAACAACACCGGCATGTATCAGCATACAAGTAGCGTTTCCACGCTGAGACCCCATGTAGATGCACGCCACCATCCCCTTCTTTTCTATCTAACCCGCAAAATCATTCAGATCTTCGTATTACATAATTTAGTGGGCTGCGATACCAGTTAGTTGTGGTCAATTCAAACACGTTGACATTGTCAAAGCAAGGCAGGACTTACCATCGGGCTGGGCAAGGATGTACTCAACAGCCTTGTCAACTGTATCAAAAGATGAGTATATGGACGGTCGCCGCGTTCTGCCCATCAAAGGGCCTCGTTCAGATAAAGACTTACCACTGTGGATGGCATCGGCATCCTTGTCGGGGATCTCAATGCTGAATTCCTATTCGAGATAAAACGTCAGGATTCAACTCGAGACCAGTATAATAGGGAATGTGCTATAACCATACCTCCTCAATGGCCATAACAACCTCCACGGTATCCAAGCTGTCAAGTCCAAGGTCGTTTGCGAAGTGAGAAGCACCGTTGATCTGATAGGTTGAATTCCCTTAGTTCATCGTTCTGCGTGCGGGTCTGAACCGGGCCATCAAACACCCGGAGACAACAAATGTTAACTAACCTTGCTGGCATCGGAAACCTGTGCAGTGATTGGATACATTAGCCATTTTTCAAGTTTCCCGGAGATGATTTTGGGATGGTCTTCGTCTCCGAGGCGGGAAAGTAACCCGACGTACCTTGTCAAAGTTCTTCAGAAGGTTGACTATCCGACCCTCAGCTTCCTCCTTGTTAAGACCGGCAGGAGCGGAGTAGAGACGGACGCCCTGGTAGGCAAAGCGAGGAGCGAATTGAGCAGCAGGAGCGCTGCGGATCTGGAAGGTAGCTGGGGCCCTGACGGCACGAGGAACGGAGGCCCTCAAAGAGCGGACAACAGCGGAACGGAACATTGTGTCGGTTGGAGAGGAATTGAAAGAAAGGCGCAATTGCCGGGGAATTAAGTAGGAAAGAGAAAAGGAGGGCGGTGGTGACGAAAGAGTAGAGTCGGGAGTGGTAGGAAAGATGGACTTATGAGCCTTGGAGTTTCTGAAGTTCTGCTTTGGCGTTGCGGCTCGGGGGAAGCAAAAACCTGCGGCCGGCCAATCACGGGGCGGCAGAAAGAAATGACCTAAGCCCGCCGGCAAACCACCAAAAGCGACTTTCGTGAACCTCTCCCAGTTGTCCTGTTCCCACTTTGAACCCCCCCAATTGATTCCCCTCACCACTCTATTCCCCTTCTCCAGTCCGCTATCTCATCCCCCGCCATGGCCTCCTCGAAGTCGGTCGCGAGGCTGGTCGCCTACCGCCGGCCTGCGCCTTCTCTGTTGACCTCTTCTTTCCGTCCCTTGGGTTCAACCGCAAACTTCTCCTCCTCGGTGTGCCGGGCTGCTACCCCAGCTGGTCCCCCTCCATCCGGTTTCCGTCTGGCTCCCCCCAAGAAATGGGACGAGACCACCGAGTCCTCTTTGGACAAGGCCAGCAAATACTTCCTGATGTCGGAGATTTTCCGCGGCATGTACGTCGTGTTGGAGCAGTTCTTTAGACCACCGTAAGTCGCCCTCTCCCGCGCCCTATCAAGCTCCTCTAGTCGCCTAGGGGCCAATTGGTATCCCGTGTGGTCATTTACTACTGCTGTGTATCATGTTCGCGTGCTGGGACATGCTACTTGGGATTCTCGACCGGTCAAACAGCTTGACTGATGTGATATCATACTCCAGTTACACCATCTTCTACCCCTTCGAGAAAGGCCCCATCTCCCCTCGTTTCCGTGGCGAACACGCCCTGCGCCGTTATCCCACCGGTGAGGAGCGTTGCATCGCTTGCAAGCTTTGCGAAGCTATCTGCCCTGCTCAGGCTATCACCATCGAGGCCGAGGAACGTGAGGACGGAAGCCGTCGGACGACCCGTTATGATATCGATATGACCAAGTGCATCTACTGCGGTTACTGCCAGGAGAGCTGCCCCGTTGATGCCATTGTTGAGAGTAAGCACCAGCCATCCTAAGATTAGATCTCTTGAATGCCGTGACTGACCTGCTGCAACACAGCTGCCAATGCTGAATATGCCACCGAGACCCGTGAGGAGCTGCTGTACAACAAGGAGAAGCTCCTGGCCAACGGTGACAAGTGGGAGCCTGAAATTGCCGCCGCTGCCAGAGCTGACGCTCCCTACCGTTAAAACAATACCAGCTGCTTTCATATCACAAGGGCACTCTTGAATTAGGTGTCACATCACGTAAATCCACCTTTAAATAAGATGGATTCGAAAGAATCTTATCATAAAAATCACATAAGGGAAAGACAAACTTTTCCTTCAGAGGATATCCAAGGGTCGACACCCTCATCTTCCCACTTTGTACATATCTAACGCTTAGCCTGCTTTATTACCAGATGTACTAGTCGGGTTCACAGGGGATCCCAGTCACTAGAATTCCGGCTCTGTTCTTTTATTGTCTTGATGTTGGAGGGAAATCCCGCATGGCTTGTTCTTGTTTTCTATACTGTTTTTGTTAGGGAATAAATCTAAGAGTACTTCATTTTCTTTTGTTTCAAATCTTTAAAGAACCCTACAAAAGAGATGGGATGAAACCAAGAAAACTCCTTTGAAATTTATGAATATCAACAGGTGAATCGCTGCCTATGCACATATGCACAAATAACAAGATAACCCCCCAAAGAAGCCCAAACACCAATTCCCACACTCCTCGATTTTCTTTTACCTTTTGATCACTTTTGTTCTCCGCAGAGCAAGTGCTCATCCTCAAGGGCTGCTGCGGAAGGATATCTTTCTTTTTAGATACATAAGTTGGTATTACATACTAGTCACTGTTCATTTCTTTCCACCAGATTTGCCCTTGAAGCTTCCCTCGAAACCGGGTCTAGCTTTTTTCTTGCCTGCAGAGGATTTCTTGCCCTTGTTTCCCTTTTCTTCGCGGCGTTTCCGGAGGTTGTCTTCGCGCTTCTGTTGCTTCATTTCCTTGCCCTTACGGACGGTTTCTATGCGCTCCTTCCATTCACGCTCGGACTTCTTCTTGGCAGATTCCTTGCGCTTCAGAGCCTTCTTCAACAGCGAAGTGTCGTCCCGGACGCGTTCACCATGAGCGCGCTTCTTGGCGTTCAGCCACATATCTTTCTCTTCGAGTTCAGCACGTTTCTCGTCGTCCATGCTTTCCAGTCGGGCCTTTTTAGCCTCAACGGCTTTCAAGGCTGATGCGGGGTCATGGGCACCATGGCGCTTGGGCTGATCGCGCACGTTGTTTAGACTGGGATCAGCAGCCTGGCCATCGGCGAAGACGACACGACCGAAGGAATAATTAGCGGCGCTAGAGCCCACCGACTCGGCTGGGGAGCGAGGCGAGGCGAGAAGAGAGCCCGACCCACCTGGGGAGAAGCGGCGGGCCAATGCATCGTCCTTCAATCGTTGCTCTTCCTCCTTGGCCTTCTGTCGTAGCTCTTTCTTGTGCGCCTTGCGTTGTTCTGCCTTCTGTCTGCGGGCCTCGATCAGCTCTTGGCGGTTTCTCGCGGGCTTGCCGTTCAGCCCGTCTGCATGACGGGCTGCGCGAAGCTCATCAAGACGCTTTTGTAGTCGTTGCTTCAGCTCTTCGGGTGTGGACTTGAGGGGCTTTTGATCGGATGATGAGTTCTTAGAGGCATCGTTGGGAGCAGAAGGGGGGACAATAGAAGATATCGAAGAGGCGCCCGATTGAAGAGCGGAGGCATCGAAACCAGGGGAGTTGGGGGTAGAAGAAGAGGAAGACTGTTCTGTTTGCTCTGGGTTGAACTCGAGAGAGAGACCTTCGGCCTCTTCTTCATCAACGTCGTCATCATTATCGTCATCCTTTACAGGTGGCTTTTCTTGCTTCTTGTTCTTATCACTGGCAGACTTAGACTCTGGCTTCTGTGCAGCGTCAGCGGCAGCGGTTTTAGCCTCCTTATCTTGCTGTTCTTTCTGCTTTTCCTTCTTAGCGGCTTCTTTAGCCTTCCTCTTCTCTTTTTGTTGCTCTTTCTTCTGCGCCTTTTTCTCTTCCTTTAGTTTCTTACGTGCTTCTGCCTCTTCTGACTTCGCCGAGTCGTCGGATTGCTTCTGTTTCTTTGCCGCATCGGCCCGCTTCAGGCCTTCCTTAGGCATTTCTGAGCCGAGATCTTCGTCCTCAGATGATGCGGCCTCATTTTGACCCTCTTCTTGACGCTTGCGTTTCCGGGCGTTCTCGTCCATTACGTCTTTAGCGGTCTTCGCGGCATCGGGGTCCAATTTCGCCCGTTTCGCCTCACGAGCTTCCTCCTTCGTCTGCTTCTTGCGTTTCCATTGGTCCTATGAAGGATATGGGTGGTCAGCCACGCCTGGCGCAGAACAAGCTGGAGACCGTGGGGAAAACGGGACAAAAGGCATCAAAGACAGCAGGCAGTAGAATCACATACACTACCATCCTCCCCATAATAGTATTTCGCCGGAATCAACGACAAGAGGCCATCAAAAGCCTGGGCGTGGCTACGCAACCGATCCTGTAGAGCCAAAAAATTTCCCGATCGTCAATTTTCAATTCTGAGGCCGGAATGCAATACCACAAGAATCATGGACGAACAAGGGGAAATCAAGCCCACATACCTCGATATCATCCATTTTTTTCCCACTTGAATCGGAGATTCACAGCAGCTCCGTTCCGGGTATTATGTAGGATTGGGTGATTATCACCTGGACGTTGAGGGGGTTTTCTTGAAGTATGGACGCGATACTCTCGAAAAAATTGGGTGGGCGGTTCGAAATCTTGGCGTTCTTTTTCTCCGCTTGCTTTTTGCTGGCTGTTCACCGCCTGCCACATCGTGGGTTTGCTGACTTATCATATCGACTATTTTAACTTTATTTGTGTTGAGTATGTCAGTTTACTCCTCGCTAATATACAAGATCTACTAATCTTAACGGAAGCCAGAATTAGTCAATGGAAGAGGTGTTTTACCCTGTGGTTAACTGTCCCCATACTACGACGGCATCTCTCTGTATGAGATAATCCACTTTGCTCCAATATCAGTCTGACTGACCGCCCTACATGGAATATTACATTTCTATTGTGTTCTACATGACAACCCAACAACAACTCAAAATTGAAGACCCTACCGATCCAATTCATCTTTCTTAAGATGAACGAGAGCAAACGCACATTCTACCTCTTGGTTTAGCACTTGTCCATGACGTAATTAGCATTCCACTATACATCTTCACTCTAATCCAATCTAAGGATGCACATGCAAGTTCCGATGCAAAAACACCCTGCTGTATCTTCCATGCCTTATCCGTCAACGGGTGTAGTGGCATATATCTAGGGAAAATCTCTCCCATATCATGTTGCGCTTCCTGTGCTGCATCCAAATCCAAGCTACTAGTTCCAGCCATGTAGCATATGACCACTTATGACCTCCTCGCTTATGGGTATAAAAAGTGCATCAACACGCAATGAATCATCAAAGCTCAACCGTCAATTCCTCGGGGATATCTAACACAGGACAGTCCTCGCTCCGGATATCCGTGATATTGTCATACGGGAACGGAATGGTCCAGATCAGATCAAACCTACCAGAAAGGCCCCGTTAGGACAGAGAACTCTCCTCATATAATTAACGCCTTCTTGAATAGCACACCAACCACCAAGATCAATACTAAGAGGAATATGAAGGCCAACATACCGATCATCCGGATACTCAGGCGCATCATCATACCCCAACGCCTGAACCAACTCTCTCATCTTTCTATGCCGCCAGGAGATCAGGATATTGCCGGGTCCGTCATAGTCATTGACTGCTTTTGCGACGCAGTGGACTTTATTCCGCTTGCAGGAGGTGTCGACAGTTAGGCCGAGGTCTGTGGCGAGTGGAAGAACGGTCTCGTAGGAGCGTCTGTGCTCTCCTTCTATCGGATTGGTTAGTTTATTTTGTATATGGGCAGGTGCTTTTGTTATTTGTGTGTAGTGTCCAGATTAGGGGTCTCTAGGGTTGCAGAGAATACTTGCTTTTATTAACATGCGGTGCCATTATATGGCCAATATCGTAGGGTGAAGCTTCTCCGAACACGCCCCGGACGCATTCAGCTCGTTTCCAGCCATCTGCGTTTAGTCCACTGTCTAGGGGATCGCCTGACTTTTCGCCATGGCGGATGAGATATACAGTCGGGGGGTATGAGGCATACGTTAACCCGTGCAAAGCGGAGAAAAGAAAAAGATGCAAAATTGAATAAAGAATAGTAGTCATTTTGTGGCAGCTAGCTAACCGAGTCTATAGGCCTAACCAGAGAACAGCAAGAAGGAAAAAAGCATTGTAAAACAGCTCAGGTGAACCCTCCCCCTTTTAAACTCCATAGCCAAAAAGAAAAAGAAAGTAGTATAACAACAGTACTCAAAAAAAAAAAAAAAAAAGAGAGAGAAGAAAAGAAAAGAAGAATATCGGCACGAGTACGCCATACCGCAAAATTATCTCCGCCAGCCCTACATCATTCGGCGCAAGGGGGGTTGCTGATCCGGTCATCTGCCTCAGATGGGACAGATTTATATCTGATCTAGTGGGTATCACGACGAACACCATGAGCCGGGCTGAAGAGCCATTCGTCATAGGTCCTCAATAAACAGCCTGCTAGCACGGAGCGAGTGGTATGTTTGGAGGTCAGGCGCGACCCGCAAAAAGTAAATAGATTGGATCTGTTAGTATGACCCTTCACACGTTGAGCCAATCCGGATCTGCCGTCTTTCTTGATCGTCCATGCAGCCGCAGAAGTCACATGATGAGGGCTTTTCTCAGACGTCTGATTTTTGAGTTGCGATATTTACTAGTTGTTCGCGATGGATCATTGGTATGGTTGGGTTTGAAATGTGTTTCGACTGATGGAGTAAGCCTGTGTCCTGGTGACCCGCAGTTTGCGCGTGCGGGATGTAGATCTGGTAATGGTGGGCAGGTTGGACCTTATGTATGTACTGTGTAGTATGATGATAGGAGGGTTATGGCTGGTCTATTGCCTTGGGCGACGAAGAGATTTGAATTTTAATACTAATAATAAAAGGGGAAAAGTTGGTGACGGGTGATTTTGTATGAAATAAGTTCCATCCCCCACTTATTTAAACCCTTATTTGGAGCAGGATATTGAGTTCCCAGGAATGTCTCCAAAGGTTGGTTGGTATAAGGTGTCAGGTTTCATAGTACTTGTTTGTCCAATCCCATCTATAGTGAGATCTTGTTTGGAGCTATGGTAATTAATGAGACAAGGCTATACAATACAATGTATGATCTCGGTCACCAATCCATAGGCAATATGGAAAATATATATTCCCAGTATCAGTTTGGCAGTCTCTAACTCGCTTAAGCAATATACACACAACTAATACTAGTAGCATCTATAGATATTCGTCAGAGACCTCACCACAGTTCCAGCTTGGAGTGCGTAGGTGCCATACCCACATCTCATGGCGCCCATATCGACTACCAAAACAGAGGAACAACCACGATAGGTTGAATCTTTGGTTGTGTTTCTTGGAGTTGGACCGTGCCAGAAAAAAATAGACACTACCTGCACACGTACTAGTATATTAGTATTAGAGCTCTTCTATCACACCGCGTTCAGCCTATTGCTAGCTGCTGAGTCAAATTGATTGTCAACCTTGATGTATCGCTGGCTAGATTTGAGGATAGCAACCAGAGGTTCTTGGAGGAAGCCGATGCTGATTTCAAAATTTTGGAAAGACGTAAGGGATATGCCGGTTCATTGACAAGGCAGTCATGTATGAGCTCGATATGTAAGTGATGAGTATAGCTGAAAACATGTAGTGAAGTTACACAACATGCGTGATATACGTGGGATATATGTCCAGACTATATATCCAATCATCAACAGGCAACACTGTTGTGAGCCACATTGATGAGCCGCAAAGACGTTGGGGAACAAGAGAGTTGACAGCAACTCAGCCTCAAGCGTTGGTCGATAGCAGCTGAAATGTTGCCCGATGACGAAACTAGTGCAAGGCGACTCGTTCAGGGCATACGTGATTCTCTATGGCTGGATCATCAGCCTGCCATACGTAGCTAGCGGCTCTCGACGCTAGATCGATTTTCAGACCATCGGGGGCCGTGACTCAGTCCGGAAGCAGCCGAGAGTCTAGAACTCAGGGACAAGCACAATGAGGCTATACGTGCAGTGTGTTCCTGAACTTGGTGTCCCTCGTCGCTGCTTGTTCATTGCATCGGGTGGTGCTAAGGACCGAGAGGCCCGGGATACTGGAAACTATTTTAGGAGTAGCACTTACAGTATCCAATTATAGTTCATCTTCGCCTCGTAGGGAGATTAGCTATTCCCCACTATTGCAGTACGTACTCATACCAAAATCGGTAAACGACCTCCTCGTCTAACAGGGAGAAACATGGGTAAAGAATATGGCTGCCTGTTAGGAACATGGGTAATACCGTGTTACCTGGTATGTATATATTCTGTACGGATATGTTGGTATAATACCCCTCTATTATGCACTCACCCGAGTTGTACCGGAGGGGTTCGGCAAGCCCGGACCGTAAGTTGATTGTTCAGGGACCCGAGGTTCCGAGAATAGAACCTTCGAGTATTCTCATGCTACGATCATAATAAGATCAGAATCAGATCATCCCCTTGAATCCTGCAATTCATGGAAGAATTGACGTCATGCAGTGGTTGATAGAGCACAGCCGCAGTGTGTGGCTATGAGGTGCCACTGTATGTATGTATGTACCTACTAGTAGTAGTTAACGGTGTATGGCGGGGATAACCTAGGACAACTATTCACAGTCCTCTTCCTACCAAGACGAGTATGTGGGATCAACAGGACCAGTGAAATGGCAGCAAACATCCACTAGTGGTGTCTCGGCTTTGTATCACTAGACCTGAAAAGGCATTCATTTCTCCGCCGAGAGCCTTGGGTTCGTAGGCAACCGGCCAAGTACGATGGAATTTTCTCAAAGTTACCGGATCAAGGTACCATTGTGACGATCGGTGGAAGTTTGGCGGGGCATCAGTCCAACCTGAGATGGTCACGACAATACCGCCGCGTTACTCAGCCCTGTAAGCACGGGACGCAGCACATGGCCACAGGTGACACAGCCACCCCGCACGCTTGATGCGAATCTGTCTTGGACGTCCATCGAATCACCTTAATCAACACACTAGAGTGTAATGATCGTGTACGGACTAAGGAGTCTAAGGACGGAGTGACAGGTTGACGGGCAGACGCCACTGCCATACACACAGATACTTGCACAGCCTTGAAGTTGACAGTACCTGTACTGAAAATCCGGTACAAGTGGAAACATTGGGGCTTGGCACACGGGGGAAGAAGATTTGCCTTGGGCGCATGGTGGGGTTGTTTCGCTCTTGTCATCAGTAACTCAGCCCTGTGCTCTTAATAGATCATCCTATCAAGTGGCCAACCCATCTTCTTATAAAAAGGTCCCAACAGCCCCGTTCTCTCACTCTTATCTTCATACTCATCCATCACTCTTCATCCATTCAAACTTCCTTCATCTTTAATACATTAAACTCTACACTACACATCATGTCTGGCTACGATCAGTACAACCAGCAGGGCGGCTACTACAACCAAGGCCAAGGCCAAGGAGGCTACGGTCAGCAGGGTGGCTACCCCCCTCAGGGCGGCTACCAGCAGCAGGGTGGCTACGGACAGTCTTCTGGATACGATCAGGGATACAACCGTAGCGGTAGCTCCGGCTCCGGCGCTGCCAGCGACTACTACGGCGGTGGCGGACAGTCCGAGCACCACCAGCAGTCTTACGGCGGTCAGCAGAACTATGGCGGCCAGCAAGGATATGGTCAGCAGAGTAGCTACGGAGGGTATGTATCTTCATCAGCATCTTCCTTTACACTACTGGACCACTCGACTAACTTTGATTCTCACAGATCCGACGAACAGGCTCCCGGCGGTGCTCAGGATGGTGAACGTGGCCTCGGCGGTGCTCTTGCCGGTGGTCTGGCAGGTGGCTTCGCCGGCCACAAGGCCGACCACGGATTCCTCGGTGCGGTTGGTGGAGCTATCTTGGGTCACATCGCACAGGACGGCTGGAAGCAGCACAAGGACAAGAAGGAGCAAGAGGAGCAGCAACAACAGTATGGTGGCTACGGTGGCAGCCAATATGGCGGTCCCCCCTCCCAGGGTGGATCCAACAACGGTATGATGGACCAGCTTGGCCAGTTCTTCAAGAAATAAGCTATCAATGTTCACCTCGCTTCTCCACGATGATCCCTTTCCACAACACGTGAACTAGCTCCTTTCGACTTCTACCTCGTTCGGCTGGCCGGGTTCGCACGATTCTCTTGACGTTTTTCTGTCTCTGCCTTGCTTCACATGGACATGTTCTGGGGATACACTTCTTGTTTTCTATTCAGTTTGTTGCTACATCTGGGCTTATTAGCTCACTTACGATGAGACGCGTTGTTCACTGGCCTTTTTATTTTTACAACTATAGCTCTTGCTCCCTTGAATTAGACTATTGTCTACTTGAATTGAAGTGGATATTAGCTTCCATACTCTTCACGAAAGTAAACAGCCAAGATTAGACTCTTTCCCCTTCTACAAATGATCTCCATCGTATTGAACAGCCCAAAAACCCACCCCCTCCGGACTCAATCAGCCCACACTACGGATGCACCTGTCACCTCATCCACGACCCCAAGCAGCTAGCAAACAACCAATTGCATGACTTGTCCTACATCCGTGCGATTCCAGATCGTAAGGATAGGCCTCCCGTCTCGAAATTCTCGTTGTGCATTCCCGACGTTCTCTATCTCCCTTCGCCTGCCGGAATCGTAAGGCCACCTAATTGAAGCGGGGTTCTCTCAACGTTTCGTGGCCATGACCCCGATATTAACGTTCCAGTCTAATGCACGGCCGCCCAATAGATTGCTTTGCTTCGGGATATTTTTCCATGGTGATCGACATATACGGGTTTCTGTTATTTTTCGATCTGATGTCGTGCGTTTTGTTTTTCCCCATGTGTGCTATGTGTATTGGCTGGTTGGCTAAGTTACGTAGGTCACTATCTAGGTAGAGAAACTAGGTACATCAAATTGGCAGCATTGTTTGGAATATGCGACCTTGATCATCTTGTTTGGGTTCATTATGCATATCCTATATAGTGCTGAGGTAAGATTACTTCCAGATGATAGTAATATAGTTGTTTTCCAAGACAAACAAACGGTACTAAATATAACCCGATGGTCGAGAAAAGAGGCACAAAATGCGTCATATTGGTAATACATGTTTGTTATAACACCAGGCGAATCAAGGAATTTACAATGTTCTATACAGTTACAGTCCCATAAGTTTGCTTCAAGGCTCACACGTAAGCAGAGAGAGATAAGGTTGGAAAAAGAAATCAAGACAGGAAGAGAGCAACGCCAACGAAATGCTCTTCATTACTGGTCCTTAACGGGGGTTTCCGGGGCCTGGGCCTGCGTCTTAGGCTGTTCTGGTTGAGGTTCGGCGGGCTTCTCGGTTTCTGGGACCTGGGCCTGGGGCTCGGGTTGGGGTTCGGTAGGCTGCTCGGCTTCCTTGGGGGTCGAGGCCTGTTCGGTTTCGGTGGACTGCACGGCCTCGTCAAGCTTGTTGGCAAGTTCGGCGGCCTCAGCGTTGGCAGCAGCGTTTCCAGCTTCGATTTGGGCGAGCTCGGCCAGACGCTCTTCGGAGAGGAGGTCTTCAGGAGCGACGGGTGGGTAGGTTAGGACTCCGTTCTTTGCGTTCTCCAGTCTCCTTTGTTGACCGGCTTCTCCTGCCCGTCCCAGGACACCGGCAATGACACCGATGGCACGCATGCTGTCGTCATTGGAGGGGATGGGGTATGTGACGCGGGTAGGATCAGCATCCGTGTCAATGACACCGATGGTGGGGACGTTATTGAGGCCACACTCGTGGAGCAAGACGACGTTCTCGAGAGGGTTGAGGCAGACCACCAGGTCAGGTTTGAGGACCGAACGGTCGGCCAAGGCTTCCCTGTACTTGGGGATTTCGTCATCCATAGCATTCACGACCTTAGTCTCGCAGTGGCCCAGGATCTGCTGTCCGTTGGTCAAACTGCCGGGAATCCATCGCTCGAAGATGTGGTAGCCCTTGGCCAGTTCGGCGGCGCGGACCACGTATCTCTTTTGACCCTTCCGTGTACCGACGAAGAGGATCAATCCGCCGCGGGCTGCGACTTCCTCTACCACCTTGGCCGCACGACGCAGGTACGCCGCGGTCACGTCCAGGGAGATGACATGGATGCCGTCTCGAATACCGAAGATATAGCGCGAGTTCTGGGGGTTCCAGCGGGACGTTGAGTGTCCGAGGTGTGTCTGAGAAGCGAGGAGCAGTTCGAGGGTAACGTCGGAAGGCTTAGGAGGGTTTCGGATGATCTCCTCTGGTCTGTAGGCGTCTGTCACGCTGCTGCCAAGGTCTTGGAATTTGTATCCTATGACGAGGTGTACGCAGTCAGTCGATATTCTCCAAGGATGGCTGCCCTTTCGAGATGTAAAATTGCGAAGGCTTACTTCGTTCGCCTCGCGCCTTCCAAGCCAACTGTTCGGCACGCCTCCTTGAGATTCTCTCAGGAGCGGCATCATTTTGATAGCGGGACTCGATCTCGGCAGAACGCTCCCGGATACGGGTCTGAAGTGTGGTGTCGACTGGTGGTCCAGTTGAGTAGAATCGGTTGAGCGAGTTCAGCGTCCGAGCCTGGCGGTTGAAGGCATGAAGCTGGCGGCCTGGGCCGGAGAACAATTAGCGGACGTTCTTCTTCAAAGAGCACTAATATGATCGCAATTCGTAATTAAACTTACTCTGCCGCATACACAGTTGCCGGGCAATCATATTGTGTTGTGCTAGGTTGTGAGGCCGATTTCCACCAGCAATAACTTCCTGGGTTATCTTCCGCTCGAACTTTTGATGTCGGGCTTGGCGAGCTTGGTGCCTAAGGCAGCCAGGTACAGCGCTTTACCCGTTTGGATGTTCATACTCCAGTCTCCGAAATACCCCATATTTGCTCTTAAGGTAGGAAACACATAAACATATCCTCTTTCTGATATTTGTCGTCCGGCGGGAATTTTTACAGCCCATCCACGCTACATTCAACGGACTGGAATTACAATTCGTGCATCCTCTAGCGCTTTCGATCAAGTTTACATAGAAGCTGCTGATTCAAAGTCCCCAGGGAACTTCTCAAACGGCGCAATGCTCGTTTTAATGCAACCTCATACAACTTAAAAGCTAATAGTACTATGGACCAGGAGGGAGAGAAAAAGAAAAACGCATGAGGGCATCATATCCATAAATTGAGCCATCTATCACCTGAATGCTAAAACCGGATGACCAAAACAAGCCACTCCAAACTGTGCGTGTTTAAGAAAAGGAAATCTAATAGCTTTTTCCTCACTGTTGAATGTGAACGAAAATTGGATATCAATAGTTCGTGGTAGGAAACAAAAAGAGAACGTGAATGAACAATGGGGGTCATTTCAGGGAGTTAATTTAACCCATTGCCTTCATGGCAAGCTCGACACTAAAATCCAGTTGTTAGCATCTTCCACACGAGATGTTTTCAATCGGGGGAAAGACATACACGACGAATGTTCCAGCCGACACAGGCATAGCTCTCAGCAGGGTAGGGCCAATACCCTTCCAGAAGCCAGCGAGACCCTCGGTAGCATATGTCTTCTTGAAGCAGTCTGTCATGCTCTTGAACTGTTGCTGAGCCCCGAAGCCATCGCACTGCATCTTACTCTTCACCACGTCAAATGGGTAGCTGCTCAGCCAAAGCGCCTCACCAGCCAATCCACCGTAGGTGGCGACCTTGACACTGGAGATATCCTCGCGGTTGACATTGTTGCGCTTGGCATCCTGGTTCATCAAGTATTCAAAGGTCAAGAACCACATGCCATAAGCCTGGATCTCACGGAGATAGGTGACGTTCTGACCACGGTAGAGGCCCCGCAGGACGCCTCCCTGAGCAGAGAGCTTACGGATGCAGTCGATAGGGCCATTGTACAACCGGTCTGCGCCGTGCGGCTGGGTCTGCATGCGAATACGGATATGCTCAATCGGCCCAGAGAGAACGGAGTTGGTGATACCCGCGAACCCACCAGCCATGTAATATTGCCCGTAGGAAAGGCTGCTATCGGCGTATTTCTTCTTGTTCAATTCCTCAAGGCGCCTGCGGGCTTCATGAAACGCACCAAATTGCACGCTAACCTAGTTAAAGTCAGTCCCTATCCTCTCCGCGTGCGGATCGGAAATGCCCGAATCTCCGATAAAGATAATGACTATTGCAGCACTTACACAGGCACCGATTCCAATCAAGGGGGTCAATGTTCCCTTGTAAAACGCAGCGGGGCCCTCGTTCTTGAAAATCTTGCTCGCACAGTCGAGGGCGTTGGCATACTGAGTGGTTGTTTGCAACCGCACTTTGACAATATCTGCGGGGGTTAGAGTGCTCCACTACCTCACCGGCTATAGTACATACCGAAGGGTTGTCCTATACGAGGATTAGCAACTCATCGTCAACGCTATTTCACAATTCACTGAAGAAAACAAAGTGGAAAGAAGCACACTGCGTGAAATATAGTTGGTCCCGTGAAACTACAAAAACTATAATTCTACACGCGATAAAACAAATTGCAATGGCGAAGTGTATCTCAACCCTGCGATGCTGATAACGGTCTCAACAACGTACCAAGAAGAACCTGAGCAATTCCACCGGCTGCACCAGCACCCAAATCTTTGATGGTGCGCAGGGCTCCGTCGCTCTTCTCAAAGTCCTCGAGTGCCCTCTCTTCCATAATGGCGATGATTCAGTGAGTAGTTAACCGGGGGCGATTGGGGGCACGGTTAAAACAGCGGAAAGGAGGGGAGGGGAGAGAAAGGAATCAATGGAGTAGAGAGAAAGTAGAATATAAAAAAAAGGTCCCCCGATGTTCTTATCAGAATAAATGATGGCGCAAAGCAATGAGAAATGCGGGCCTCCGATTCGGCGGAGACGCCGATGCACGTGAGGCGGGCGGGAAAGTAGTATTACGGAGGTTGTGTTGACCTACGAGAGACTTTCCCTTACCGGCCGGAATTTTGCCCCGAGGGAAACCAGTGACAAGACAACCCACTCCTTGTCTCTCCATTATGCACCGGCGTGCGGCTTTGGAGGTGAGCACTTCCCAAACGGTCGATTGGACTTCGCTGTCCGTATCCTAAAGCAAATTTCTAATTATACTCTTCTACAGTTATCCCGCCGTCATGGTGTTGAGTGGACTTGCGCCGCCAGGCACAGAGATGTTCCTTTCTCTCCGAGATTACCGTACCTCCCCCGGCGGACCTTTCGTTCTTCCCTCGTAGCTTTCAACTCGTCCGAATCCTCTCCATCGAATATAGGTAGCGAAGAAGGCTCCAATGTTGCGACCCCAAAGCCCAAGTTTGGTGCTCGTTGGGGAACCAAACAAGCACAGAAACCGGCCGGTCTCAGTCCAGCAGAACAAGCGATGCGAGATGCCTTACTAGCGAAGAAGGCCGCGGAAGAACAAGAGCAACGACGACTGCAAGAAGAAGAACTGCGTGCATCACAGCGTAGAGCGGAATCGCGGGCCGATTGGAACAGACCTCCAAGGCGACAGAACAGACGACGTCCTTTCGATGATGGAGAAAGCCAATCCCTGCAGCCTGATAAAGGCTTAGAGGTGAATAGCAAATATATACCGAGGAATCTGCGTGCTTCGGACTGGATCTGCCCGGACTGTCAATATAACTGTTTTGGGAAGCATCAGACATGCCCATGCTGTAAAGCTGTGCGACCAGATTTGGCTTGGCCGTCGTGGCCATCCAAGAATCCGGCGCGGAAAATGGAGAGAACCCCCAAGGCTGACACACGCAAAGCTGGAGCTTCAGAAGCAACCTTGAAAATTCGGAGACTGGGTCATGAGATGCTGTCCGAAATGGATCAAGAACAGGGTGGTTCCGCAGCAATGACCAGACGGGACAATGCCATGAGGACATTTATGGCTAATAAGGGAAAGCCTGTGGGAGCGCGGCTTGTGTATGATCTCAAAAAGGAAGAGGAAGAGGCGGAAGCTCGAGAAGAAAGGATTGCCGAGCGTCGCCGTGAGCGACAGTCCAAACCGAAGCCAAAGAAGCAAGATGCTCCGGTAGACCCATGGTCCTGGGATTCGTCATCGCTCAAATTGAATAACGACGGCGATGTCACTCATTCTGAAAAGGCCTCGAAGCGCCGGGATGGCCGTAGGGAGCGGCAGTCCGAGGCTGATGAGGATGACGAGGAAGAAGACGACCGCCGCCGTCGCCGCGAGGAACGCAAACGGCAGAAGAAAGATAAAGCTCGGCAAAAAGATTTAGAGTCGGCCTCAATTCCATTGTATTTACCGGAGTTCATCAGCGTTAGCAATCTTGCTGATGTCATTGGGGTGCGGCCTGCGCAATTTGTTCAACAAATGGAAGATATGGGCTTTGAGGGCGTCACATACAGCCACGTTCTTGACGCGGAGACCGCCGGCCTGGTCGCAGCCGAATACAATTTCGAGCCCATTTTCGAAAGTGCAGAGGATGAAGACCTGGTATCTGCGCCCGAGCCTGAAGACAAGTCTATTTTACCCTCCAGACCACCGGTGGTGACCATTATGGGACACGTTGATCATGGCAAAACTACTATTTTGGATTGGCTTCGAAACTCGTCAGTGGCCGCTTCAGAACACGGAGGTATTACACAGCATATCGGTGCCTTTTCCGTGGCTATGCCCTCTGGAAAGACCATCACATTCTTGGACACTCCTGGCCACGCTGCGTTCCTGGATATGCGTCGCCGTGGTGCAGACGTCACTGACATTGTAGTCCTCGTAATCGCGGCCGATGATAGCGTCAAGCCTCAGACAATTGAGGCAATCAAGCACGCCACTGAAGCCAGAGTTCCTATCATTGTCGCTATTAGTAAGATTGACAAGGAAAATATCAATCTTGAGAAAGTCAAACAGGATCTTTCTGTCCACGGTGTACACGTCGAAGACTACGGCGGCGACGTGCAAGCGATCGGAGTAAGTGGTAAAACTGGCCAGGGCATGTTGGAACTCGAAGAAGCTATCGTGACGCTTTCGGAGGTTCTTGACCATCGAGCGGAGGTTGACGGCAAAGCCGAGGGATGGGTGATTGAGGGCACAACCAAAAGCTACGGCCGTGTGGCGACGGTGCTCATCAGACGTGGTACACTACGGCCGGGCGATATCATTGTCGCAGGCACAACCTGGGCTCGTGTACGCACTCTGAGGAATGAGGCGGGCGTCGCAATTTCCGAAGCTACCCCCGGAATGCCAGTTGAGGTTGACGGCTGGAGGGAGCAACCGTCTGCTGGAACTGAACTTCTCGAGGCTGTTGACGAGCAGCAAGCCAAAGACGTCGTAGACTATCGACTGGAGAAAACTGAGACACAGAAACTGGGCCAGGATACTGTGGCGATCAACGAGGCACGGCGTGAACTACTCGAGAGGCGCCGGCAGGAAGAATCTGAGAACAATGAGGCTGCTAGCTCAGTCCAGGAGACATCTGGCCCTAAACCAGTACACTTTGTCATCAAAGCCGACGTTGGCGGATCCGCAGAGGCTGTCCTGAACTCGGTCACTGCAATTGGTAACAACGAAGTCTTTGCTAATGTGCTCCGTTCTGAGGTCGGACCAATCAGTGAGTTCGATATTGAGCATGCAGCCTCAGCCAACGGCCATATCGTCTCATTCAATATGCCCATCGACCCTGCCATGTCTCGTATGGCAGAAGTTCGGGGGGTCAAAATCATGGATCATAACGTTATCTACAAACTCATTGACGATGTCAAAGCAATCTTAAGCGAACAGTTACCTCCGTCGGTGAGTCACCGTGTCACTGGAGAAGCGGAGATTGGACAGGTATTCGAGATCACGCTCAAGGGAAGAGAGAAGACAGCCATTGCCGGATGTAAGGTACGCAATGGTACTATCAACAAGGCCAGGAAGGTACGAGTAATACGGGGCCAGGAAACAATCTTTGATGGTAAGCTCCCCGTCCCGGTTGACTACGTAAAACTCTGTTTCTGCGAGCTGGAAGCTGATCATGTACTTATAGGCTCTATCAATTCCCTCAAGAACGTCAAGAAGGACGTGACTGAAATGCGTAAGGACACAGAATGTGGTATCGGCTTCGAAGGCTGGACTAGCTTCGCTGTCGGTGACCACGTTCAGTGCTACGAAGAGATCTACGAGAAGAGATACCTCTGATTTTTCTCCGCTCCCATCCATCCATCCGCAAGCTTTATTTTTACCGTTCTTATGACCTTTCTGGTTACTGTATTGCTATTGGCGTTTTGACTGCGGATCGTTGGACTCTTCTCTTCTTTCCAAATGTGGGACTTACATGTATAATTGCATCTGGGCCGGTGTCTTTGATTGATATGAAGGGTAGCAGCAGAAGCTGCGGGACATTATGCTTCACGGAGATTCAGTTCTCATGTACAATATACTACGACGCAGTGGTCTACATAGATATCTGATCAAAATCAATTTTATGTATAGTAGTAAGGTTATACTGGCACCATACTCAACTACAAATGCACCGATATGAATCTCCTTGCCACCGTGGAAATGAATACGAACAGTAGATCGTATCCATCAGATGAGCACAGTCCCATAACCAAACGTGAACTCAACAATTAGTCCCTACCCAGATCCACCAACCCTTCCCAATAAGAATCACGCCATCCATGATGAATCCATCGACCCTCTCGTATACGTTTTCCGAGCCTCCGAGTCATGATCAATAGTCCGGAACACGCTAGAAAAAAAAAATTCCCCCCCAAAACCCACCACGCAAAAAGATCGGCCGCCATCTCCACAACAGGAAAACGGTTCCGAATTCAGGCACTGGCTATTGCCAAATAGCTTCGGTGCCTTGGCATACGTTACAAATGCGGCGTCGATCCACTTGCTAAGTATATATTGTTTGGGATTTTACGTTGTCGACCCATTTTAGGGTTCCGGACCGGTATCTACTTTAGGAAGGGGACCGAGGTTCCCGTCATCTTCGCCTCATAGAAACTTATTTTCTGATTACCTCAAGGTGAATCGAGCTCTGTTTTTGGGTTCGTTGCGTACCGTCAATCAAACTGTACTGTTTTTAGAACAGACGGACGAAAGGAAGGGAAAAGAAGGGTGTTGGTTGAGATGTATGAAGAGGCGTTGGTGACGCGATTGTGCTATGTGGATGGATGTATCACTAGTACTTTTCATGGACGATTGAGATAACATCTTTCAGGCTTGATAGCCTAGCCTAGCGTTAGTTCCTCATTAATGTTAGTTCTTGCTTTTCATTCACTATGAGACGTCCATAGAACATATTTGATGCCTTATCCGGGAGACACCTTGTCCACTATACGAATGAGAATGGCATGTATTTCGGGTTTTTCTTACTTGCTAGTTAGCTAGTTCTATGTGATGTATGTGATGCACAGGTATCCCTAATGCCAATGCACGATGACATAGTCCACACAGGGTACTACTAGTTAATAAGTGGCCGCGAAGGTCCACAGCACCCCCCTAGCAGTACGTAAAGAACATATAGAAGCCTAGAAGGGTTCTCCTGGGGGTCCACCGATGATGGATGAATTAGGTTGTAGTTTCCGTGAGTACCGGAACTATTCGGCTGTTATGAACTCACCTGATAATCTTGCGTCCAGTAGTAGCCTTTCAGCTAGCGTATATTGTAGCCATAGTGATATCAGAATACTTCCACCGTGGTACCTGTATTGGGTGAGGCTATGACTCCCCACTGCGGTCCCTAGTGGCGTCTACTAGTGCGCGATTATCTAAAGATTACTGCCAGATATGCTATTATACTGCTATGGTAGCAAGCCTTTACGTGGCGAGTCTGACTGTGGGTTATGGCTTGTGAAGCCGGCTGTTGCTGGTCTATGCTGTTGGGCAGTCTCGATTAGCAAAACGGGTGTCGGAAAGGCTTGAGGGTTTAGACTCGTGGGGATTGTTTGAATTTTCATAAGTATAGTACTGCACTCCAATGTTATGGAACTATTAGGACTTACGTCTACGATTGTATGGGTCATGGATGTAAATGCCGGTATATATATCTCGGGATGTATGTGTATACGTTGGAAATGTCACGAGATGGATCGAAGATGTTCAATTGATTAATTTATGAGATAATCTTCTTGCATAGATATATTTACTGCATTTTTATGCATGTATCAAGGTCTTATCATTGTAGGCAATCTGGGTTCAAAGCCTTTGTGCACATAGCTTTCATAGTCAAGTGCCTCGCAAAACAGTGCAAACAGCTGCTTATAATTTTCAGTATCTCGTATTTCCATGGCAGTTTGACCATGTGGCTAAGGCGACAGACTCGTATTCCTCTAATTGCTGGGTAGCTGGCATTTTTTTTGAAATTTTTTCAACCCCATATACCAAGCGACCCCTCTGCCCAGAGGACTTGCCAATCTGCGTACGGAGTGCAGGATAGGACTGAATTCACTGAAGAGCTTCTTGTGCGTGTCCATTTGGTCGACATGGTCGCTTTAGAGCGCTCCGAGGGTCCTTCTGTCCCCTTCATTCACGCATATCCCCACTGTTCCCTGAATATTTGTGCTGAGACACAGCGCGAAACCTTCCTAGTTAGACTACGGAAATCCCGGGGAGTCAGGGTTTCGGCATGGAGCCCGGAGGCATTTGAATCGGAGCTTCGGTTGGCATCTCCCGTCATCCTTCGCATTCTCCGTGGGGTTTAAACCTGAAACTGGTGTCGCAGGTCTATTCTGTTTCATCCTCAAACAGAACTCCAGATATTTAATTAAACAGTAAAATTAGGGTGAGAATCCTTTGGTCCAGAATATCCACCTGGTGTTCGTGATGGCTCAAACAACGGTCGTTGCCTTCGATATTTACGGTACCATACTATCGCCCGGATCCATAGCCGGAGACATGGAACAGTACTCCGGAGTATGTCAGTTATGACAAAGACCATGCTCAGTCAATTGCAACTTGTGGAGGCGCTACCCAGCTTGAGTATACGTGACGATTCAATAGCATATGTGAGCTATGCTAGTGTCTTCGTTCCAAGCCTCGGCTCATTTTGTTGTTGCGAGGACGATACATATCCTTTGAAGAAGTCATACAACAAGGCGCTTATCCATTTTAATAGGACCGTTGGTAGGGACGACAATATCAAAAAGCTGCTTCGAGTGCATCACAACATGGTCGCGTTTCCGGATGTCAGCCGGCAAGGGCTCAGAATGTGATGCCCATTATCTTCATCAATGGTACTTCGAATATAGTATCCAAGCCCATCCTTCGGTCAGGCCCACTGTCGCACCATAGAGAGACATGAAGAGACCTTGTTAGCGTCGATGACGTTCAGAAAATTAAGCCCGCACCGGAGGTCTACAGCCCAGAGGATGGGGAAGTGCGTGCCAGAAATGAAAGACATTTGGGTGATCAGCTCCAATCCTTTCGGCATAATAGGGGCTCTCCACGTGGGCATAAAAGTCATTTGGATTGACCGGTCTGGGAAAAGATGGGCGGACAGAGCGGCGCCAGGCCTGGAACCGACAGCGATTGTCAATAGCTTGGAGAAAATTCTACATATCATGAACGACTGTACGGGTTAACTCGGTGGTTGTGGTTATTAGCCAATTTACACCAGGCAACGCAAAAATTAAGGGTGTACGCTGTAAATATTTCCAAACGCTCCACAAATAGAAGAAGAATTTGGGGTAAGGCAGCAAGTTACTCTAACCTCCCATTTCCCCTCCAAGGGCCCATGGTGTTGTGAACCTCAGAGTGAATAGGGAGGTGTGTTCAGTTTAATTTTGGAAGAAGAAAAAAAAATCGTGGGCCGATGAAAAGAATTTCAATTTATAGCTGTGGCCCTGACCGCCCGGGCTTATCGATAAGATCATGTGCCTCGGATCTTGGTCCATAGCCGCAAGATATCCATGAAATCATCTCGTGCGACGAAGTACTATCGCTTCCGTCAGCGTGCTGATCCATCTCCTTAGCTTTAGTATAATAGATCTCAGCGTGGTTTCTTTTAGCGTGCACTCTGACTTGGCTTGTCGTTATGGCCCGATCGCTAGATCCTAGCAGAGCTGCTTGGCTGTATCCTCTTCGCGTCAGTGCAATGCTTGCTGCCTAGGTATACTTGGTTGTGACTACCCCGTACTGACGCATCTATCTAGGGTGTGTATTATTTCGCGTCGCATCGTTTCCTGTGGCCTTTGTTCAAGACTCGTCTAATTCCGATTGTTCTGCTTTCGGCGTTCATCTACGTGATTCTGTTCCTCTTTACCTATTTGCCCCAGGTCGCCTTTCTTTCTATCTTTCAAGGCCGTGGTGCTTGGGTCAATGGAGCAGTCCTCGTCTTAGGAGAAGGTGCTGCAATTGTGGCCGCACTATTCGAGGCCTTCTTTGTTGATGAAACCCTGGTGGATATCTTCGATGCCGTCCTAGTGAATGAGGGCCACGGGGAACTGGTCACCACTTCGCGGGTCCTATATCCGCAAGGCGATGATGTCGTCAAACGGCTGGGCAAGCCGATCCATAGTGCCGTCTATGCACCATTCTCTCTGCGACAGATCGTGGAGTTTGTTGTCCTCCTCCCTCTAAACTTTATTCCCGTGGCCGGGACGCCCATGTTTCTCTTGCTCACAGGGTATCGAGCGGGTCCGTTTCACCACTGGCGGTACTTCCAACTGTTAGATCTCTCGAAGCAGCAAAGAAAAGAGAAAATCCGCCGTCGCCAGTTGCAGTATACTACGTGAGTATTGTTCGACCTTGCTGATCCACAGGGACTTGCTAACCATGGCCACGCCAGGTTTGGAACGGTTGCTCTGATCCTTCAGTTGGTCCCGCCCTTGTCTATGTTTTTCCTGATGTCGACTGCCGTTGGCTCAGCACTCTGGGCCGTGGATCTAGAGAACAAGCGCGATCTGATAGGGAGAGCGAGACCTGATGAAGCGGACGAGTATCATGACGGCGATACGATATAAACCTGTTTTACCTAGAATTATTTCTTTCTTTGCTTTTTTGTTCTAGATGTTTCACCTTGTCTTTTCTTTTCTTTTCTTTCTTTCTTTTTTTTTTTTTGTTTGCCATACGGGTACAGACGCATATAAGAAACTGTTACCTGATTCGGACAGAAGACCGACTAAGTATTTGTCATCTAGTTTGGGTTGTTAGCTTGATAGTCGTCTTGTACTCTACTCTAGACTATTATCGTCCTCCGATTTAGAGTACGAGATTGAGGGGTTTTCCAGGGAGTGCTCAGTCCCCACCGATGATCCACCACCTTTTTTTCTTGGACTCGGTGACTTGAAAGGTGGCGGACTGGGAACCCCTGAGCACTGCTAACGCAGCTAAGTCGAGGGTAGTAAACTCTGTTGACAGTGCCATCGACTGATTCAGCCAGTCAATGCTCAAGCTTGGGTCCTGAATCACCCCATCCATTTATTTTTTCGTGCAGATAAGAAACCCTAAGGTGGAGATGGTCCAGAGCCAGCTATTGTATGGTTCGATCGCTCATTCGTCTTGACCAAATGCCGGCGGTGGATGTCCTGCGGCAGCACGTGACCGCTGCGGAGGCTCGACATTTGTTCGTGGAGACTCTGGAGAGTCCCGTCCATCCTTCGACTGTTAGAACGGTCCGTGGCTATAAACCTCTTTTCAGCACAACGGGTTTATGCCCACTTTCGGAGGGGGAGTGCGCGAGCCAAGCATTTCTTGGCTCCACCACCATCGGTGAGGCACTTACCGGCTTGATTCATTTATTAGGCACCGGGATTCCCAGGCACCGTACGGAATGCGACCATTTTTGAGGCTTAAGAGTCTAGCTAGCCGTTGAGCCCTTTTACTGTCTAATCACCGAGGCACGACTGCTTAATTTGTGCATCACCCGAAGAACGTCTGTGCAGATCGCCCCCGATCGTCCAATCTGCTGTCTGGAGATCACCTTCTGGGGTATCAGTCCGGGCAAGACATCGCAAATCCCAATCTGCTGCGCTCAGAGAATACCACAGACTGGTATCCTGGTATAAAGCCCAATGCCCTAGGTCCATGGATTCAACCCAAGCATGGAAACCGTCGCTACCTCACCTCTATACCCATGGACCAGAGAACCAGGCTGCGCAAGGCTTGTGATGCCTGCAGTATTCGAAAGGTGAAAGTGAGTAGCGAACGTGGTACCCTTTGGTCCGGAGACCGATCTAACGGACCCCAACCAGTGTGATACAAGTGGGCCGCCCTGTCGGTCGTGCGCTAGCTTGGATATCCCCTGTACTTATGAGCGACCAAGCAGGCGCCGTGGTCCTCCCAACCGTCATGCAGAAGCGCTTAAACGACAGAAGCTCACGGCATCGCCCGGTGGCTCTCCCACCCCGTCTGATCATACATCTCCAGAATCGACAGGGCTCTTGAACAGTCAACCTTTTCCGCCACCAGCAGTTTTCTCTTTGGAACTGATTTGTCCGTTATCTACTATACGACTCCTGATCGATGATTACTTCACCTACATCCACCCGCTAATACCCGTCCCTCATGAACCGACCTTTCGTGCTGCCCTTGATCGAAGAGAGGATGTCACCAACCGTACTTTCCTGGCCCTGGCGGCCTCCATGATTGGGACTCTGGTGACTTCGTTTCCACGACGGCCGAGGCTTCATTTGAAGACCGCAGCCGAAAAGGCAGCGTATCCGCACTCCATGGCACTGGTCAAGAGATGTCGGGACGTAGCCGTCCAAGCAAGAGGTGCAGGGTATCTCGAACGGAGCCTGACGGTCTACGATGCAGCCATCGGCTATTTTCTGTCCATCTGTTCTGGATATATGTACAGTATGCGAACATGTCGCTCATATTTGTCCGAATGTTTGACAATATTGCATGTGTATGATTTATGCGGCCCTAGTGCCCGAAGTCGGACGATGAGTCCGCCGAGCCCAGACTCGTGCCTCTCGCAGGACCAACCCGGTCAGCCGGGAGAAGGTCAGCTTGACATCATTGAACAGGAACTTGGGCGGCGTTTGTTCTATGCTGTCTTAGTCGGTTACCGAACGCTGCAGCAGATGGGGTCAACGGACTCTACTTTTCATATACCCCCAGAAACCCCGACCGAGCGGTATCCCCCCTTACCCCTCGAAATAGATGATGAGTTTATTTTTCCGACTCATGTTGTACCTCAACCGGCAGACAGAGTTTCTCGCCTGGTGGGGTTTAACCTTAATGTCCGCGTATATAATTCATACAACCAAGTCTCGGCTTGGGAAGTGGCATTTGGGAGTGGCCAACCTTTTGACTGGGAACGGCAAAGGACTGCTGTCTGGGAAAGTCTACAGAAGGCCAAATCCGCCGTTGCTGACGTACCGAGAGAGCTTTCACTACAAGGTTCGGTATCGGGTCAGGGCCCTGGACCGAGCCCGACAGAGGATGAAAGGCGACACATCCAATACGAGATTCAGAAGGCAAACATTTACGCAAGCCAGCTAGGGACTCGGTCTTATCTGGTTGAGAAGTACTGGGCACTGTATGCCGCTTGGAAGGCATACCAAAAACGGGCTGAACAAGCGACGAATATCAGTTCATCGCCGGTCAAGCTCGAGGAAGACCAGTCCAGCGCGCTTGAGGCTGATGGGGACGCCCAATCGGATCATATTGGAGCTACGATGGCGGAAGAACGTCGAATTGTGATTCGTGATATGTTGGTGTTGATACGATCTATCAACGAAGTCAACATGGAGCCCAACGGGCTTAGCTTTGTATGTTATCCTTTCCCACGCCTCCTATGATAAGTCGGCTAACAGTGATATCTATAGACTGCCAAGGTCCGCCAGGTCGCCTCTACACTTCTTAATCTTCCCCACCCTAATATGGAACCGGCCGATTCCACCGCTTTGACAGCGGGGCCACACCCGCTGACCGTGGCTGAGGCGGAGTCTTATCTCCATGCCTTCATTGATACCCTCATGCGTCTGGAGGGAATGGCAGTTCCGAGCCCGTCAATAGCCGCCGCCAGCCCACAGGTGAACGGCCGCTCAATGAGCTATCTCAGTGATATAGAACGTGACGAAGAGGAACTCCGCAAGTGGACCAGTGTCAAGGAGTATCAAGCAAGGTTTGCAGCCGCAGGAGGATGGCTTTCAGAACTATGATCTGACGAGTGTTGTCTTCATTTTGTATATAATGTGTGTTCTCCTCTGGCTATATACACATGGAATGGCGTCTGGGCGAGTCTGACGGACGGGACGGAGTTGCTGATGAGGGTCTGATGTATATTCTTTTGGGTTGGCGTCATAGATATCCATCTGCGTATTCTACTCTGACTTGGAGCGTATCTTCGATAACTGCAAAAATAGAGAGGCTTCATTTGCCAGGAAGACCAGAGCATTCCAAAGAAAGTTCTCAAACCAAGCACAAATATTTGTGTCTTACTAGCCACTACACTGGTGGTTGGCGCGAGTCGATATACCAAATAAGAGGCACAGTAGAGGGCTCGAGGAGGTGGAGGCTTGGGGAGGAGGCTGAGAGGAGGATTGAAGCTGTTTGGGGTTGAGCTTTGTATGATTTTGGGAAAATGAGGGTCGAGATTTAGGAATTAGATTGCATTGAATTAGAGGTTATCTTGGTTCTGACTAGCTAAAACGAATGTATTGTTACAATTTAATAGACAACGGGCGTATTATAGAAGAGAAGGAATGAGAGAGAGAGAGAGAGAGAGAGAGAGAGAGAGAGAGAGAGAGGATCTCATCAACCCGCAGTAGTCGTCACAGTCGTCAACGTGGTT